CATGAATCAGAGGAGGAGCTTGAAGAGCTACCACCTATATCAATCCGCTCAGCTATCGAAGCTCTGAGCATCCTTCGACTGTACGAGGAGCAGCAGAGCGAGGCTTCAGCGCCAGTTATTGAGCAGCTGAGCAAGCACGAGGTAGTACTACAAGATCGAAGGAATAGAAGCCTTCGTCAAGCGCAGACAACCTCCTACTTCGTATAGCGTATACAATGCCAAGGGCTCTCGATTGAACGATAATTACGTTATAACGATATTGAAGTGGTAGATCGGTCTGATCGTTATAACGAGAGGGGACTGTACTTATCTCCATTGCAGGAACGCGCAGAGTCAAAAGCACAGGGATTCTGCTAGAGCACGTTTAGGTCAAGCATCAGACACGATCCTAGCCAAAATTTACACATGTCCAAACGGAGCTGAGTTGGTGCACAGCTAAATCATGCAGAGCACTTCTGGAGTACCAAAAGAGCTCGTTTGTTTCGTGTAGACAGTATACAAGAAGACAGTGATCACAGATGAACCCGACAATTTGGAGTAGGCACACTGCCGCATGTAGATGATCAAATGATGCTTTCATTTCGGTCCATACAAAGGTGTTGCTGCTTTGTTTGCTGCTGTATCAGCCCTAAGGCAAATAACCGCGATTAGGGAAGGAAAAAACCCGAGACCCGGGCCTCATGAGCCTGCTCAGTGCTCTCATACTCGCAGCGTTCTTACAGCTTCATGCCCAAAGCCTTGTGCACCCTCAGAGACTGGCGGATGCTCAGATCCAACATAATCTCCTCACTGCCACCGGGGATCGCGTACGCCCTGACATCTCTGTAAAGGCGTTCGACCTTAGCGCCCTGACCGCCGCGGCTGTAACTCAGACCACCGAAAATCTGACTGGCCTCGCGAGCGCAGAACTCAAAAGTGGTGGTTGCTTGGGCCTTGAGACCGGCAATGGCACCGCCGAGTTTCAGCATGGCCTCTACCTCGTTCATCTGTTGGCATTGGTAGATAAGGTTTTCCATCCACGAGTACGATGCTTCGATCTGGCGGAACATGTGGGCGAGCTTGAGACGGATGACGGGGTGCTCGATGAGCTCCTTGCCAAAGGTTCGTCGCTTGTGGGCGTACTTCATCGACTCTTCGTAACAGACGCGCGAGAAGCGCAGGCACTGGATGATGATGCCGATACGTTCGTGGCTGTGGCTGCTGTCAGTACTCATCTAGTGTTCGTCGACAGATTATGAAACTTACTTGAAGTTTGTCATCAGGACCTTGAAACCTTGGTTCTCCTTGCCGATCAGGTTCTCTACCGGTACCTTGACATCTTCGAAGGTGACATATGTTGTGCCACTCGACCAGACACCTTGGCAGTCCATCTTTCTGGTTGAAACGCCACCGAAGCTACGCTCGATAAGAAGGACACTGACACCGTTCATACCCTCACCTCCTGTGCGAACAGCAGTGGTGAAGTAGTCGGACCAGATGCCGTTGGTGATCCACTTCTTCTCACCGTTGACAATGTAGTGCTTGCCGTCCTCGCTCAGCTTAGCCTCGCAAGTCAGGTTGGCGACATCAGAACCAGCGTCAGGCTCGGTGATAGCCAAGCAGATTCTCTTGTCTCCGCTCAGGATATCCGGCATGATTCTCTTGACCAACTCTTTCTTTCCGTACTTCAGAGCTGGAGGGGCGCCGATGCCGAAGCCACCAATGAGATTCCAGACGAAACCACCACTGCCAGACCTTGAGATCTCGTCGGTGATGATCATCTCGTGGAACAGATCCCATTTCTCTGCAGGGACGGACTTGACGCGCTTGTCGGTGAGGTCTTTGGGATAGTGGACACCCATCAGACCTGCGAGGTATCCTTTTTCGCCCATGGCCTTGTATACCGAGTCTGGAACCTTTCTGCCTTCGTCCCACTCGGTGATGTTTGGGATGATTTCGTTGTCCATCCATTCTCGGACTTCGGCGCGGAGGTCGGCGTGCGATTGGTCGAAGTAGGGCGAGTGGTACTGGATGTATGTTAGTGTATACTCAGGCTGTGCAGTCAGCATCACTTACAGATTGGTACCAGTTGGGGTCTCCACCGGGGATCATGTCACCAAACTGGTCAAGAGCTTCCGAAACGGCGACCTCTTTGGCGTCAGCGCCAGGCTGAGGAGCCACAGTACCGGGCACGGGCTCAGGCTTGACGACCTGCTTTTCCTTCTTTGCTGCTGGAGGAGGTGTGGCGGGTGGTGTCGGGGGAGCGGCCTGTGCCTTCGAGTCCAGCGAGCCGACTTGAAGTTGCTTCTGGTACTTCTTCAGGATGCCCTCGTTGTGGTACTTCCAAAACTGCTTGCTGGCATCCTTTCCAGCCACTCGCTGGAGGATCTTCTTACCACCAGGGTGCTCTTCCTATTCGAGATCGTTAGCGATTGTCGAGCGCGCTATGAGGACGTCCTGCTTACCTGGAACTTGGTCAAGTCGTAGACATCATCGTCGACGATGATCCAGAGGTTGTCTGCCTTGTTGTGCGATTGCACGTCGGCTTTAGAGTATGTGCCTGACATGATGTATGATGGATGTGAGTACCCGTGTGAATCTGGGGCTTTGAAGGAAAAGGTCGAGGGTAGAAGCAAGGGGTGCGAAGGAGTCAAAGGGTAATGTCTGTGTTCTTTTCTTCACATGTCAGCCCTTTGACCTTTGATTCAAGTCTTCCGTCAACCCGCTAACAACATACCACAAGTCACGAGGCCGCAGACGGTGCGTTCTTGGTGAAGGTCAAGAGAAACGGACACGAGAGCGAATCAAAAGCCCGACATTATGCTCTGCCGAGGTACCGAGGTAACTTTCACATGCTTTTTTTCCCACCTCCCCCAGCTTTTGGTCATCTCCACAATCCGAAGTTCGCATGTCCGTGGCCGAGGACCTTTGACAGTCGCACAAGACTCTGGGGGTATGTGAGATTACTATATGAATGGTATCGACTTGGCTGATTGTGAGTACGTCAGTCCAATGCATGCTCTTGTGGGCAAACACCTCCAAAGTTGTGGCCAGACAATCAAGAATTGCCGTAGCATCCGTTAGAACAGGCAAGTGATTACGTCAAGGAGCAAACAAACCCACCCGAACAAGAAGCATGAGTCTCCTTGTCCTTTGTATGAAACTCTCTTCCACCATCTCCTCTAGGAACATCTCACATCAGCAACCATGTCTTCAGGTCAAGTCCACGTAGTCAAAGCCGCCGACATCCAGACCTCTTCCAGCGGCCAAACGGATGGTAGGTGCAACGAAATCCACTCAACAGCACCCTGACTGTAACTGAATCTCTACAAGGCATGACCCGTATGCCAGCCATAACAAAGCTCGCTTCAATCTGCAGCTCCATCATGCTGGCCGACCCCCACTCTGCCTCTGCAGTCCACCACCACGGCGCTCAAGACACCATCGTCTATGCCGTGCGAGGTCAAGGCGCTGTAGTCAGCGAAGGCGGCAAGAAGCGACAGGTGCTTAAGCAAGGAGACTTTGCCTTGATCCCTGCGTACCAAGAACATCAGGAAGTCAACGATGGAGATGAGGAGGTCGAGTGGGTGATTGTGAGGAGTGGGGGTGAGCCTGAAGTTGTTAACCTTGAGGGTTGGGGGGAGAGTTAGATGTAGCGCTCTCTATTTGACTATCTGTACATATATGATTACAACGGTGAGTATAGTGTGATGTTTATTCTCTAAGCTTCAAGTGGTACGTCTTGAGTTGATCCTCAGTCATGCGTGTTGGACTCTTGACGAGCAGATCTTCACCGCGTCCGCTTTTGGGGAAAGCAATCACATCTCTGACACTTTCCTTTCCAAGCATGACTGCGATGAGTCTATCGAACCCCAATGCCATACCGGCATGTGGCGGACATCCTGCTCTTAAAACCTCGATGAGATGATCAAAGTCCTTGAGTCTTTCCTCGCTCATCTTCAAGACCTCACGCAGAACGAATTGCTGCATGGCTGCTGAGTGAATTCTGCGACTGCCGCCTCCAAGCTCGACTCCGTTGACCACCAAGTCGTAGTGCTCGGCCTTGACGGCAGCGGGGTCGGTAAGTAGTAGATCCACATCTTCAGCTGTCTTCGGTGCGGTGAAAGGATGATGGGTAGAGCTGAAACCCGCAGCACCGCCCTGTCCAGGCTCGTTCGCCACAGAAGGCGAGAACAATGGGAAGTCAGTGATCCAGAGGAACTCGAATCCTTGAGGAACAGGCATATAGTTGTGTTGTACAGCAAACTTGTGTAAAGCCAGACGCAAATTCCCAAGTGGTGTTGAGCCACCTGCATGAGGTGCATTCTTGCGAGCTTGAAGGACGACTAAATCTCCTTCTTCGAGGTCCAGTGTTTCCTCTATCGTCTCTGCAGCTTCGAAGCCGAATACCGAAAGTCCCGAAAGTGGTTTGCGAGGATCACAGATGAAGATGCCAGGTTGGCCTTCTGGGTTCTCGTTGAAAGGCTTAGCTTCTGACGAGTCCATGAATTTAGTCACAAATCCACGGGTCTCTTTTGCGTCTGCCGAGATAGGAATCTTCAGCATCTCAACGATAGGATCATGCAGAGGACCGATCTTGCGGATAAGGTCCACAGGTAGCATGTACTCGACGCGGGAAATCTTGGATCCCAGACGAACGTCAGGCTTGTCAGAGCCATAGTTCGACATGGCATCTTCGTATGAAAGTCGCGGAAAAGGCTCTTGGTGAGAGATACCAAGCAGCTTCTGCCAGAGTGTCTTCACAACAGACTCTACTGTGTTCATCACATCCTCTCCAGTTGCGAAAGACATTTCCAGATCGACTTGTGTAAATTCGGGCTGTCTGTCAGCACGAAGGTCTTCGTCGCGAAAGCACTTAGCAAATTGCACATAGCGTGGAATGCCACTTGCCATCAGAATCTGCTTGTACTGCTGGGGGCTTTGAGGCAAGGCGTATGCAAGACCAGGTGTGCGGGTGGGTACCAAGAACTCGCGAGCGCCCTCTGGGGTTGACTTGAATAACAAAGGTGTCTCGATCTCGACAAATTCTTTGCCCTCGCAAAGTTCTGTGCGCAGTATGCTGGCTGCTTTGCTCCTAAAAGCGAGAGCATCTCGGAGCGACTTTTCCATTCGTAGTTGCAGATGTCTCTGCTCTGCAGAAAAGACCGAGTCTTGGGTGACCATGATGTCCTTGGGAAAGTGGTTGAGCGGCGATACCTTGGCCAATTCAATTTCGACCTCTGTTACTTGCTGCACGGCTCCTTCTTCCACCTTGGACGAGGATGCCTTGGCTTTGCGAGTCTTGATCTTACCCTCGATAGCCACCGGCGTCTCGATATTCAACCCGCTGAGCTTCTCGAAGACACTCCTCTCCTCTGAGCTGGTCTTGTTTGAGGCTACCAGTTGAATGGAATGTGACAGGGTTGTGCTCCGGAGTTCAGCAAATAGCAGGTTCCTACCAGCTTGTCGCTGAGTGCCTAGATACCCGTGTAGTACAATCTCTTCTCCAACTTCTCTGGTGACTACATCTTCGACTTTGCAAGTTGCTGAAGGGAAGTGGACTGCAGAAGATTATCAGCTTGGTTCCAGATTCTGTTTCTGTTGTCTTACAATTCTCCTTGAATTCTGACAACAGCTTGTCTGTTCCATCGGCTCGAAGTACCTGGTTGGAAGAGAAGGTTCTCGCGTTGTGTGTGGATATTGATGGTCGAATCACCCATGACCGGTGAATAGGTTTCAGTGATGCATTTCGTAATATACGTCCGCAGGATACGGCATGCGCGAAACTGCCAGGCAGCATCAGGGTGTATATCAACGACACCAGTCGGTTAGCTACAATGAAAGTGTCAGGTGAGACAATTGAACTCGAATGTATTGTCGAGATGGGTCATGAAGAAGTGACGGCTCAGGCCGGGGGGACAGCCGGGGTTTTGCCATGCGCATGGTTTTCTTCTTCGCGCGTCGCGATGGATTCGAAACTTTTCATGACCTTCCAAGTTCAAAAAAAGTGAGTGCACATTTGCTACAGGCACGCCGAAACCCTCAACTAACAAACCGCGCAGATGATGAAAGCCTAGTGTGTATCAGTCGAGTCGTCCGCAGCAAAGGCATAGCGCTCTCCTCTTCCGGAGGCTTAAGTGGTTCTATGACTTTGTTGCGGCGGCATGAGATCTGCGTTCGGCACACACCCTTGTTACCAAACGGACGCGAAGATGGCATCTCTGATTCAATTACTTGGAAGGTTCTCTGTACCTTCAGCTCATGCTGGTATGTATAGTATATGGTTAGATAGTCTTGTATCACTTTCTCTCCATTTGTTTTCTTTTTTGTCCTGTTGTCAGTGAAATGCACGCTGGTGTCAACCTCATGGAGTTGCTGGAACTACACTTCTATTCCACTGCCTTCAACCGACCAAGCGAAGAACGAGCAACATCATCAACAGGTTGCACATCCTTGACTAGTGGGGGTGTGACCGTAACATGATTGTGACAAGCTTGAATGTCCTGCCAGAGGTTATGCATAAATAAAGATGCACAAACAAGATTTCGAGGTCATCGTCATCTGCCGGGGTTAGCGCGTTTGAGCATCCGGAATCCGAGATGAGCGAGTCGCGCCCAGAGTTGGCAATTGCAACTTACAAGTGTTGAAAGCATTCTTATGAGAGCGCGCCTGCCGTTTGAGAACAGCATGAAATAGAGAGCTTGAGCAGCCGTCACGTATCATCCATCTTCGACAGCACGCGCCATCAATGTCGAGCTCGGTCGAGAAGTCGGTCAAAGGCGGCACCAAGGTCAAGGTACGGCGTCCTCTTACGCTACTGCACCTACCCACCGTTCATGTTTGCTGATGGCCTCGCGACTCGATTGTAGCTTGCGCCGCCCAAGTCCAAATATGTCGAACACATTCTCCTGGCCACGTCTGGCGGCGAGGCCGGAGTCGCCGAGATCTTCCGCACCCTGAAAGAGCGTCTTCGCGACACGACCTGGACCATCTGCTTCAAGGCTCTGATCATTGTCCATTTGATGATCAAGGAGGGAGAACGCGATGCCACCCTCAAATACCTGGCCACCGCGCCCAAGAACCGCCTAGCCATCAACAGCTATACCGACGGTACGCCTCGTCCGCAGTCCACAACCGTCTCATACGTGAGCGCTGACGCGCGTGAACAGTCCAGACACAGGGTCAGAATATCCGCCGATACTCCAACTACCTCATCCAGCGTGCAGAGTCATTCGCCGACACTCACGTCGACCACATTCGCAATCCAGGTCGTCTGAAGACACTATCCATCGCGAAGGGTCTACTACGAGAGACGGAAGCAATTCAGGACCAGATCAGAGTCCTGATCAAATGCGACGTTGGTACCCTGCTGTGCTCCGAAAACACAAACTGACCCAGTACAGCCTCTCGAGAACGAGCCCGAGAACGACATTTCGCTAATGGCATTCCGCTTGCTCACCAAAGACCTGCTCGACCTGTTCACTGCCATGAACGAGGCCGTCATGAATATACTGAGTCGGTTTCCCATATGTTTCAACTCCGCTTCAGACTTCTGACAAGCCATCGCACAGGCCACTACTTTGAACTCTCCAAAACAGACGCCGAGCATGCCATTGGAATCTACAAAGCCTTTGCAAAGCAGACAGATCAAGTCGTCCAGTACCTCAGCATCGCCAGACAATACGAACACATCACCAAGCTCGAGATCCCAAAGATTAAGCACGCCCCTACCAGTCTGGCCAACTCGCTGCAAGAATACATCGACGACCACGACTTTGAGACGAACAGACGCCAATACCTCGCCGAACAGCAAGCAAAGTCTGGCAAACCAGTCAAGCCCTCGAGATCTGTCACCTTTGCCGAAGCTACACCAAAACAAGAAAAGGCCACCGCTCCAGCACCCGCCGCTTCGAAGCCTGCTAAAGGTCCAGCTCCTGATCTTATCGATTTCTTTGGCTCAATCGAAGATCAACAACAACCCATGGCTCAGAACCCTCCCCAGCAATATGCGCAGCAAACAGGGCAGCCCTTCCCTCAGATCTATGTTCAACCTGGAGCCGAGCCTGCTTTCCAAGCAGCTCAATCGACAAATCCATTCGGTGCTCCTCAGGCCTCGCAATACATGGCACCGCCTACTGCTCAGCTTCAACCACAGTTCACTGGCGCTGGGTTTGGTGGTTATGGTCCCCAGCCTCAGCAACAGGTACAATCACAACAAACCGGCTTCTCCTCGAACCCCTTCCACTCAGCTGGGCAGCAACCTTTCCAAAGCCCGCCGCTTCAACAACAGCAACAGCAACAGCAATCCTTCTTGCAACAAGATGCATTCTCCATGCAGCAACAGCAACAAGATCCCTTTGCCATGCAACAGCAACAGCAACCCGCACAAGTGCAATCACCACCGCAACAGGTCCAGCCACAAGCAACTAACCCTTTCCGCCAATCAATGATGCCCACTGGTCAGATGGACGGTTTCATGCAACCACAGCAGACAGCTCAGCCTCAGCAGCGTCAGACCAGTAATCCTTTTGCCAGACAGGTGCCTCAACAGGACCCTATGCAGACAGGCTTCCAACAGCAGCAGCCACTGCAGGCGCAACCCACGGGAACGAACCCTTTCGCGAAGCAGGCTTCTCAAATAGCCCAGCCGACCGGTCAGTCAGCATCGTTCCTCACCCCTGCAGCTACTGGCAGTACGAATCCATTTAGACAGTCCATGTTTGTGAATCAACAGACTGGTCAAGGCTGGCAGAATACGCCACAAGCAAGCATGGGAGGCTGGGAGCAACTGGATACTGTCCCTGTCTTCCCTCGACCTGGACAGTAGGTGGATGTGCAGCACCAAGTTCTGCACCTTTTCGAATCTACCTGCTATATTCCACTCTAATTTTACGGGCCTTTCTTTTGCGTTAGCGCGGCGTTTATCGAGCAATGGGCCCAAAGGTCTTCAAGGGAGAACCACTTGAGAAGCATTGATATGGCGAGCATTGGGCATCTTGTATTCAGAGAAAGCACACTTGATTGACTGGATTAGAACCTAGTTCATGCAATTTACGGTCGTCTCTTCCACCTTCATTTTTCAGCCTCGGATGACAAACATGAAATATTCTTGGACAGGACTCTGCCCATCAACGTGCGCGTATAGCAGTGTCCGATCTCGGCGTCGGAACGAGTTTGTCGCATTGATATACTCTGTGCCTGCCTAGAAGAGGTTGGCGTGGCTATCCCATCTCCAGATTTTGAGACGGCAGACGGCATGTCGTTCCTGAGATGTGAGCAGCGATCTGCAGATATCGACACTTTTCGGGAAGGTGGGAAAAATACCCTAGTGGTCCGCCTCCAGATTTCTCTGCTTTTCCGACTCCATCGACTTTATCAACTTCATGCCGCCATGGAGCCAAGGCTACAAAGCCCTGTCTTGCATATCGACACCTACCCCAACCACGGCAGATGCAATTGACACTTTGGGGAGACATCCATGCAAGATATCGGGGTCTTGCAATCTTGCAGCGGCACGGAAGAAGAATGGGGATTTACGTTATCGACATTATCTAAGTGTGCAGTGTTGAGTATACCTGGGGTGGCTAGCTACAAATATGAGGCACTGCTGCTGACTTTTGAGTCGTTCTGCTATCACGATATTACTCAAGGGTCGGGAGTGTATCTGCTTTCGTTCCTGATACTGTCTCTCACTGTTTGTCTGTCATTGACTTATCTGGTTGACTTACGCATACCTCGAACCATGCGTTTCCTCAGCTCGCTGTCTGTTGGTGTTGTCCTGGTCGGCGCTGTTGCTGGCTTGGTGACCCCATACAACAATACTTCAACCGGACTTGGAGATTTCCCCTCGCTCATCAATGTCACCACTGAAGACCTTGCCACAGGTCTAGAGGCTGGTCGTTTCACCAGTGTGGATCTGGTCAAGGCCTACTCGGCCAGAATCATCGAAGTCAACAGCACTCTTCACATGGTCACTGAGCTCAACCCTGATGCTTTGGCAATTGCTGCTGAATTGGATGCTATGCGAGCAAACGGTACTATTCTGGGACCTCTTCATGGCTTGCCCATTCTCATCAAGAACAACATTGCTACTGCTGATTTGATGAACAACACTGGTGAGTACTAAATATCACACGAAGAGAGATAGTGTCTGACTCGATATCACAGCTGGATCTTTCGCTCTGCTCGGCGCAAAGGTCCCTCATGATTCCACTCTAGCTGCTAAGCTGAGAAAAGCTGGTGCCATTATTCTCGGCAAGACCAATCTCTCTCAGTGGGCCAACTATCGCTCGAACAACAGCACCAACGGCTGGTCAGCATATGGTGGACAGACTGAAGCTGCTTACTACCCTCATCAAGACCCTAGTGGTTCTTCCAGTGGCTCGGGTGTTTCTTCTTCGCTTGGTTTGGCTCTCTCTGCTCTTGGCTCTGAGGTAAGTTGTAAGTCCTGCAGCATATTGTTGCAGATACTGACTCATGCTAGACATCTGGTTCCATCCTTTCTCCCTCAGACGTCAACAACCTTGTCGGTATCAAGCCTACGGTTGGTCTTACCAGCAGATATCTTGTCATCCCCATCTCCGAGCATCAAGATACCGTTGGTCCTATGGCAAGAAGCGTCAAGGATGCAGCCTACCTCCTCCAAGCCATTGCCGGTGTAGACCCCAATGACAACTACACCTCCGCCATCCCCAACAATGGTAGCCTCCCTGACTATGTAGCTGCCTGTGACTACTCGGCTCTAGCAGGCAAGCGCATCGGTGTAGCATGGAACGTCATCGACATCTACGGCCCCATCGACTCACCAGTAATGACCGCCTTCCTCGAATCCATCGCCATCATCAAGCGAGCAGGCGCAACCATCGTCGACGCAAACTTCACCGCCTTCCCCGAATACGTCAAAGACAACAACGAAACCCTAGTCCTCAACGCCGATTTCATCACAAACCTACACACGTACCTCTCCGAGTTGAGCTACAACCCCAACAACGTCACCGACCTCGCCGAAGTCAGAAACTTCACTCACGCATTCGAGCAAGAGGATTGGCCCGATCGCGACACTGCGGTGTGGGACGATGCACTCTTCAACCAAGGCTGGAACAACAGCGACGCTCGCTTCGCAGCCGCCTACGCCGCAAACCTGTATTACGGCGGCGAAGGCGGTATCCTCGGCGCTCTGTCCCGCAACAATGTCTCTGCTGTCTTGCTGCCCACCCAACTCTCTCCCGGTATCCCTGCACTGGTGGGAAGTCCTGTCGTCACCGTACCCATGGGCTTCTACCCCGCCGATTGGAACGTCACGTATAACGCTAGAAAGACACTGGTGGAGACTGGCCCCAAAGTACCCTTTGGACTCAGTTTCATGGGAGAAAAATTCAGCGAGGCCGAGTTGATTGGGTTGGCGTATGCTTATGAGCAGAGGACCATGCACAGGGATGACGTGCAGCCTTATATCATCCCTAACATTGAGTTGGCGGATTTTGTCAAATAAAGACAGGGGGGCTGGGGCTTTGCTTTGGGGGGGGTTTTTTGTGGTGTCTTTGATCGGGGAGTCAGGAATGGAATGGATAGTTAGTAGATTTTCTGAATAATTTTTTTATCTTTCTGTTTTGGACATTTATCTTCTGCTTACACAGATATTGCCCTTCTTCTGCCTACACAAATTGCTCCCTTCTGACTTATCCTATATCGAGATCGAGAACACCAACTCTTCCTTCAATTCCCTTTCCTTTCCTCCCATTGTCATCTCTCAGGATAGATATGTCTTGGTGTCTTTATTTTTTCTTCCATTCGCCGATTTTGCAAATCGAATACCGCTGTTGGTTTTGTGACCGCAAGAACATGAAAAGAATGGAGAAAGAGTCTGCACTTGACAATTCATAAAAATATTTTGTTTGTTTTTTGGCATTTAATCAACATTGAAGCAGGAATGTCAAGCATCCAAGACTTTCCATCATTATCCCTTCAAAAAGAAAAAGAACAAACCCCCCAAAAAAGACTCGCAATGTTGTGTGTTGACAGAAGCAGAAAAACAATTTGAATCCAAAGTGTGTGAAGTGTGTGTGTGTGTGCAATCGTGAGAACCCAATGAGGGCATTCGTTCGTTTCCATGCCATCCCTTCCTTCCTTCCTTCCTTCCTTCCTTGCATGTCCATTCATCCCTTCCCGTTCTTTCCTTGACTCTCCTCTCCTTGAACACTCCAAGCAGAAATCTACTCTTCAAGCAACAGCGATTCATCATCAACGCCGATACCAGAGTCATAAGCACGACGGTTACGACGAGCCTGCTTTGTGATCTTTGCGAGACGAGGGTTTGCCGCAGAGGACGAAGAGGCAACAGTGACCATTTCAGTGACAGTGTCCATAGCCTCGACTTCCTCGAGAACACGACGGCCCACCTCTCTCAACTCGCCGCCTTTGGCACCCGCGCTGAGGACAGCTTGTTCCATATCCTCTTGCATGGCCTGCACAGTAGCGGTAGAGTCTCTGACGTAGAGTCTGAACTTCTCCTTGAGTGCTGCGTTGAGTTTGGTGAGGCGAGCGATGGTGATGGTGTTCTCGGAGCCGACTTCGCGCAACTCTTCGATTTCAGTGTTGCGTTCGTTCATCACGTTTTCCCAGCTACGGTCCACCTCCTGGGCTTTACGGCCGAGGTTCTCAATCTCAGATTGCTTGTTAAGAATGTTGATTTTGAGGTCGGCGATTTGGTCGTCGCGCTCAGCTTGGAGTTCGAGGAGTGCGACGGCTTCGGCTTCGACGCGGCGTTCGAGGGATGCTTTTTCGGCTTCGAGCGAATTGATGAGATTTTGGGCCGTGTAGATGTCGTGGTTGAGGTCGGCGATCTTTTCGTCGCGCTCGGTGATGGCGATGACGTGAGTCTGGGCGGTCGTCTGGGCCTCTGCGTTGAGGACCTTGATGGTAGCCTCGTGCTGAGCAACAAGGCCTGTAAGATCTGCGACATCAGCAACGAGCTCGGCAATACGAGCCTCAGATGCTTGCTGCAGCTGATCGAGCGAGATCAATGCATTGTCCAACTCCTTCTTGGTTGCCTTGAGCTCTGCAGTCAGCTGGTCAAGCTTCTTTGCCCAATCTCTAATTGTGACAGCGCGCTCCTCCAGCTGCTGGCCCATTTCGGCGGTAACAGCCTCGAGTTGTTCCTGGAATGCCTTGGTCTCGATCTTGGCGAAGACGGCGGCATCGTTGAGATCTCTAAACTTCAACTCCCAGGCAGCCTGGTCAGCAGCATGCTTGGTCTCGCGCTCCTCTGCGAGAGCTTGAAGCTCTGCAACAGTCTCCTTGGAACGCTGCTGAACCTCGAACAACTTTTGGCGCAGCTCGTTGGCTTGCTTGCCGGATGCCAGAAGCTTTTGCTCCAGCTCGGTAACGAGGTTGTTGCGGTCATCCAGTTCAGCCTCGGCTGCTTCACGTTGGCGACGCTCTGCCTCCTCGAGAGCACGAAGATTGTCCAGGTCGGCCTTGAGCTGGGCCAATTCGGTCTCAGCCTGCTCGATGTTGACTTCGAGCTCGGCGATGAGAGTTGTGTTCTCGTCGTTGACTGCCTCGGAAACTTCTCTGGCTTGCTGCTCGGCGAGGTGCAGTCCTTGGAGAGTGGCAAGCTGTTGCTTGAGATTATCGATGTTAGCTTCGTCATCTTCGGCACGGCGCTCCAGAGTGGTGATGATGTTTTGCTTGTCATCGGCATCAGCCTCAGCGGTGTGGCGCTTAGTGCCCTCAATACGAAGCTGCTCCTCAAGTACGGACACGGCAGCTTGACTAGCCTTGGTGAGGTCGGAGATCTTGAGGTTGGCCTCTTGCTCCATACGAGTGATGAGAGCTTGGAGGTTGGCCTCGTTAGCTCTGTAGCCTTCGAGGGCCTCACCAAGCTTTGCGATGGTTGCATCCTGATCTCTGTTCTCACGGTCAAGCTCAGCAAGCTGGGCCTTCTTCTCGCTGATGAGAGTCTGCGCCATGTCGTGGTTCTTTTCGATCTTGTTCAACTCCTTGCTGAGCGAGTCGATCAACTGCTCATCTCTCTGGCTGTTGGCATCGAGCTCGTTGTAGCCGATCTCGAGGGTACGCTTGCGGATCTCGGCCTGACTCAATCTCTCGAGAAGACCGTCGATCTCATTGGCGAGCTCCTGGCGCAGCTGGTCGTTGTCGGCAAGGAAGACTTCCTGTTCGGTAACCTTGCTGGCAAGAGTCTCGAGGTGTTGGATGACGAGCTCAACAAGATCGGCATCTGAGATGTTGCTGGGAATGACACCGGGCACGGCAGACTCGAGACGCTCACGGACAGAAGCGAAGGTCTCGCGGATAGAGGCAATAATGGCCTCGGAATTCTCACCTGGGAAACCAAGAGACTGCAACTCGATAGTCAGGATCTGAAGAGTAGACTTGGCAGTGGACGCTTCATCGGTCCAGTACTGAATTGCCTCCTTGAATGCGCGGCGCTCTTCTTCCTGGGTAGAATCAGGGAGAGCAATCTGGGTCTGGGCATCGGAGATGTCGACAGCGTCGGTGACCTTTGTGACGGTACGGACTTCGGTGCCGGAAGAAGGAAGATTGGGGTATGAGATGCCCTGGCTGCTATCAAAGACCATCATGTCCTCGTTGATGACATCGACAGCATCGATAGAGTCCAGGTCGGGGATAGCGGCCTCTTGAGCCTTCTTATCAGCGAGATCCTCACCGAGTTGGGCGAGTTCGGCCTCCATGTCCTCCATCTTTTGGTCGTCGGCATCTTCACCAAGCTGCTTCTCGACGTCGAGTTGGTTCAGACGGGTGCGGATGAGATCCTCAATCTCTCCAATTTCTTGACGCAATTGGACCAACTCTTGGTGGGCCTCGGAACCATCTCTTTGCTCCTTGATCTCTTCACTCAAACGGGTGCGGCGAAGACGGCTCTTAACGCGCTCCGACAAAACCTGGCTCAGGGGGCGGAAAAGAGCAGTGACAGCAGGTGAAGAAGCGAAGCTCGCAGGTAGAGACAGGCGCGACTTGGGTGGCGGTGTCGAAAGAGCTTCAAACTTTGAAGGCGAGATGGTTTGGCGTCTCTCGGTGGTGATGGTCTTGCGGATGTGAGGAGTCAGGTGGGTCGAAGTGGCCTTCTGGCCTTGAGACGTCGCTTCGGTGAAGTGGACATGGCGGGCTGAGGAAGCAGGGGTGGTGAGTGTGACAGACTCTTCCTCGTCGAGGACTGTGAGATCTTCGGGATGATCGTAAGACGCGTCTTGTCTCTTTCTGCGCTTGATCTGTGATGAAGTCGAGACGGTGGTCTGAGAGCTCTGAGGAATTGGCGCGTCGGAAGAGCTGCTTGCTCTTCTCTTACGGCTCATGCGTTTCTCTGCGCTGGCCGTCTGCTGCGATGATGACTGCGACCCCGGCACCTTTTCTTGGTTGCGAGTACGCATTTTGTCGATTGTGTATGGAAATAACAGGGCTGGATGATGTAGAACAACAGTAACAACAGGGTAATGCTGACAGATGAGAAAATTGAGCAAAAGGGCTTGGTGGTAGGCAAATCGATGCGAGGTAAGAATTGGTGGATGGCGCTCGAAATGAATCGCGGCTTGCTTTTGACACGCGATGACGTGACGTGTGGACGGGTCCAAGCTTCTACCAAATCGTCTCGATAGCAACTGAAAGTAAAAGCTCCAAATCGTGGATCTGCCACTCTAACTATTATATCACGAGCTGGTTCTAGTCTTATAGCCATCTGCATGTCCAACACGCTGCTACAACACATGCAACACAGCAGCCACCAAGTCTTCGAGACCATATCGCCGTCTCAAGCCTTGTCAAATTAAACAGCGATCTGAGATCTGCATAAAACTCCCAGCCACCCTAGGCAGCGACTGCAGGTGCAGGTGGCTGAAAGTAACACACGATCATCTGCGATCAAAACTTGGAAACATGGCACAAAACATTCTTCTGAACACATGTGTCACCTGCCAACCTCGAAATGCACGAGACAACAGAAAGTCGTGTCTTGGAAAATGTGAGAAGAGTGTGCGTTGTATATTCGGGGGTATCGTGTATTCATCTAATCTATCCTGATCGTCTTCAATCTAGATCTCCATCCTTCTGGCTGGGCTTGTCTCCTTTCTTCGCGTCTTCCTTCTGCCCCTCACTGTGGCGGGGTAGCAGGGTGAAGATGATGACGAAGAGGACTTCGTTTGTGCTTCTGTCTTTGAGGACATATCTAAGTGCGTGAGACCTTGTGTTAGTCAGATTCTGCTCGTGATCCACAATTGGAATAATCTGCACTGAAAATAACTCAGTTCGCAGATGGGCTGCTTACCTCAGAGGTTGTCCATCCCAGTAGCTGATGATGGGGATAGTGATGCCGGGGATGTAGCTGAATCCAGGAAGCTTGAGTGCGAAGTCTGCATGGTTGTTAGCACGCCAATTCTTCGTTCTTTCGTCTTCTAAACATGCCATTGAAATCCAGGTATGGGTTGAAGAAGTCGCAGCTGTAGTTTCTGCCCTGCTCAAATGTAAAGTCCTTCAAGTGCTGCTCCTTGAGGAAGTGCTTCTTGCGAGCGTTTGCCTCATCGGGCAAGCCGGCCTTCTTTCTAGCCTCGACGCCATCGCCATCTGCACCCTCAGATACTATAACAGGCTTGTCGTCGCTTCCCTTCAGCTCCGCGGGCTCTTTCTTTTCGCCAACTCTCAGCGTGTTGATAGAACTGAGGAAGGGTCCATAAAGGTATGGCTCGTCGGCGTATGCATCGCCGTAAAGTCCAGGATCGATAAACCACTGAGCAATCTTCATTGCTTGTCCGAAGCCCGGAGGCAGCTTGTCCTTGATCGGGTGGTCAAAGTCGTTTCCGAAGACCAGATCATGACCGTTGATGTTCTTCTTGGGCGTGAAGGAGAAGGAAATGCTGTAGAGATCCGACTTGTGGGGATCGGTTTCGAAGTAGGCGCATGATGCTGGAGAATTGACGGGTTCGCCGCGGTAGTTTTGGACGCGAACGGTCAAGGAAGCATCGAGCTTGGAGCTGGAGATGCTGAGTGGTTGTTCAGTGTTGACGTGAACCAGCTTTTGGTTCGCTTCGTCATAGTCTGAGCCAGCGGTGACTCTGAGCATGTACTTGTCCGCCATGTTGAAGATGCTTGTTGTGTAAGGTGTGCTTGGGAGAGGAGCACGAGGGAAGACGACGCATATCTCTTTGTCCAAACGAAATACTGACATGACGTATCAGAATTTTCCCCAGATCGCGCATCTGACGTTTTTGCGCATGTGAATGTCTCGAGCGGCACAACACACTTTCATGACGGTAGATTCAATATGTACGTGATTTGATCATGTCGTTCCGTGTCCCATTGCTTTTTGGTATCTAAACATCTATACAAGCATTATTCTTTTTACATTCTTCTGAGGATGTCCTCAACAACCTCGGTGGTCTTGGCCTGACCACCCATGTCAGGGCTCAAGTACTTGCCCTCCTCAAGGTTGGCATCAACAGCCTTGTAGATGAGAGCGGCAGCCTTCTCCTCGTTGAGGAACTCAAGCATGAGAGCGACACTGCGGAGAGTAGCGATGGGGTTGGCAATGTTCTGGCCCTGAATATCAGGAGCAGAACCGTGGCAAGGCTCACCAATGGCGAAGCCCTCACCAACGTTGGCAGAGGGGACAAGACCCAGACTGCCGACAAGAGCAGCAGCGCCGTCTGAAAGAATGTCACCGTAAAGGTTGGGAGCGACAATGACATCGTAAGTCTCGGGTTGACGGAACAGCTTGTAGACCATGCTGTCGACGATCTGCTCATCAACGGTGACGCCCTGTGATTGGAACTTGGCAAGAGCCTCGCGAGCAGTCGAACGGAAGAGACCGTCGGTCTGCGAGAGAACGTTGCTCTTGTGGGTGATGGTGACATTGGCAGACTTGCCGGTCACGCCAGTCGAGTCGCGCACACGCTGGCGACGGAGAGCAATGTCACCGGCCATGGTAGCGATACGGCTCGAGGCACGCTCGGAAATGCGCTTGATGGCCTCTGCGACCTTGCCGTTCTCAGTGTCGTATGTCTTCTCCTCCTTGACGTACAGGTCCTCGGTGTTCTCGCGGACAATGACAAGGTCAATGGGGTCGGGGAACATGGTGGTGTTCTTGACGCTCTTGACGGGACGGACGTTGGCGTACAGGTCGAGACGCTTGCGGAGAGCGACGATGGGAGACGAGTAGCCCTTGGTAGGGGTAGTGGGCGAGCTCACGGCACCGAAGAGAGCACCATCGCATTCCTGCTTCAAGGTGTCGACGGTCTTGTCGGGCAGAGCAGCACCAGTCTTCTGGAAGGTGTCGAAGCCAGCTTCCAGGTCGACGAAGGAGAAGCTGAGGCCCAGAGACTTGGGCAGGGCCTCGAGAATGCGACGACCGGCAGGAATGACCTCGCGGCCAATGCCATCACCAGGGATCAGACCTGTGTATATGTTAGTAGGCAGTACTGGATTAGGAATGTGAAAGCCGACCAATTCTTAGTGTACGGGATGCCATTGTTGCTGAGGAGTGTGGAGAAGAGAGTCATCGCGAACTTGAGCGAGACCAAGTTGAATTTCGGCCGATGTCGGGTTGTTCGTCCAGCTGGTGGGGCATGGCATGGGCATGCTCGGAGACATGATATCTGAGGTGAATGGCTCCGTGATAGAAGATCCGTCTACACATGTAGCAAGACTAGAAACCCAGAAGTTCGATCTTTGGCACCTGCCTGACAATGAACAGTTCCAGGCAAGCAGCATGCGGTCGCTCTTTCCCTTGACAGATGTGATGCGGCCAAAGCTTGCACCTCGGAGCGTTGATGAGCACGCGGGGCAGTCGCAAAACATGCACCAAGCTTCGTTAACCATTCTGGTCAATCAACAATTAAAATGTCGTCCTCACCCACTCCCTCAGAACGTGAGGCCGCCGACAAGGTCACTGCTGCCCGCGAGGCAGAAGAGCAGGCCAAGCTTCCCTACAAGTGGATGCAAACCATCCAGGATCTAGACTTGACGGCTCAGGTTCCTGGAAACCTCAAGGCTCGCGACTTTGACATCAAGATTACAAAGAACCACCTGCGTGTTGCTGTCAAAGGTCAGGATCCCATCATCGATGTATGTCTCGTTCAACTCTCTCTACCTGCAATGTGCTAAGAACTACAACCAGGGCGATCTTCCTCACCCCATCTACGTCGACGAATCTACCTGGACCCTTGAAACCACTCCCTCAGGCAAGGAACTCGCTGTCCACCTTGACAAGGTCAACAAGATGGAGTGGTGGGCCCACGTCGTCAAAGACGCTCCCAAAATCGACACCTCCAAGATTGCCCCAGAGAACAGCAAGCTCAGCGACCTCGACGGCAACACCAGATCCATGGTCGAGAAGATGATGTACGACCAGAAGCAGAAGGAGATGGGTCTGCCCAGCTCTGATGAGCAGAAGAAGCAGGAGATGCTCGGTGTGTACAGTCTATGCGACAGTCTATGAGACGGCATCGTGCTAATGTCGGACAGAAAAATTCATGGCTCAGCATCCCGAGATGGACTTCTCTCAGGCCAAGATGTCGCCATAACATCCTCAATATCATTAAAGCGACCCGTATACCACTGGCTTTGTATGCATAGCGTAGAGCAGGAAAAGAACACATCAATGAGAAACGATCAATGTCCGTTCACGCAAAGCATCCTGGCCGCTCACAGAAACGCCTTGGTTATATTCCATAGTGTTCGAACATGGTCTCGGATTCAGGCTCCTTCTCGGTCTCTCTCACCTCAGGAAGAGTTTCATTGTCACGAACGCTGTATAAATTCCATACTTCAACACATGCTCTTTATGTGCTAGAGTCTATAGCTCTCGCCCGCTCTTATGACCACATCCAGGCGGAATTGAAGCCATCTAATCGAACAATCCTTTCCGTCTTACTGACTGGTACGAAGAGAGTCGAGATATTATGACTCCTTGTGAATGTTTGATATTCAATGAGCAAACTGCGCATGTTCATGGCAGCTTGCGTTACAGTCAGATATCTGCAAAGGACAGCGAGTGAGTGAAAGAGTCGTGAGACCTATGTTGACTTTCACTATTTGTTACAGAACTTTCGATGCAAGTCTCCGCGTCGACAAAGTGAATTATTAACACAATCACTTTCATCTCGCGCCTTCCAGCTTTACCTTTTCGCTCTTCCTCCAACGATCCTAACTTCATACATTCTGCGCGCAACCTCCAGCGCTTCATTCTCCCATCCAACCGCACCCTCTGCTCTCTGGAGACTTCATCATGGCATCGGCAGGCAGTGTCAGGGCTTCATTCTTCGACAATCCCCAATACTCGGACATCACCATCAAGTTTGGCCAACATGAGATTCGTGCACACAAAGTCATCCTTGCACAGCAATCCGGGTACTTTGCGACCGCCTTCTTCAGCAACTTTCAGGTAAACGGGTCTAGTGGTACAGATGATGCCTGACTGACACTAACAGGTTGCGTCGAGCCCTGTCATTGATCTGGGTGACGAGGACGATCCTGAGCTGCTCACAGACACGATCAAATCTCTGTACGACGATTTACACTTTCACCGTCGGTTTCGCGCTCGTGATTCTTCAGTCACGATGCATGGTCTCCTCGACATCTACTAGCTAGCTGACAAGTATGACATCCCAAGATTGCGCCGAGAGGCCACCAACGAGCTCTCCTCTTTGGCAGGTGACAACCTGCGTACTTCCCGTGCAAACGGCACATCTATCGATCCCTTGGTAGACTGCATTGCCAGGGTGTGTGGACCAGATTCTCTGCAGGCCGCCGACAACGCGATGAAGATCAGGGTCATGGAGATATGCCAGAAGAATTCCATTGCACTTCTAAAAGACAGGACGTTTGTCTAGAGGTACAGAAGAGGAGAATTGTTCGATGTCGGAAGTGCGATCGCTTTTGGCATGGCACTCGGTGGCCTTGTGCTCACGTCCAACGGTAATCCCGCTGAAGAGGCCGATGGTTTCCCAAATATGAAGTCTGTGTATCAGTATCAACCGGACGGGTACGTCAGATCTCTCTCAGTGTGTTCCAGATTGTCTGACTGATGGTAACAAGATACATGATCAACTTCTTCAACGACCAGAGACTCTCCGATATCACTATCATCTTTTCAGGCAAGAAGATATTGGGTCACAAGATTATCCTTGCAACTCACTCGTCCTACTTCCAGGAGGTACTCGGGGGCTCGCCCACGGTCAGTAAACCCATCACGCATTCTCATGAGCTGTTAGGCTTACTCGAGGCAGGTCTCGGAGATCAACCTCGGCATTGAGCACGACATTGCTGCTACAGAAGTCTTCCTAGAAAATATGTACTTGCTCTCGCCCTATTCTCGCACTTCTGATCCTGGACGTTCGCTAGTATTCTTCGCCGAGATGTACCTGCTGGCGAAACGATACGGTCGCGAAGATGAAGTCCGCGTGTACCAGAATCTTTTCTCCGGTATTCTAGAGGGGGAACCATTCTCCAATGAACATATTGCGGGTGTGGCGGCTCTATGCGGTCCAGACTCTTCCAGATACGCGGATACACCCTTCCCAGACACAGCTTTCGAGGAATTATGTGCGAACATTCCGTATCTAGACAACAAGGAGCGCGGGACACTCAAGAAGAAGCTCGAGGAAGGATCGATGTTCAAAGCCACATTCTTAGGACGCTTTGCTGTCGAGATGCTCGACAGATTTCTGATGGTATACGACGGAAAGTCGCCTCCATTCTAGGAACGATGATGGCAAAGTCGCTGTCGGGTCTGGCTCTCACTTGCTCTCAGGAAACCCGAATACTACACGCGCTTAGCTCTGAAATGTCGAAACCTTCCGGCATTCTGATTGGTTCCAATCGAATATCGCTCGGGAGAGAGGCATCAATGATATCGAGGTTCGATATGAATGTCTGCATGAGCAGGTTAAATTAGGGGGTTCGCTGAAGCTCAACAACTATGCATATACCCACCTCAATAAGAATTCTACTGTATCAACGTTCACTAGGTGTTACAAGTTCAAAACTGGTTTCATTGATCATGATGTCGTTAATCAGATGGCTGGGACAGGTTGTTAGCTCGGCTCCTCGGATGTTCATGGCCCGAGCATTTGAAGGTCAGGGTCGTAGGCTTAGCTAGCAAATTCAAGGTCGACGACGATATTGCTAAAGCACCAAAGGCTGTCGGCATCTGTAGATACTCGCATAATATTCTTTGTGGTTTTCTGCACATATGGGTATACTAACCAGGGTGGTACGACGCTTCTACGTCCTCTGATATCCTGCAAATAATCGAAACAATGATTTACCAAAGAGACCGACAACAACACCACGAAAGTTGACACCCCCTACGAGTCAAATGTGATCAAGAAGGGAAATTCACTGGAACTATAGAACAGGAACGATTCGTACAGACAAATCATTTGAGATAGAGCACTATTTTCGAGACTCAACTCATCGCAGTCGCCTGAAGTTTGTTTCATAAGGAGCTGCAGTCGTAGCCAAGCGCGTGTCTTGGGACCAAGGCTCAGCCACTTCGAAACACCACACATCTTCAGTGTTTGAGGAGGTGTTGCGTTCACTGGAGGGCTGAGCGCATGCACACAGATCCTCTACCTTTTTCCCCTATTTTCTTGTTAACTGCAAAGGCACACGACACAGCAGCTCTTTCCCACCGTCGATACCTCCGTCCATTCTCCACCCGACTCGGTGTGGGGTCGCGAACGCCTTGTCAGATTGCTTACCACCACCACCTCTTCTTGCCTGTCTCTGTTTGTCGTTTGATGCACACACCAATTTTATGATATTGCTATCAACATGGACGCTCTACGGAATCTGAACCTGAAGCTACCTTTCTCGAGCACACCGCTACCGCCGAAGGTGGTGATATCGTCAGTTCATGGTCGCGTGCCCTTGTTTTGTCGGAATGCTGACTTCTGCCAGATATATCCTAGACTATGTGATTATTGTGTAAGAACACCATGGAATAACGTCTTTCGACATATCTAAGTGAACAAACAGTATCCTCGCAATTCTGTTCCTGGCCATCGACAAAGTCAAGTAAGACCAGCCCACGCGAAGCGAAGCTAACGGCTCGATGCTAACATCACGTCCAACAGTGGCTTTCGACAGCACTTTGCACTTCAAAACTACACATTACAGTATCAAAATTTCCAATTCTTATAGGAAGGCCCGGACTAACACCAGAACAGATACCCGTATGCAGTGCACGAACGAGTGCCGGCGGGCGTATGCTATGTTATTGTGGTCATGTGTCCCGCCGCCATCATCTGCTTCTGGACACTGGTCATCGACGGTCTCTTCGGACACTCACAGCCCACGGATAGCGAAGGCACAGGCAGAAGAATAGGTCGCTACAGACTTGTAGACAGACTATGGGAACTCAATTGCGGCATCTTGGGCCTGGCCTTGTCAGAAGGCACCGCTTTCGTCATTACAGGTAAGCCCGTCCGACGGGGTATCGTATTATGCAGAATCGATCAGCTCATACATGACGAAGGTGCACTCAAGAACACCGTCGGCAAGCCACGTCCCGATCTTATCGATAGGTGTCAGCCGATGGCTGGTTCAGTGGATCCTTCTCCATATGGTCTCTCGAACTCGACGATATGTACACAAACGGACATGAGCATCCTCAGAGATGGCTTCAGAAGCTTCCCTTCAGGACACTCGAGCAGTGAGTGACTCGGGAGGACTGATGAAAGTACAGGGACGAACTGACATGTCTTTCATAGGCTCATTTGCTGGACTCTTCTACCTGTCACTGTACCTGGCAGCCAAGCTCCACATCTGGGACTCCAGAGGTGAAGTATGGAAAATCTTTGTTGTCATCATCCCATCTCTAGGCGCCGCTTTGATTGCAGCTAGCAGAATCATGGACGCGAGGCATCACCCGTAAGTGAGGCAGTGCTATACTTGGCAGCTCAATATTGACACGTATTCCAGCTTCGATGTGATAACTGGTAGTCTGCTTGGCATAGCATGTGCTTGGCTATCCTATCGTCAATATTTCCCTCCCGTCAGTGAGACCTGGCGCAAAGGCCGCGCATACCCCATCAGGACCTGGGGACAGGAAACGGCACCACCGCCAGCAGCAATGTCGACGGCATACGAGCCGTACGGCAGACAAGCAACGGACACACAAGGAGCACCATCGCAAAGAAGACAAATGCAGCACTCGAGAAATGCAGGCTCGGACAGCCAAGCAATGCTGGCGACGCACGCAGCACCGTTTCCGTCGGGAGGTTTGACTGGTACGGCGGCCGACAGACGGCGCGACGATTGGGACGTGTCTTCGGCTGAAGAAGATGAATTTGAGTTGCAGCAGCAACCTAGATATCCACCAGGCGCGGCCATGGGAGGGTCGACGGCGTACCTGCCTCGTACGCACATGGGCACGACATCAGATCAAGTTTAAAAGCTTCAGCGGTGTTTGGCAACGCGGCTATACACATCACGAGTTGAGAGTTTGATCAGGTCAGGCATGGCAAGGGGCGTACAGTAGGGCTGGTCAAAAACGGGGACAAGTGCAACGCGCATACCTTATCAACGTACCCCAGTCTATTCGCATGCGCAATGCAAAGAATTGATAGTTCGAACACCAAGAAGCAACAAGTCATATGAGCATTTACATGGGCGCGACAAAGCTCCCTCTGTCATGTCTAGATTGGGACAAGTCCTCCCCGACATGGGTCTGCGTTACGAGTCACTTGATGGAAAGCACACGTCAGCATGGGTTCCTTTCAGAAGTATGAACACGGCCTCCTGCAAAGAAGCAAGCAGAGCCAACATGTACCCGCAAAAGTATGTCGTCAAATCGTGCGATGGCGGGATAAGTCGACGATAAAAGGAGTATCGATTCTCAAGGACTGACAATCACATTGCGCTGATTTGCAGCTGCTTTTCCTTTGCAGATAGGATCAATGATGATAGAGGGGCACGCGTCCCCACATCTGATCAGCAAAGCAAATGTGTGCGTGGAGTCGTGGACGATCAAACGAAATCACACACACACAGCAAAGCAGCAGCGAAGAGAAGCACCCAACCCCCAAGTCGAGAAAAGGATGTGTGGAGAGAAAGAGGCTCAGGGAAAAAAAGGGTTGCGAGTCAGGCTTCGAGGAAAGGGGGCTAGAGCCGCAATAGGCAAAAAGCGGGCGGATGGGCAAAAAAGTGTTTACACGACGCACGTCAGCCTCCTTCTAGGCAGGGTCACTTCAAGCAACAGAACAAACGGTTGGCAAAGCTAGACATGCGTGTCTCTGCTGCAGGATTAGTTGGTAGAAGAAGATGGTGGTTGAAGAGACAAAAAGGTAGCAAGAACAATGGATCGTAAGAGCGTCAAAATACGAGCTGTTGAAACTATATGAAATCACGCGGGCGAGTATGGATGTGTTTTGAACATTTGACAGTATAGACAGTCAAGTGTTTTAAAGAGCGTCAGCCTTCTGGTTCACACAGCAAAAAGCGTAGTTTGCTTTGAGAGCTTGGCAGCGGTGTATCCGAACGCCACGCAACGTGGAGGGCGATGTAAGCGCAGATTGGCACGCCGCGAGTTCTGGAACCAGGAGAACGACGACGAGTGTGCGCTCCTCTGCCTGAGGGAGAAGAAGAAGACGACGATCAGATAGTCGGTGACTAGATGGTGGATCAGATAGCTGGAGAGTGGACTTCTTTGCTGAAAGAGATACGCAAAAGGTAGACGCGGACGGGGATTGGATGGAAGTGAATCGCAAAAGCGGAAGGCGTCGTCAGCCTTTCATCGACGCTTTGGCCATGCAATGCGCGTCGTGTCGCCGGTGCATTGCGTGGCCGGGCAGACAGACGCTGACCATAATCTGCTCGACTCTCTCGCACCTGCCTTCGTGCAAACCATCGTCGCTCCTTCCAGACACCCGTTCCCTTGAAGCGCTGCAATCCGCACCTTCCGAAAACATAATCAGCAATCGTGCGGACCGTCGATACCTAATAATTCGCCTGCTGTGAAAGCGACGATCCAAGGTGCAGGGGCTGTGCAATCCAAATCCATCGACTACGACAACCTTCGAAGCCGCACACGTCTTGCACGCACAACCTTTCGCACTCTCTAATACCCACGCCACCCCGGACTCTCGCATTCCTCTACATCGAGACGGCCTCGTCTGTCTCTTCCACAATCATGGCTAGCCGCACACCGACCAGCCGAGGAAGACGTCCAGCAGTCCCCGAAGGCCTCAATGAGACATGGGCCAAGGACTTGACCGACCAGTTCCGTCGTGCTCTCAGCACAAAGCGCATGAACACTCTCACCAGGAATACCACACAACAGCAGCAGCAATCGCCAGGTGCACCGCCGTCCTACTCATCTCTCCGCAACATCCCGCTTGTTGCGACGGCGCCATCAGATAGAAACTCTTTGCGCTTCCGTTCCATGCTCCTCTCCCTCTCCAACACTCCCTGTAGATGGGAGAACCCCGGTCTACTGGATGAAGCCCTTCGCTCTATCCCTCTAGAACGCATCTACGACCAAGCACAAGAAGAAAGCGATCTGTACCTCGCCGAGGCTGCATCATTGGGCCCTAACACCAAGCCCGCCTGGGGTTACCAGGACTGTGTCGTCAGAGCCCTTATGAAGTGGTTCAAGCGTCATTTCTTCCAATGGATTAATAACCCCAAGTGTGGTGCATGCCATGCACCCACCATCGCCGTCGGCATGGCTGCTCCTCTTCCGGATGAACAAGCCCGTGGTGCCAACCGTGTCGAGATTTACCAATGCTCCAACGCCCAATGCCAGGCTCACGAGCGCTTCCCCCGCTACAGTGACGCTTTCGTCCTTCTTCAAACACGAAGAGGACGTGTTGGTGAGTGGGCCAACTGCTTCAGCATGTTGTGTCGCGCAGTCGGTAGCAGAGTTCGTTGGGTATGGAACAGTGAAGACCACGTCTGGACCGAAGTATACAGTGAGCACCGCAAGCGCTGGGTGCACGTCGATGCCGTTGAAGAGGTCTGGGATCAACCTCTTCTCTACACACATGGTATGTTCTCCTTCTAACCTTCAGTCGTAATCTGTATTCTAACATACTCTCAGGCTGGAAGAAGAAGCTTGCTTACTGCATCGCCTTCTCTGCCGATGGCTGTCAAGACGTCACTCGTCGCTACGTGCGCAACTTTGGAAAGTACGGTCTACCACGAACCAAGGCTCAGGAGAGCGCCGTCCTTCACATCATTGCCGAGATTAAGAACATGCGCCGTCGCGACATGAACAAGACCGACAAGTTCCGTCTCGAGGGCGAGGACATTCGGGAAGACAAGGAGTTCCGTCAGAACGTCATCGAGAGTTTGTCGAGAGAAATCTGCCGCATGCTTCCTGGTCGTCCCGATGCAGATATGCTCAAGGCGCAAGAGCGTGCGAGAGAGGCTCAACTTGCTCGTGCTCGCAACCAACACAACGCTCAGTCTTTCAACCCTCGCGACCAACAGCAGCAATAACACACCCTACCCTGCTTCGACCCGCCTACCTTTATAATTATCACCGAAACACCCCGGCATCTTGCCCTCTCTGAGGCACATCATTCTTCGAGCTTCGACATTCTTCCTACCAATACCTTATATCATACATAACGGAGCCATACCACGACCGCGCCGACAGATTCGACCTCGTTTTCCTTTGTCATGCATTTCCTATCATCTCATCTTGGAGTTCTGGGACTCGATCTCATGGGAGACGAGTATTCTTTCATGGGCTATACCACGTTCAAACCTTTCTGGGCTCTTGGGGGGTATACGATTTTCCTATCGGTATTTGCTTTGCTTGGTGTTACAGGCGCTTCCAGTCTTCACTCTTCTGTACGAGAGCGATGACCTTTTGGATTTTTACAATGTCTAGTGTTTTCCTTTTCCCGTCGCTTTATGATCTTGCACAACTTCTTCACTTCTTTCATCACCACCTTTTACTTGACATTGTTCCTTTTTTCGGTACGGTGTTTTAGGATGTGGAGGTACTTTTCTCATCCTCTCTTCTTTCTCGATATCTTTCATGCGACCAAAGAGGTGGAAAGTGAACAAGAAAGCATTCGTCTTTTCTTCTTTATGGCAGGGATATACAATTAGTTACTTGGATCATGATATAGAGACAAGAACGAAAACGTCACTGCCAGCATCACTCATCATCAATATCCAAATATGATCGTCTTCATCAAATGTAGTTCTCTAACATGAATTCGTGAATTGCAGGTGGTTGCATGTCTTTGTACTAATGAGTCAAGAATCGATTGCTGAGTACGTGGTTCGTGCGCAACTCACGAGAGACATGGCGGGACGACGACGAGTTTTCGTTATCATGAGATCATCTATACCAGCCACTCGTACTCTTACTCACACAATGTACTTGTATACCGACTCGAGGCCAACTTACTTGACGGGGAGAACGAAGATGTTGGCTTGGCCGCGTTTCACAGTTGCTCTGCCACGAATTTTGCTAAAAATAGCATCGGGTTTTCGGACAAAAGTTCAAAATGGCCGCGTTGCCTGGGTCTGGGCATGTTGGAGAGAGTTCATGAATTTGAATTGTTACTCTGCTTGCAAGTCGATGCTTACGAAGGGGCCGTGGTATAGCATGATACGAAATGATGTACGAGACGGTGATAAGAGACACAGAGGGTTTGGAGTTGTGTTTGATGGGCTCCAAGGGCTGATGATCCGAGCCAAGGATTCAATGGTGCGATTCACCCAGTGAACGGACAGTGCACTGCAGATGGAGCATGTTGGATGAGCAGCCAGCAGAGAAAAAACGTACGTCAGCAGTGTTTGCGCAGCCACCCCTGCAGACAAAGGCTGCGGCAGCCTGACTACGCAGTCCAGGATGCTTGCAGGATGGATCGCTGCGCCGGGTGAGTGCTTGGTAGAATGTGTTTTGACACAAAACCCTTGTGGTTCGCCTGACAAAGTGATTTTCTGTTCATCCTTCCTTCGAGCTGTTCAACTTTCCATCGTCGCCACAACAACAGTGACCATCACAATTCGTTTTTACCTCCCGACAACGCCTGCGTTCACTTTTTGAAGGACCCTTTGTCAGCCACCTCCGCAGTTTCACATTCGCCGCATACTTTTTCGACATTGGTTCCTGGATTCAGATATTAGCTGGATTAACCTAGAAGAGTTACTATCAACACCAAACAACCTTTACCATCCTTCAGCAAGCATGGGCAAGGCAGGCCGCGCAGTATGCATCTTCACGCCGATGGCGCTGACTATTGCTTCCTTTGTCTGTGTTCTCCTCATCAACCTCGGCGGCATCAGCAAATCATCAAATACCCTTAACGATCTCCACTTCTTCACCGCCGACTTCACAAACTTCACAACCGACAGCAGTACCTTGGGAACGGTCATCAACCTGGCCAAGGAGGAGGGCTTCATTTCGAACAAATACGAAATCTTCCTCTGGAACTACTGTGACACTGGTAATGGCACTAGCAGTCAGGACATCACTTACTGTTCGCCTCGTCACACTGGCTTCTGGTTCAACCCTTACCAGGTCTGGAGTTTGGAGAAGGCTCTCAATGCTACTGAGTCTGCTGCTTCAAGCCTCGCAGGCACTGATGTTGACAGTAGCATTCTCTCCCAGCTGGAGTCATATGTCAGCAGCAATGCCGATGCTCTCTATGATCAGGTCCTTGACAGCAGCACCCGCAAATCCATCGACCTGTACAAGAAGCTGAGCAAGTGGATGTTTGCCGCCTACTTTGCAGGTCTCTGGGCCTTGGTGCTCACCATCGTGTTCGGTATATTCGCCGTGTGCTCGCGCTTCGGCAGTTTCCTGACTTGGATCTGTGCTATCATCTCTACTATTCTCATCTTCGGAGGTTCGATCACCGCTACAGTCATGTTCAGCATTCTTGTCTCTACCCTGCACGAAAAACTCAAGGATTACAATGTCAAGGTTAGCCTGTCGACTCATCTGCTGGCGGTAACATGGCTCGCCACCGCCTTCATCCTCCTCGCCACCCTCTTCTGGCTCTTCAGCTGTTGCTGCTGCTCTGGCAAGTCCAACCCCCACCACCGCAGCAACAAGGAAGCTCCTGCCGCTGAACTCGGTCTTGCACCCTCTGGCGGTTTCCTCAACAGAGGCAGAAGTGTCAAGTCTGAGAAACACGGTGCTGGATACGCACGCGTCAACTCGCCTTCTGCTCGTCACGGTCGTGGTGACTCTGATGTCATGCCGCTTACGCATGTCAATGGCGGTGCTGCGGACTCGTACTATAAGCAGGAGACTGGCTACATGCACGGAGCTCGCGAGAACAATGGCGCATATGAGCCTTATCGTCGCAATTAAGTGTTGAGCAATGGACATGAATTGTATCACGCTTCATCCTTGTTGCTCTTTTTCTCTTTTTTTCCCCTTACCTTTGCAATGGCATCGATCAAATGCCAACGGCACATGAATCACGAAGACGAGTCTGTATATAGTTGACGAAGACTTTCAATGAAACAAATCCTTCCGCATACAACCATGCATTGTTTTTCCTTGTGACCCCGAAAAACGTCCTTGAGTGGAGGGTTTTATGCACGGTGAAGCTTGCGATGCAAGAATTCAATGAATCTTTCCAGTCTGTCCTTTGCTTCTTTATATCTTGTAGGAAGGTTTATCAAGGCGAGACCTGGACCAATACCCGTCATCCTCTACAGTGAACAAGGCTGTTGCTTCTTTGCCTGTTCATGCTCTCCCTAGCTACATCATGCGAGCTCCCTATTAGTTTACTATAAGCTCTAGCCTAAACATATCCATTTTCGGTGTCAACTAACAGCTTTCCGGATTCTGTGACTCTGCACTACTTCTATAGGCCTCGCAGCACTGGCCCTTCTAGATAGACCTATGACTCCTACATCTGGAGTACTGCCTGACTTCGCTCTCATCAGTGACCTTAACCCTCCGTTGCATTGTTAACATAGGATACCCTAGCCTCTTTCCAGCATAGACGTGACCTGCAACAATCAACGCATGCGCCTTGGACATGACGAATGCCGATCAAGTAGCAGGATACAAAGAAAAGAGACCGTTCGTACCATTCTTTTCCGATATACCAGTGACCAATGCGTCCTTCCGCACTGCAAAACCCCGCCGCAAAACTCCGGCAACCCGTAATCTTCCTCATCCTTCCCTCTTTCCCTCTTTCCATCACCTCACTCTCATCCCTCACTTGACTTTGGCCCCCTCGCCCGCAATCCTAGCCCCGAACATACCCACCCCGACCATCACGACCCCTAAATCCGTGATCCACAACCATACTCTCATCGGAAAGGCCAGATCATAGGAAGAAATCCATTTGTTGAACGCGATGAGTAAGAAGAGGAGGATTACAGGGAGAGTAAAAGTGTTGGCTGCGAGGTGTTGGCGGAATGTTGATGGTCTTGGTTGTGTTGTTGGTGTAGGCATTTTGAATAGCTCAGATAGCGCGTGGTTGTGATGGTGGTGAGGCTTGTAGGTAAACAAGAATTGAGGATTGTTGATGTTGAGTTGACGGCAAGACGGAATGTGTTATAGCAAGAGGTTTGGCGTTGTGACAGTCAAGAGAGCTTAAGCGGTGTAGAGATAAGTGTGAGTTGAAGTGGTTAGAATTAGGTATACGGATACTCCGACGATGGAGCGTTTTGGTGAAAGTAGACGCTAGGACGAAAGAGGAAGGAGCTTTTGCGTGTCTTATACTATCGACCCTCTTTATGTTTCCTTCCTCTTCATGTGCAAGATGTGTTATCGGATAGCTATAGAAATGCACAGTTCTTTGCAGACGGCAGCAAAGTCCATAGAGAGCCGGTAACTACATTACCCTCGACGGATGCTTCTTATATTTCCAAGGCACTGTGCAATTCGATAGCTGTTCGCGTCACATAGCTTTGCGCATGGAGAGGTACAGCTTCTGTGTTGAAATTATCCTTCAAATTGTCTGTATATACTTGGTATCAGTCATAGTCTATCATTATCATCATCACTTCTACCATCCCTGCCCCGTCTCCTCTTCAGTCCAATTAAAGTCAGGGTATCACTCGGAATCCCTCACAGCAGCCTCAGCATCTCTCTCCCTCTCCTTATCATCCATCTTCTCCTCCAAAACCGCCGTCTCAGCTATTGTAGCCTTGCCATGAGTAACCGGATGCTTCTTGCCCGTGACATCCAACCACATGCTCTTGAAAGTCCTGAAAATCGTCTTTCTGCCTTCAATCACCGGATAAATACCCACACACATGGCAGTAACAAACAACCAGATAAAGCCCACGACAACCCATCCAGTGAAGAATTTCTTGGAGAAAACGTAACCGGAGCCATACATGGGCATGGGCCACAGGATCAAGAAACACAGGATTAGGCATACGGTGAGTGTGCGGGCGATCTTGGAAGCGCGGAGGAGATGCTTTTGCTCTGCAGCTTCGGCAGCGAGCGAGTGTGCCGTTTCGCCGTGAGCGCCGCCGGGAAGCAATTCAGGGTCGATGTGGGCGGCGGCGGTGAGGTCGGAGTCGTCGGGTCGGCGGATCTGTTTCATGGATTGCCAGTCGTACTTTCCGCTGCTGAACACAAGAGACAAGATGGGTACGGTGATCACTGGTGTGAGCAGAGCAACGACGTTACCGACCAGCATTGGGTAATTTGAGCCAGTGGCCTCGACGGAGAGGTTGCCGTACTGAGACTTTGCTTGAACGAGCCAGCCAATGACTGCGCAGATCAGAGCAATGATAGGAGAGAATGTGGCTGCCGCCCATGACTGCCTGTCGGAAAGCAGAGTCAAAGCAGCAGGTAAAACTCCTCCGCCAATGATACATCCCATCATCAGGTAAATGTATCCCATACCAATGCCAGCATAATAGAGGCCAGTCGAGAAAGCAGCCATGAACAATGCGTAAATTACACAACTGACGTGACTCATGTAAATCAAGTTTTTTCCGTGTGCCTTAGGATTGATGTATGTGTTGTAGATATCGTATGTGAAGATACTCGACACGGCAATCAACTCAGCAGACATGGCCGAGGTGACAGCCATGAAGATGAGCACCAACGTCGCGGCAGCGCCACCGGACCCAAGGAGAGCGACAGCGGCATTAGGGAGGACCAGGCCAGCAGTGACATCTTCAGCTGCCATACGCAGAGGGAAGGTCGGGAACACGGGGTTGTTCTCGAGGGCTAGTGCTGCAAGACCCATGGTAGTAGCGCAGAGCCAGGGAATCTAAGAAATTGTCAGCCAGAGCTAGAATGAGCGCATATCGGACGAGGCTAACCGCAAACCACGTTAAACCTCCCAAAATGTAACCAGGAAGAGCATGTACAGGTGAAGCAGCGATAGCCTTGTTCCAGTATCCGTTGTCGAGGTAGACAGTACCGAAGTTGCCAACAAGGTTGATAACAAAGAAAATACCACCCTCACGGGATTGCATAGTAAGATAACTTCCCTGCGCATTACCCTCAACAGGATGGCGAGCTGAGGCCGCTAAAAGTGCATCGTATACAGCGCTGGGGCTTCCAAGGATCTCGTTGGTCGAGTAAGCCGTAAAGGCAAAGAGGAAAATGATGATCAGAATCACGACGGTGTGGACCCAGTCAGTGATGAAAGTAGCCTTGATACCGCCAAACATGGTGTATGCTACGACGCCGACTGGAAGCAAGAAACAAGCAGCCACGGGGTTCATGCCAGTAAGGTCTTTGATAACGGCACTGCCGCCAGTCAATAGCATAGCGGTAACCAGGATGTTAGTCATAAGGCCAAAGACGATGAACACCAAATGAGTGATTCCTCCATAGCGAGCACGGATAGCTTCCAGGAAGGTATGAGCATTTGGGGCCTTGCGCTTCAGCTCGATGGCCAGGGTTGCGAAGAGAATGACTTGTACTGTTGCACCAGAGGCATACCAGAAAGGTCCAGAAACACCATAGTTGTAAGCAACAGCAGATGATTGTAGTCTGATGACATGGAACATTAGCTCGCTAACATTACGACTATGAAAAGCAGCTTACTTACAGAGTAGCTGCCCAGGTCCAGGACGACACAACAGCAGCGGCCACAAGACCAGATTTGACACTTCGACCCGCAGTAGAGAAGACCTCAGAAGTCTGCAATTCGTTGTTGTATCTTCGCAGTACCCAAGTGATGAACATCATACCGAGCGCGAAGAAGAATCCGACACCCAGCACGACTCCATATCCTACTCCTTGGGACAATACGGCGACTGTTCCAGCCATGATGTGTAAACGGGGTATAAAACAGATATTCGATTGCAGCGAAGGGCGAGGACTACAAGGACCTTATAGCAGCAGTAAAGCAAGCCGTTGTCCGGCTATATCTCAAGGCAAATAGTAGAAGCCACCTCGAAAAAGAACCTCCGCGGCGGAAGGTGCTGTCAGCCATTTTTTATATGCGATCCGCACTGCAGGGTCTCTATCTCACATGGCACAATCTGAAGCACGACTGGGGTTGAGTAAAAAGTGATTCATAGTGAGATCGACATGAGCAGCCAAGGGAGCGTTGCGGTTTGGGGTCGTTGATAAGAGAAGCAATCTGGGGTTTGGGATTGGCAAGCTTGTCGCTAATTGGCTCTGACAAACCCCCAACACTCTACTCTTATCAGTGTGCGACATCGCGCTGTCTTTATCATCCACATAGCTGTTTTCCGTCCAGTAGAAATGGTAGAAATTTGCTCGATCAATGCATGTCATGCTATCTCTGCCTTTTCGTCTTGGCATGCGACAGAAAACGTCGGATAGCGCATTCTGGGGGTGCTTACTCGATGCGATTGTCTCTTCGGCGCCCCGCGCGGACATGTCGTATCTGATCATGTCTCTTTGCAGAATGTCAAGCCGACAGGCTGTATAACCATCGAAGCAGATACCGGCTGCGCGCTTGCATGTCTCGGGTTCGTTCCGACGTCGGAGCATGTTTCTATGCGTCCTTCCATTTCCACATACCCAGCCAGCACTCAACTTCACTCAACTCGTCGCCTCGTCCATCGCTCCAATCGTCGTAGCCTGTTTCTGTCTGCTCGTGGAATAGTTCCAAACCAATCTTGACCATGCGATCTTTGAGATCTGCACGCTCTTCGGCATAAGCCTCGCGGATCGGTATTTGGATCAATACACGAGCATCAGGGCTCTGGGCAAGGTGACAGTCGATAGTCTGAACCAGCCATGCGGGATGCTCTTTTGAGTAGATAGGGTCGGCAGCGACAATTAGAGGGTATTTTGAGCTTTGTTCTTCAGCGGCAAGCGAACGTGTTGATCCATGGGTTTCGTCGGGGTATATGATCTTCTCCGGCACAGTCCAGTCAAGTATTGCAGCCCGGGCGGATCCTTTTCTCGACTCGATCATCTCTTTGTTCGAGGCGATGTTTCGCTCAAGGTTTGGTACAATCTCGGGTAAGTCGGTCAAAAGCACATTCGCACCCAACACAGCTGCGGCAGCAATGCCAACAAGACCTGTGCCCGCACCTAATTCCAGGATTGTCGCATTCTCGTCCTTGCCAAACACCAAAGGAATGCGATCGCGTAGGGTATGCCAGTTTCGAGCAAAGACGAATGACGAGGCCCACGTCTTGAGACCAAGGTTATCCTCGGTAAGAGCAGGCTCGTGGATGCTGACTTGGACGGTGATATCCTGGTCATTCGAACTAGTGATGACCGGCTTCATAGTGCTCGAGCTGTTGGTAGTGTCGGCTGATAGAGGTATACGAAACGAACGTGTGATATCTCCCATTCCGGTACGACCAGAACGCTCGCTCAAGCGTAATGAAGCAATATCCCAAATCTTCTCTTTCTCTACGTCGTCTTTGATCCAGTCCAGCGGGCTCGAGACGATTCGTGTGAGATACTGGGGAACGCCATTCGAGCTCACTTTTGGCTTCGGTTGGGCGGTAGACTTATCCCATGATTGAGGCTCTAGGCTGAGAAGGGCCAAGGTGTCTAGTAGTTGCTGTGATGAGGGCTTGGTGTAAATCTGCGGAAGGTCTAGGACTAGAGGATTGTTAAAAAGGTACGATTGATGGTTTATAGGTATATCCTACCGTCTAGGACCTCTTCCTCGTGGTCCGACTGGTGCGCAGCATGGTTGTTGGTGGTAGATTTGGACATTTTGGCAGAACGTGAAAGTGACGCTTTCACATGGACAATTCTGGAGAAGGCGCGGAGACGCACAGACCAGGGCTTCCGAAGATCAACCATCATCTTTACTCGAGAGTCGCTTTGAAACCATCATATGCCAGGTTCATGTCGAATTGAAGTTCGCGAGCTTGTTCGTCCGAGAGATCTTGAGCAGCGCGCATCTGATTGAGAGTGATAAGCCACTGTACTATTTTGGCCTTGTTCTCAAAATCCTGGTCTGTGACCTTGTTGACGGCCTGGATGGTTTCGACGAGGATAGGATGAAGCGTGTCCTTGGAAAGCATGTTCATTTTGATAGCATCAAATAGAGTGATGAAGTTCTCAGAGGCTGATACGATGTGAGTGGCAGCAGCACCAGCTCCACCGCCAGATTGACCTCCAGGTGCACGCGATGGAGCCTCTACAGTGGCCGGCAGACCAATCTTCAGCCGGTCAGAGGCACGAGGGACCTCGAGATTCCATTCCAGCTTGAAAGAGTCGAGGCTTCCAAAGGCTCTTGCTACCGAATCATCTGCCAGATTGGACTTGTATTGCTTTAGTAGTCGGCTGCATGTGTCGGTGTAGTCGGTTTCAGAGATTGAATCTTTGAGAAAAGCCCTTTCGAGTGCTTCAAGAGTAACAATGATACTGTAGATCTCGGCCAGAGACTCGTAGAGGTCACGTTCGGCACTGTTGTTGGCGAGTTTGAGCTCCTCATCAACATTGATAGTGGCCGAGAGAGTCGAAGCAGGAGTGTAGCTGTACGGAGTCGGAGCATATGCCAGCTGCCGTTCAGCATACATGGCGGCGGATGGTCTCTGAAAAGACAGTTGTGTTGTTGGTAGAGGAGACGATGTGGGAAAGAGCGATGGACGGTCTGCATGTGATACACGGTTGGTGGTCTGTGCCCGGCTCGGCTTCTCCGCAGAATCAGTCTCAATCGGTTTTTCCTTTGCCCTGTCTAAACTTTTTTTCTACCACCAGAAATAATCACACAACATGGCGCAATCAAAGGCCACCAAAAAGTTCGAGAAGAACCATCTCAAGGACACAATCAAGCGCCGCAAGGACTTTGCCAAAATCAAGCAGCGCCACCAGATCAACGAGAAGAAAAAGGCAAAGCGAGCCCAGGACAATGAAGTTTCGACACCACCACCAGAGACGAGGGCCCCAGCCAAGGACGGAAAGCAGGACTTTGAGAGCATGAACGTCGACGACTTCTTCCAAGGAGGCTTCGACGTCCCCGAGCTACCGGCAAAGATGGACAAGTCACTCAAGAGGAAACGCGCAAAGACCGACGACAAGGACGCCCAAGCAAAGCCCGCCGCCGCTGCTGCAGGCGATGACGCTTCAGACTCGGATTCGGAGATTGACGACCCGGAAGCCTTCCAGGCCCAGCTGGATGCTCTCGCCGCAAAGGATCCCGAGTTCCACAAATACATGCAAGAGAACGAGCCCGATGCTCTCAACTTCGAGGACGCAGACCTGGGAGAGATTGATGAGCTGAGCGGTGATGAGGAGGACGAGAGACCATCAAAGAAGCAAAAGGGAGAGGGCAACGAGGTCACCAAGCAGATGATTGCCAAGTGGCAGAAGGCCATGACAACACAACACTCGCTGCGCGCTTCCAAAGAGGTCGTTCTTGCTTTCCGCGCTGCTGCTCACGTTTCGGACGAAGAGGACAAGGTCTTCAAATACTCCATCTCAGACCCCCAAGCCTACCACGAGCTGTTGGTCGTTGCGCTCAAGCACTTGCCTGAGGTGCTCGCACACCACCTGCCCGTCAAGGAGAAGGCTGGCGGCAGAGTGACCTTCTCGACCGACTCCAAGAAGTTCCGCAACCTCAGCCCGCTGCTCAAGTCGCATCTCACCTCAGTCCTGCATTTGCTCGCCCATCTCTCCGACCCCAACACCATCCGCATGACCCTCACCAACGTTCTCCCTCTCCTCCCCTACGTTCTCTCATTCAAGAAGATCATCCGTGATCTGACAAAGGCCGTCACTGGAGTTTGGTCCGAGTCGTCGAGTACCGAAGCCACCCGTATCGCTGCTTTCCTCGTTCTCAGAAGACTGCTAGTTATTGGCGATGCTGGTATCAGGGAAGCTGTTCTCAAGACTTCATACCAGGGTCTGATCAAGGGTAGTCGCAACACCACTGTTCACACTGTTCAAGGCATCAACTTGATGAAAAACTCGGCCGCTGAACTCTGGGGCATCGATCCCACCATTGGCTACACAACTGGTTTCACCTTCATTCGTCAACTCGCCATCCATCTCCGCAGCAGCATCACCAACAAGTCAAAGGACTCATACAAGACCGTCTACAACTGGCAATTCGTCCACTCTCTTGACTTCTGGTCGCGTGTGGTAGCATCGCACTGTCAGTCGCTCGCTGAGGCCGAGAAGGGAGCCGCTTCCCCTCTGCGTCCCCTGATCTACCCTATCGTGCAAGTCACCCTCGGTGCCATGCGCCTCATTCCCACAAGCACATACTTCCCCCTCCGCTTCCATCTCATCCGCAGTCTCCTCCGTATCTCTCTCTCCACATCAACCTACATTCCCCTTGGATCCGCCCTTTACGAAGTTTTGAACGCCGCTGAAATGCGCAAGCCCCCCAAGGCCTCGACTCTCAAGCCCCTTGACTTTTCCACTGTCGTCAGAGCACCCAAAACATACTTGCGCACACGTGTGTACCAAGATGGTGTTGGTGAGCAGGTCGTCGAGCTGCTCTCAGAGTTCTTCGTCCTTTGGGCGAAATCTGTCGCCTTCCCCGAACTCGCACTACCTCTTGTGGTCCTGTTGAAGCGCTGGTTGAAGGAGACGGGCAAGAACTCAAAGACACCAAACAACAACGCAAAACTCACATCGCAAATGATCTTGCTGATTCAAAAGGTCGACGCCAACATTCGCTTTGTCGAGGAGAAGAGAATCAAGGTCGACTTTGCACCCAACAACCGCGGCGAGGTGGAGAACTTCCTCAAGGAGACCGAGTGGCAAAAGACACCGCTGGGAGCGTTTGTCGTTGGTCAAAGGAAGATCAGAGACGAGAAGCAGAAGTTGATGGAGGAGGCGAGAAAGGAGGACGAGAAGAAGAGAGAAGAGGAGAAGGCCGAGAGAATGGCTAACGAGGGTGAAGACTTTGACGACGACGAAGAAGAAGCCAGTGGAGATGAAGACGAGTCTGAGGACGAGGAGATGGAAGTGGATGGTGTCAGTGATGAGGAGGATGACGAGTAGAGGACGGTGTGAAAAGTTGATTTGCATCATGTCCGGCGTCTTGGTTTAGATATCAAAATATCCATGTTGAACTTTTTTTTCGTTACCCAGCTTCAATCTTGTTGTCTTTTCGCTTCAGCACATAACCACGAGAAGTAGGTGATGGAAGATTGAGAGTCATTAATTCACGTTCCGATTCTATTTTCTGTTACGATGCCGATTGGAAGACCATCCATCGAGTCACCTAGCTCTACCATGGTCTTGTCGTAGACTCTACTTGTTTGCTCATGCCAATCATCCTCATCTTCAATGTCGTCGACGTTGATATCTTCGGGCCCGTCATCTTCGTCCAGAATCAAATCACCATCCATATCAGTATCTTCTACCGAAGGCTCAGGTGTGATTTTGTCGTCTTCATCAAACTCTCCTCTGTTCAGGACACCAACAACGCATACTCTTGTCCTCTCAACCAAGCTCTTTATGCGGACCTTTTCTGTGCCACTGACACCACGGCCCGTGTTGAAACCAGGCAGTATCTCATCGGTAGCAACATCTCTGCCTACAATCAACGAAGCAAAGGCATGATCTAGCTTGCCCAGAAGCCTGAAAAGCTGACGAGGAGCGAGTGGGAAAGCCGGAATCATTGTGTTGACAAGAAGCGCCAAGTTGATCAGGTATGGCACTTGCAAGGCAGGAGTTCCACTGATCCAGATAACGGCAATAAGCTCGTCGACATCTTTTGCAGCTTCGCCAAAGCCAGAGTATCCCTGTACGTCGTTCCACTCTTCTGATTGCTGTAATCTCTTTTCTGTGGCTGGATCGTTGAGTTGTTCAATCATCCTGCCCTCCTCGTCCATTTCTCGTATGCCCCCATGACCGAGCGAAGGGTCTCTCTTTGCAAAACGTCGTTGAATATGAAGCAATCGCTGATCGACATGGCGGATCAATCTCGACTCCTTGGTACCACCAGGCTTCAGAGGAGTTCTTCGCGGTTGTGGAAGTGAGTTTGGCGTGTGCGAGGAAGCGATGGACGAAGGCGACAGAGGTACAAAGCCTCCTCCTGCCAGATCCGACATGATTGCGTTCAACAGCGGCAGCAGCACGCGATCTTCAATTATGGAGGGCAAGTACGGACGTAACAAACGTAACAGGAAGGTGATGTCAAAAGTCGCGAATGGCCGGCCGCGCTCGGAGCCGAGGCACTTTTTGGGTCGCCGCTTCCCGAGCTCGCCGCCAATCAAGACGAGACGAACAAGCTCGCGTGCATGCATTCTTGACCGGCAACAAGCATTTCATCTCGTACTCTAAACCACTCTTATCTCCGCCGTCACCGTCACCTTCCCAAGACATTCTAGCTTGTGATTGATATTCATCTATTTCTCCTCAAGAAGACCCCACCCTTGTGTGTCCCTTGCAGCTGCTCGCCTTCTCAACACGACGATCATCCTTGCCATTTGGATCTTCACCATGCTGTCCTGTATTCGTATAAGTAGGGCAATGCCTCCATAGGAGGATGTCTTGTCTCAGATCATCTCCGCTACTCAGCTTTCATCTTCCACCATGAGTGCCGCAAAGCTGTTCCTGCTCGCTGGCTTGCTTGCCACTGGCTCGTATGCCTCGCCCGTCCAAGCCAGAACTCCTTATGCTGTCAAGGACTCGCATTTCGTTCCCTCCAAGTGGAGACAGGTTGCTCCTGCTCCTTCGACTCACAACATTGATCTCCGTATTGCTATCAAGCAGAACTCATTCGATGACTTGGAGAGACATTTGTACGAGGGTAAGTGACATCATGTGATACCGGCTACCAACTGTTCTCATGTCTGACAAAACTTCCCAGTTTCTGATCCCGACCACTCGCGTTACGGTCAACACCTGAGCGAACTTGATGTCAAGAAGCTCGTGCAGCCTGCAGACCACTCATTGGCTCTTGTTCACGAGTGGCTGGCCGACAACGGTATCGAGACTGGTGACCTTTCTTACAGCGCCGCAAAGGATTGGATCAAGGTCTCGCTGCCTGTTGGCCGCATTGAGAGCCTCCTCGACACAAAGTACAGCGTCTACCGCCACGAAGATGGCTCCGAGACTGTCCGCACATCCGAGTGGTCTCTTCCCGTCCACCTTCACGAGCACATCGACACCATTCAACCCACAAACTCGTTTTTCCGTAGCACACCAAAGGCTGTGACTCTCGAGGTCAACAAATTCGGTGGTTCCTACTCCAAGGACGTCACGTACCATCAAGATCCTAACGTCACAGCGATTTGCACACCAAGAGGTGTCACACCGCTGTGCATGAGAACCTTGTACGAGACTATCGACTACATTCCCCAGTCTGCTGGTAAGAACAAGATGGCTCTTGCCAACTATCTCGGAGAGACCAACAACCGTTCCGACACTTCGCTCTTCCTCCAAAAGTTCCGCCCTGAGGCCGCCGCAGCAGCCTACAGCTTCAAGTTCGATGTCATCAACAACGGTAGCACATCGCAGGCCGTTGTACAGTCCAGGATCGACATAGAAGGTGATCTCGATGTTGAGACCATGTTGGGAGTGGGCTGGCCTACCCCTTTGACTGCCTACGCTGTCGGTGGCTCTCCTCCGTTCATTCCTTCCAACGGTACCACTACCAACACCAACGAGCCTTACCTCGACTGGCTCCAGCACGTTCTCGCACAGTCAGATGACGTCCTGCCTCAAGTCGTTTCTACCTCCTACGACGACGAAGAGCAGACTGTTCCTCCATCCTACGCCAAGCGTGTCTGTGAAGACCTCGCTCAACTTGGTGCTCGTGGTGTTTCTGTCTTTTACGCTTCAGGTGATAGCGGTGTCGGTACTTCTGGTGACTGCATTACCAACAACGGCAGCGGTGCCAAGCGCTTCACTCCCGAGTTCCCTTCGACATGCCCTTACGTAACTTCCGTAGGCGCAACCATGGACTTTAACCCTGAAGTTGTCGCTTACCACTCATCTGGATTCGCATCTGGCGGTGGTTTCTCTGACCTGTTCCCTCGTCCTGCATATCAGGACAAGGCCGTCAAGGCTTACCTCAAGACCCTCGGTAACAGAGACGCAGCATACTTCAATGCCAGCGGAAGAGCCTACCCCGATATTGCTGCTCAAGGAAGCTATTTCTCTACCGTCTGGAACGGCACCGATACCCTGGTTTCCGGCACCTCCGCCTCGACTCCTCTGATCGCCGCCATCATCGCTCTCGTCAACGATGCACTCATCGCTGGTGGAAAGCCCACTCTTGGTTTCCTTAACCCTTGGTTGTACAAGAAGGGTTACCGCGCTTTCACCGACATCACCAGTGGTTCTGCTGCCGGATGTTCTGAGATTGGTGATGGCAAAGGCTTCCCCGCTGTCGAGGGCTGGGATCCAGTCACTGGATTCGGTAAGTCTTTGGTTAAACGTCAACTACTAAGACACTATATGCTAATTGCCTCTTTAGGTACTCCTAAGTTCAGAGACCTTATCCACCTCCTCGGAGTTCACGGCACATGGAATCATACAGGAGGCTTCAGCTAGGCTTCAAAGGCTTCATGGTTGATATGATTTCCGATGACCCTAGAGTATTGTTTATGCAGATACAAAAGTATTCAAAAGCCCTGTCATTGCTTGAATTGGCCCTCGACTTGCTCCAAGACGAAGGAAAGCAATGTAGTGATCACAGGCCATTCCCATCTCGTCTCAACACGAATTCTTGAACAACAGCACAGCTGTATCGTGAGGACCAACGTTCACAGTAACCTTCTTCTTCTTGCGACCAAGGTCTGTGTTGTCCCAGATGTCCATTACACGGTAGCAGCCCTTGGCGTCAAGCTCCGGAATCTCCTTGTAATCAGCAGTCATCTTGACCGTCTGATTCAGAGGATTGAACAGCGCCACCATCGTGCCATTGCTCGAAGCCCCGGACCAATACTGAGCAGGGAACGTAGTATTATACGTCCAGTCAGGGTTAATGCCCCACTTATACGGCGCAGCTGGCTTGCCATATACTGGGTCTTGGTTGAATGCTAGCAGAGCTTTATTCTGCAAAACGCCAATGTTGTGGTCGCTGAGTTTTGTTACGTCTGTACCGATGAGGAGAGGCGACTTCATCATCGCCCAGAGGGAGAAGTGAGTACGCACTTCTGCGTTTGTGAGGTTGCCGTTGCCGACTTCGAGCATGTCTGCATCGTTGTGGCCGTAGAAATCGGCGTAATCGGAGAGGAATGAGTTTTGATTGAGGATTTGGAGGATGCGAGTCCATGAAGCTGGATTCATGTCAGAGAAGTGGTCTGTGGACGAGTAGAGAGATGATTTACTCACGATTGATGTCGTTGGACATTCGCCAGGACTGGCCCGTTCCGTTGGCCCACGTCCATGGCAGATCTACGCCCCACTCGCACAGACTGTACAAGATAGTCCTGTTCTGTGCCAGCAAGGCATTGCCCATGATGCGGAACTTCAATGCGGTGAACTTGGTGGTGTAATTGATACCATCTACTGGCCATCCATCTGCACATATCGGGATTGGGCGATCGAAAGAGTAGTGGTGCACAGGTGGGGTGCTGTTCGAACAAGTGCCGTTGACGATGCCAGTAGGAGAGAAGCTTGGGTCTGGCTCACATGACAGGCAGTCATCGTACCACTCTTCTGGCGGGAAGCAGTTGTCGTACTGACGCAGCATTAGAATGTATTCAGTATCATGGAGATGAAGAGCTGCTAACCTTGAGGTAGTCGACACCCCACGAAGCGAATGTCTCTGCATCAATGGCTTCGTAGCCGATCGAGCCTGGGTAACGACCACATGTCATAGTGCCTGCGCTCGAATAGATGCCGAACTTGAAGCCTAGGTCATGCACCTTATTTGCCGTTCCTTGGATACCCTCTGGAAACCTGAGTTCATGTCAGTAATGTCACGTGTGGCCTAAGGAGGGAGGTAATTCACTTGGTGAAGTTGGGCAATAACTGGTGCGTCACGGCATCTCTGCCTGACATCTGAGACCAGCAGTCGTCCGAGTTGACATATTCGTAGCCAGCGGCTTGGAAGCCTTTGTCTTTCATGGCGTTTGCTGCTTGAAGGATTCGAGTCTCGTCAATGTCACAGCCATAGGCATTCTGAAGATTATATCAGTACGCAATCGAGATTTTGCTGCCATCAGCAAGCCATACCCATGAGTTCCATCCTAGTGCTGGCAGTTTTCCAACACCGCCAGGCAGCTGGAGGCCTAGGACTGCTGGGATCGTAGCTAGAGCAAGTACTAATGCTGGAGACATCTTTGAGAGAGGTGTTGCTTGAGCAAAGACGGAGCGAGAGGAAAGATGAAATCAGGTCTATATATCCTGTCTTCTCTATGATGCCCAAAGGGTCAATCGGCTATTATACTTCATGCAACCCTCATGCTTGCTCGAGAATGACCCCGCCATATGCAAGAAGTTATATCCGGCTAAATTGGCAAGGTAGTATGCATATCGTGTGAGGGAAGTCAACTCGGCCGACATGACGTCTTCGCATTAAGGGAGAGAGTGCATGAGAAGATCTCTCTGCGTGCAAAAGCATGGAGCGTGTACCTCTTTAATGTATACTTATTCCTTCAGCAAGGGGGACATTCATTCGGTATTCAAGATTCGCGGTCTCTCCGGCTCTCTGTGAACTCATCGACCATCCCGGAAAACGAATGTGCGTCTCGATGGCTCCGCATACTACTACTAAGTCATGGTAGGAGACTAAGAGCGGAGGAGAAGTCATTGTGAAAGCACCTTGAACGTTGTGAGCCGAATTTACCCCGCTCATGCTCCTCCCCGCTCGAGATTTTCTGCACCCCAGACAGGGTCCACATGGAACATCCAGTCCTCGAGTCAGTGTTAATATCCAGCGGCATAATCAATGACAATCAAGCGGAAACATGGCCGGCCACGAGCGGTAACACTGCCGTCCCGGAGCAATGAAGTCTCCGAAAAGGGAACAGAACTTGACAGAATCACCTCCGTCAAGAGCAACAGACATCGCTATGCTTCATCAAATGTGCTATTCAGCTCTGGCACCAGCACCCCGGTCCGTCGAAGGCCAATTGATTCCGATGATTCAATTCCACAGTCATTGCTTCCGACTGTCTTGCAAGATACTGCAGACCCTAGTCGAACAAGTGAACGCGAGGCTTACCTTCTCAAAGTCTGTCGTGCTCTTATGGCCTATGGAGCACCGACTCATCGACTTGAAGAGTACATGTACATGACAGCAGAAGTCATTGGCCTTCGATTGGAATCATTCTATTTGCCAGGGATCATGATCATCTCCTTTAACAACACAATCTGGCGAAGCACAGAAGTACACATTGTCAAGACATCACAGGCTCTAAACTTGTCGAAACTGTACGACTCACATGAGGTGTACAAGAATGTCATCCATGACAAGATGACCATCCGAGACGCCATCACACGACTCGACGAAATCACAACGAGCAAAGACAAGTATCCTCGTTGGTTGTGTGTCATCATGTTTGGTCTTGCCTCTGCATGCATTGGACCAGTGTCATATGGTGCGAGACCTGTGGATCTACCCATCATCTTCATCTTCGGATCCTTACTTGGATTCATGCAGCTGGTCATGGCTGAGAACTCAGAGTTGTACGCTCACGTTTACGAAGTGTCAGCAGCTATTCTGATGACTTTTCTCTCTCGCGCTATCGGCTCGATCAATTATGGTGGCGGCCGCTTATTCTGTTTCTCTGCCATATCACAGGCATCTCTGGTATTGATTCTGCCTGGGTTCATCATCACCAACAGTGCACTGGAGTTGCAATCGAAGAACATTATCTCTGGAGCCGTGCGAATGGTGTACGGCATCATCTTTGTCTTGTTCCTTGCTTTTGGCTTTACTGTTGGAAGCACATTGTATGGTGCATTCGACGGCAATGCGACTTCTGCGACAACTTGCGAAGCGCCATGGCCGTTTTGGTGGCAGGTCACTTTCGTCGTCCCCTTCACATTCTGCTACATCATCATCAACCAAGGCAAATGGAAAAAGGTTCCAGCAATGTTGGTCTTATCCATGATCGGATGGCTTGTCAACTATTACGCCGCTCAGGGATTCTCAAAAAGGACGCGCATCTCCAAGGGCTTCGGTTCAAATATCCAGCTGGCTCAAATGCTCGGAGCTCTTGCAATTGGACTCGTCGCCAACCTTTATTCGCGTCTTGGTCAGGGTCTTGCTGTTGCGTTGCTACATCCTGCTATCTTCATTCAAGTGCCTGGAAGTTTTGCAGCATCTGGCAGTTTGATCAATGCAGTTGCCAATGCTGATCTGCTCACGAAGCATGGGTCTAGGATGTCGAATGATGCGCAGAACAACAGCTTGTTGACGAATGCTGGTCTTGCTATGATTGAGATTGCCATTGGTATCACGGTTGGTATATCTGTCAGTGCGCTTTTGGTATATCCCATACGGAAGAAGAAGAGAAGTGGCTTGTTCAGCTTCTGATCTAGCTCGGGTCTTAGTAAGTATAGAAGCAATAGTTTGTTTTGGAATTATATGGCAAAGTTAGGTAGAAGGTCGAGCACGATCACGAACTTACCCAGCTCTAAACTCAGGCACGATTGCGTCATTCTATTGAGGCATGACAGATGGAGACAGAAAGGGTCACTCTCACCACAGCATGCGATGGTTAAACTCCGGCAATAAATTCAGCTTGATCTTTTTCTCTGCGCTGAAGCTGGCCATCTTTTTCTTCTACAACAACCTCGTCGTCCGTCGAATTGCAGACAAATTGTCGCTGCTACGGACGACGAGAAACGATTCATACGGTAAGCAATTCCTCCTCCAACCTCTGTCCAATGCTTTTCTATGATGATTGCAAGGGATCCGACATGGCCTTCCAAGAGAAGAGCCAAATGCGGACACCATGTTTATTTACTCAATTGTTCCTTCTGAAAGAAATTCTCGCAAACAAATCGTTTCATGTCATACCGTTTCTGCAAAGCAACTCGCTGACATTATCTCAAGACAGATGCACCGACCAATCTAGTTGAAACGAAAAGAGATGGAAATATATACGAATATCTAGCTTCTACAATTAGATGCCAAACACGTTCTACTGTCCTCCCTTTCTCTTCTCCGCCTCCTTCTGTATCCACTCAGCAGCGCTGTCCTTGTACTCGTCATGCCACCTCGACAATGCAGGTCTGCCTTCACACACATCGCCCATGGCGTAGGCCATTCTCGCCTTGTCCAACTCTTCCGAAACATCATCGTCAGGACACACAATGTAGAATTGTCCCTCCATCATCTTCCTCACACCATACTCGGCCACTTGTGAGCCCAACCATGCGCCCTCGGGTTTCTTTGCTTTGGCCTCTTCGTCAGGAATGGGACCAGCATTGCCGCTGAAGCCCGTGTATGTCCACCCAGGAATAAGCAAATGCGTACTGATTAATGGACTCGCACTTCGCAGATCGTGGCAGAGGTGCTCGGCAAGGTGTTTAAGGGTAGCTTTGCTGGCATTGTATGCCGGATTGCCGCCGCCGGGTGGGTTGGTGATGCCTTGCTTGCTTCCGGTAATGACGATTGAGGAAGGTGTGTTTTTATTCTGGAGCAGAGGTAGGAAAGCTGCGATGCCGTTGAGTACGCCAAATACGTTCGTGTCGTAAGTTTTGTGGTGGTATTCTGGGTCCATCCATGTCTGTAGTGCGCCGAAACCTTGGGTAGGCTTGAACGAGGCGCCGGCGTTCAGCATCAAGAGGTCGATGTTGCCGAACTTGGCCTCTACCTCTGACTTGAGGGATCGCCATTGTGTGATCTCGGATACGTCCTGATTGTCTCGTCAGCGATGTTGTTCCGTACAGCGGGCGTCTGGTGCAGCATACCATATCGTAGACCTCGGTCCTCTGTCCATTCTTGGCAGTGCCTGACAAGATTTCCTTTGCCTTCTCGAGTCCTTCGGTAGATTTGTCCACCAGGGCGACATTCATGCCAAACTTCTGACACAGCTGAGCAAAAGCAAAGCCCACACCGGAGGCACCTCCTGTGATGAGAGCCGTGCGTTTAGCTTGGAAGACTTGTGATGCCATTGTTGCGTGTAGTTATGATTGATATCAATACTTGACAATCGTTGTATGCGACAAAGAGAGGAGATAGCTATGTCGTCGACAGAGGAGACTCGAGCTTCTCGAGGCTTTAGCAATGACGAAGGTCAAGAGCCCGAGTGTCTCGGAGTTATGGCGCACCGTCACAGAACCTCGGCATAATTCGACGTCACAATAGCATGTTGCAGTATTGATTTTATGAACAGAACATTAGATTTGGAATGGCATCAAGTGCTTATTGATGATAGTGCTTTTCTCGTGACCTGCTAGGGCTGCGATTATACCTTGAGCGAGGTCTTTTACTTGGTAACTGGTGCGTCCAGAATGCAGTGTCGAACAAGAGCAAACATTGTGCAGTTCTTTGAAACTATCTCAAGCTTTTCTAAGATGACTTCCGCTATCGTCTTAAGGCCTGCTGCCTCTCTCAATATAGAATCTGGTAGGTTATCTATAGTCTGAAGAATATTCTAGAGTAATTCTAACCCCATCGCATGTAATCGCGATAGTAAAAAACTGGAAAAGGTGTTTCTGATCATTGCGAGAGGTACCACCCTGATATGCTGTATGCAACAGCTCAGTGGAGAGCTGTGCCTCGTTGTCAACAGAATTGGACGCAAAGCTAATCACCACGCATCGGAAGATGTTCTTGCTGCAAGGATCCACCAACGTAAATGCGATTTTCTTTGCTCCCAGTTTCTGCTACTTCTGGATAACATCGCCGACCGGCTACGGAGTAGGTCGGATGCGACGGCAGGGTATGTCATCCCACGTTTGCACCCACTTCCTCGTATATGAGTTTCAGCGAGAATTCCAGCGAGAAGAAAGCCGTGCCTGACAAGCTTTGGGGAAGGCGGGTAAGAATGACCGAAAAACGGGCCGTGGTTTCCTGAACTGGGGGGCTCGGCGGGGTATGCATGTAACCTTCTTTCTCAATTTGTTCAAGGCTTGTTCAAGAGAAGGCGTGGAGGCTGGAGCTGTTTTCCACCTTCGTCATTAGGATCACTATAGCGCGAGGGATTTAGCAGTCTTGCTGCGTGCTCGGTGTCTGTCTGCGTAGTATGCGACCTCGAGATGTATCTGCACTTCATATCGATGAAGCTCAAGGAAAGAGGTCTCGAGGCAGAGGCCAGGAAGGGACAGTTACTCCGAACATTCGGCTCATGCATACTTCTTCTCGGACCGGCAGAGCACTGAGTCGGGTCTTCAAGAATCCGTGATCAGCAGCATTTTGAGTACTCGGATGGCAAGTTGGATGATGATCAACAGGTGTTGAGCGTGGCGAACCCGTGGGACAGAGCACGGGAAGAGGATGATCTCCACGGGCACTCCAGGTTAACCCACATGGCGGGGCGCTGGTTGGGAGCATTGACATTGAAGATACTTTCTAGCTCACTCGATCCTGCCTCTTTTGCTGACTTGGCATGAATTGTTGCTGATGTCAAGTGAAAGTGGCCTGCTTCCGACTAGGGCAGGCGTGTACGACAGGGCGCGGAGTGCTTGTGACGCTCAAACATCCACCATATGAAACTTTACCCGAGAGCTACAACCGAAACTTTGTCCAGTCGATGATCAACAGCGTGCGTATATAAGTACTCGCCATGTTGCTGCCACTCTCATCCTCTGACATCCAACAAGTCCTTGTTGTTCTGCTGCTTTGTCTCCTCGAGGCTACTGACAGAATGATCTTCCCTTCGTTCAAGAGGGCAACCCTCTTTGCACTGCCTGCGGCAGCAGCAATCTCTCAGTCGACCACCCAATCCGCCTCGACTGAGTCCATTCCCACCAAGCCAATGGACCAGGGTCCTCTTGTGACTTCTTGGTCTGGCGCCACTGCATCAGTCCTCGTCAATGGAACCCTTTCCACGTAAGTTTCTAAAGATCTTGCCTCCTCGGCACGCAAACACTAACCTGCTGGACTAGTTTCACCGCTCAATACACTCTTCCTGCTTCCATCGACTATGGCGCAAACTTGCTTCCTAATGTCGAGGACCCCGAGGCAAAGGTCGCGCAGAGCGTCTGCCCCGGTTACAAGGCCTCGAATGTTGAGCACAATCAGTACGGCTTTACAGCCACTCTGAACCTTGCAGGACAGGCCTGTAACGTCTACGGCACTGACGTTGATGTCCTCAATCTCACCGTCGCCTACCAGTCTGCTCACCGTCTGGCAGTCGAGATCACTCCTGCTCACATCACCGCTGAGAATGCTAGCTGGTACATCTTGCCTTCTGAGCAAGTCTACAAGCCCCAGCAGGGTGTTCCCGATGAGGCTACCGAAGACATTGATCTTCAGTTTGTCTGGTCGAACGATCCTACCTTCAATTTTGCTGTATTGAGAAAGTCAACTGGTGATGTCCTCTTCTCTACCGAGGGTACCGTACTCGTCTTTGAGGACCAGTTCGTCGAGTTTGTATCTGAGCTGCCTGAAAACTACAACCTTTATGGCTTGGGCGAGAGACTTCACGGCATCAGACTCGGCGACAACTTGACTGCCACTATGTTTGCAGCTGACAACGGTAATCCCATTGACCTGAACCTCTATGGTAAGAGAACAGCAGATCCGCATAGTGTGAGAATCTTTGACTGACCAAAAATTAGGCACTCACCCCTTTTACTTGGACACTAGATACTACGAGAAGGATCCCGAGACTAGTGCATTGACTCTCTTGACTGGTAATGCCAGCGCCAATGCCAGCTACATCTCGTACAGTCACGGTGTTTACCTCAGAAACGCCCACGGCCAGGAGCCCATTCTGAATGCCGGAAACATCACTTGGAGAACTCTCGGTGGAAACATTGACCTCTACTTCTTCGACGGTCCTAACCAGGCCGAGGTCACCAAGCAGTACCAGAATGGTGCTATTGGTTTACCTGCCATGCAGCAGTACTGGACCTTTGGTTATCACCAATGCCGCTGGGGCTACAAGAACTGGACTATGATGCAGGATGTCGTCGACAACTTTGCCAAGTTTGGTATTCCTCTCGAGACGATTTGGAACGACATCGACTACATGTTCCAATACCGCGACTTTGAGAACGACCCCAACACCTTCCCTTACGACCAGGGCGAGAAGTTCATCGACGGTCTGCACGCCAACGGCCAGCACTACGTGACCATCGTTGATTCCGCCATCTACATCCCCAACCCTGACAACGCTACTGATGCATACTCTATCTACACCGATGGACATGATATGGATGTGTTCATGAAGAACCCTGACGGTACCGAATACATTGGTGCTGTCTGGCCCGGCTTCACCGTTTTCCCCGACTGGCATGCTGCAAACGCCACCGAGTGGTGGACCCAGTCTCTCAAGACCTGGCGCGAGAAGGTGCAGGTCGACGGAATCTGGATCGACATGTCAGAGGTCAGCTCTTTCTGCGTCGGCAGCTGTGGAACCGGTAGCCTGCATTTGAACCCTGTTCACCCTCCTTTCCACCTTCCTGGAGAGCCCGGATCGATTGACTATGGCTACCCCGAAGGTTTCAACGTCACCAACGCTACCGAAGCTGCTGTCGCTTCGTCCATGTCGGCCGCACAGGCTTCTTCCAACTTGGCCGAACAAGGAACCTCAACCACCACTTCTAGCCCCTACCTCAGAACGACACCTACTGCAGGTGTTCGCAACGTCGACCACCCTCCTTATGTCATCAACAACCAGCTTGGCGACTTGGCTGTTCACGCAGTCGCTCCCAATGCTACTCACGTCGATGGAGTACAGGAATACGACGTGCACAACCTTTTCGGCTACGAGATTTTGAACGCTACCTACCTCGCTTTGGAGCAGACCATCCAAGGCAAACGTCCCTTCATCATTGGCCGCAGTACCTTCGCCGGAGCCGGTCAGTTCGCTGGACACTGGGGTGGTGACAATTATGCTACCTGGGAGTCCATGCTCTTCAGTATCCCTCAGGCCCTCGATTTCTCCCTCTTCGGTATTCCCATGTTCGGTGCCGATACTTGTGGATTCTCTGGAAACTCGGATGAGGAGCTTTGCAACAGGTGGATGCAACTTAGTGCGTTCTTCACCTTCTATCGCAACCACAACACGCTGGGTGATAATTCTCAGGAGCCTTACATTTGGAGCTCCGTCATCGATGCTAGCAAGAAGGCCATGGCCATCCGCTACTCCCTCTTGCCTTATATGTACACTTTGTTCGAGTCCGCACACAAGACCGGTAGTACCGTCCTCCGCGCCATGGCCTGGGAATTCCCCAACGATCCCACCCTCGTCGATGCCAATCGCCAATTCATGCTCGGACCCAGTCTGCTCATCACACCCGTCTTGCTCCCTCTGGTGACCTCAGTCAACGGTGTCTTCCCCGGCAGCAAGGACGGCGTTGTCTGGTACGACTGGTACAACCAATCGGCCGTTACCGCCACCCCCGGCGCCAACGTAACCATGGACGCACCTCTGGGCCACATCAACGTGCACATCCGCGGCGGCAGCGTTCTGCCTCAGCAAGAAGCCGGTCTCACCACGACCGAGTGCAGAAACAGCCCTTGGAGCGTCATCGCCGCTCTCTCTGCCTCAGGCACCGCTACTGGAAGCCTCTACATCGACGACGGCGAGAGCATCATTCAGAACGCAACTCTCAACGTTGACTTTACGGCTGAGAACTCGCGTCTGTACGCTTCTGCTCGCGGACTCTGGCAGGAGAAGAATGCACTTGCCAACATTACTGTGTTGGGCGTGCAAGATGCTCCTCGCAATGTTTCGCTCAACGGCATGGCTTTGATGTCCGGCGTCAACTACAACGCCACCAGCAAGGTTCTCAAGGTTACTGGATTGCAGAATGCCACTGCTTCTGGCGCTTGGGCCAAGGATTGGGTTTTGGAGTGGTAGAGGAGGAGAAGCAGCAATGACTTGACGATAAGATAGACCTACACCGTAAAGAAGGTGGGTCTGATGACGAGGGGCAAACGTCCTCCGGAAAGAAATGTAATTATAATGGCTCTTTTGCTGATGAAATGCAGACATTTCATTGCGAAGACAAAAACTCCCTGTCGCGATTGTGATTACGGTACCCATAAATCCATATACATATCCACAGTCCGTCATCACTCTACGACCACACCAACTTCTTCAACGAATATCCCAAGCTCTCAAGATATCCCGTACTCTTCCTCGCCTCAGCCACAGAAATGACATCCTTCTGCTCGACCTTCAACTTCTTCTCTCCCTTGCCCTCTTCCCCTCCTGCAGTGTTTCTAGCAACGGCTTTGTTGCCGAGCCGTTCAATCTCCTCGCAAATATGCTTTACGCATTCCGCTTCACTCATTTCCCCTTCTGAATTTTTACCCTTGGAGGCAGAGTTGCGTGGCGGCAGTGCTTTGAAGGCAAGCACTCTGCTTTCTGCAGGTTTGAGCGGAGTTTTCTTCGCATCGGTCTCTGCATTACTCGCTTCTTTTTCGTTTGCTAGACTCCTGGTATTCGTGCGCACCACAGCAGGCGTGGAACTCGAGTACCTCACCACAAACCCCACGTTTTTGTTGCTATCCATGTGCGTAGGTCCGAGGGTAGAAGTAATGTAAGCGCCGTGATTGACAGACTCGACGTCAAGCAAATCCACACGCTCAAACGAGCCAACTTTTTCCGTATCCCAGTCAAAGCGGCAGAAATAGAGCGAGGAGTCGGTGAGCAACACGATGCATTCTTCGAATGGCAATGCGCGCAACGTGTTTGCGGAAGCGGGACAGGATAACGTCCAGCCTGATACCATATCCTCGTTGTCTTCGAGGACTATGCGCACGCAGGTTTCGATGGCGGATTGGCGGATCTTCGTCATATCGAGTGCGTAATCCTGATTCATCATGTCGGTTTCGAATTCGTCGAAGACGGAGGCGCCGGCATTGCCGAGCCAGAAATCGATGCAGGTTTGTAGGAAGTAGTCGCCGAAGATGTTGTTGTAGTAGCGGTTGAGGGTCAGACTGAAGTCGGTGAGTGCGCCTTGCCAGTTGCGTTTGCGCGTGCGTGTAAAGTCTCCTTTGAGTGCAGCTGTGCCTGCGTATTGGCGGGATATGGCGTCGCCGTTGTCGGCCCAGAGGTTGTTGTACCATGACGTCTTGGGGTCGGTTTGGAGGTTGATGGAGAGGCCTAGCTCGGCGAGTTGGTCTTGAAGTGCATGACCTGCTGCTCCCGATTGCACGACGTTGGTACGGTCGAGGCAGTCCATGCAATTTGTTCTTAGCACGCCGGTTTGAGTGCTGATGAATTTGTTATCTTGCTGGACGGTCCAGCCGAATTTTTGCATTGCTGGGCGCAGAGTGTCCATGAGGATGGAGACGTTTTCGAATTTCATGCCCTTGCAGACGGTGTGGAAGTCGAACCAGTAAAAGCCGACTTGCTTGCCAGAAACGCCGCCGGAGGTGTTTAAGCTATTTGCGTGCTTCTCGTACGATTCTCCAATCTTTGCTTCTGTGCCGTGCTTGTCGACCAAGGATGCGCACTGTACCTCTCCATAACGCTCGAGCATGTTGCAAAAGTGTTTCTCGAATGCAGATTGATTGGTTGCTTCAGAGCCGTATTGGATGGGGATTGGCTTGAAGCTGTAGGGGCTTTGCGAGAAGAACAGAGGAATGGAACCTCTGACCTGCAGGAAGGAAAAGACCTTGTCGTTGGTGTTCCAGGAAGGTGTAGCAAGAATCTGTTCAGTCTCGACATTGTTGGCAACATTGCCGTCATCGTCAATGCCACGACGCAAGTAGCGTAGTCCTGCACGCTTGACAGAGCGTCTCGAGATCAAAGTCAAAAGTAGCTCCTTTGCTTGCGATTTGTCATCGGTTGTGCTTGCAGTTTCTTTCTCGGCATCCTCCTGAACTTTGACAACTTCTGCTGCTTCTTGCTTCGCATCGACAATCTTGTTTTCTGCATTCTCGGGTGCGTCGACGGTGAAGGCGCGTTGGCCAATGAAGCCTTGGATAACGGGTAGGACGAGGTTGTGCTGGCCGGCTTCCATAAGCGGCTCGGTCAAGTTGTGGTTCCAGAAGTACTGAGATTGTTAGCTTATGGCCAGTGTGAGGATGAATATGAAGTCTTACCAAAGGATCGAAACGCTTGTAAAGAGGCACCGAGGCAGAGGTGGGCTCTTGTCGTGAAAGGCTGCGTGAAAGGTCGTAATCGTAAGAGAAGTAAAAGCTGCGTGAAGCAAAGTACAAGTTTGTCGTCTTGAGAATTCTGGGGATAAGAGTAGCGAGGGTGGTGTCTCCAGGTGCGACTGGTGTTGGCTCGGTGGTAGACTGTTCCTCGTTCGTTGAGGGACGCTCAGATTCGGTGCTCACGGGCGCGTTATCAACCTCGTCCTTCTTGTCCTCGGGCAAAGAGGCTTCAGCTTGTTTCTTCTGCTCCATGGTCAAGTCATCCTCGCTGGCGCTCATGCCTTGCTTGCGAATACCGTCAGACTTCCAACCGCCCTTGGAGAACCATCGCTGGGCAAAACGACCGTATTGACCCTTGTTCTTGATCACGTCTGCGACGACAGTGGTAGCCTTGTTTACAGAACCCTTGGGCACGTTCAACGGCTCGTCGGGCATTTCAACCGATGCATTGTCGTCGTGTTCGTCATCTACTGTTGAGGTCGAGTCGTCTTCGTCGTCGCTGGTGTCTAGAGACTCGGGCTTGTTGCTCTTCAGAGTTGTTTTTGCGTGTTGGATAGCGTTCTGTGCTTCTGTTTGCGAAGCCAGAGGGATGAGGGCGACATTGGTGATGACGTAGATTGGTTTGCCGCGGATCTGAGCAACTTGCTCACGTTTCGAGATGGCGACAAGGTACGAAGAAGATGCGAGGTTCAAGAGGCCTAGGAGGCTTGTCAGCAAAAAGGACGCTACGAGTTGATGGGAGTGCATACCGAGAAGACCATGAGCCTCGAGTCCTTGGCTGGTCGAGTCGTCCGAGTGCTGCTGAAGCGAAGGACTGATATTATGTGTTTGATAGTCGATCTTTACAGGAGGGGACGAGGGTTGTTGGTTTCGCTGAGAAAGAGGTTGCAACAGCAGACCATCTGCCGTCGCGCAGCTGTGTGACCGTCAGTATCACCGAAAACATGTCTCTCTGAAAGCACTTACATGACGAGTTTGCGCACCAGACCAGGCATTGCTACAGCATCCGTTGCATCTGCTGTCTTGAATTCAGATTGTCTCATCAGATGTTTAGTCTGATGTGTTGGTCTTCGTCCTCCTCCAAGCCGTCTTGTCGCCAATGTTTTTGGGTGATGACGTCTGCTGTGATCGCAATGGCCTGATTCTTCGCCTTATTCTGCTCCTACAGCAACGCCTGTTGTTTTCTGTCGAAAGACGCCTGAGAATAATCTCTCGGTTCGTCCGGTAGGAATCGATGAGATATCTCAAAGAACTCTTGAGGTGTTGGACGTCTTGTAGTTTATTCGTCTTGCCGGTCTCATGACCCCCGCTTCCACGCCAACCTCTGCCGTTTCTTTCCCGATGTATTGACGACTACATCCTCATTGACATTAACATCGCAAGGCAGGCACCACTACTAGCAATTGCTGCCCCAAAGCCGTAGTCATGATGAACAGGTAGTAGCTACATCCTCGGAGATCATTTCTCTCATCTCACGCCGGCTCTAGCTCAACCGCCCGTCGGTTATGCCGTCTCAGACCAAAACACCCGTATTGCTTCCAAAGACGCCTCAGTCAAAAAGTCCCATCAAGCGCCATCGTCAGAAGAATGCCAGAAGGCGCTTGGGATAGCCATATGCATGTGACATCTCCGGAATACCCTCTAGCAAAATCCGCTGCATACAAGCCATCCTTGCACAGTCTAGACCATGCTATGGCCTTCGAAAAGAAAATTGGTATCAAGAACATTGTGCTTGTCCAGCCATCCATTTACGGAAACGACAACTCATGCCTCCTAGATGCGCTGAAGGAGATCGGAACTGCACGTGGTCGAGGCGTGGTGGCCTTTGATCCTGACGACACTGACGGCAGAACATTGTGGGAGTGGCACCAACTGGGTGTTCGTGGCGTTAGACTCAACTTCAAATCGACGAACGAATCATTTGATCCGGACACCGTCAAGAAGACTCTGTGCAAGTACGCGGCTGCCGTGTATCCGCTCGAATGGGTGATTGAGCTGTTCATCGATCTCGAGCAACTTCGCCTCCTGTCCGACATTATACCTCAGCTTGGAGTCAAAGTCTGCATTGCTCATTTCGGCGCTCCGGATATGAGAAGATGGGAGTCACATCCCTCAGATGCGTCGAAAGTTCCTGGCATGCAGCATCTTACGGCGCTCTTGTCACAAACTGACCAAACCTGGGTCAAGCTTTCAGGCCACTATCGCTATGATCCTTTAGCTGATAGTATGGCCGGTACTGAAGCGATAGCCAAGTTGTTGTTAAAGACCGCGAGACACAGAATGGTCTTTGCGTCAGATTGGCCGCACACACGCTTCGAGGGCTTGGACGTGAAGCCCTTCGTTTCCAGATGTCTCGATTGGGCAGAAGAGTTCGATGCAAAGGACTTGGTGTTCCGTGAGAACGCAGAGGAGCTGTGGGACGATAGCTCGGATTGGGTTGCTGAGATGATTGGTGAGCCAGGTCAATATTAGCCAGACCAAAGGGGTCTGCGTTGAGCAATCAGGTGGGATTCAGTGACGCATGTCACGAGCAGATTCAAAAATATGATATTAATAAGTCCTTAGGTGTCTGCCGGCCAGTCCCAAGCTTGTATGAGATGCTTCTGTGTAGACAGTGTGTGCCGGGCATGAACCCTGTCCGTGTACTTCAATATCTCAAGCAATTCTTCTTGCTCTATGCGAGAAGTAAAGCGATCACCACACCATGATATACCCATGCATGAAGTGACCCAAATGGCTGCTGTTTTGCAACCACCCTGAGCGATGCCGCACAGAGTTCTTGCATGGAATCTGAGTTGTTCCTAGACTGAAGTTAGTGATGGCCGAAGCTGAGAGATTTCTGCGGAAACGTACATCAACAGTCTGCTCAAATGCCTTCCTCTGCAAACCAAGTCTGGGTATATTTGGGTCATGAGCGACAAGAAGAATTTTCGACAAGTGGTAATGCTGGATACCCTTAGCAATGGCGTCGCCGGTATACCAAGTCTTCGTGAACAAGTTTCCCTTGACGCCAGAGGGTTGAGATTGAAAAATCGGGTTGAAAGATCGAGGCTTATGGGCCATCCATGCTTCTCCGTAGTCGTTGAGTGCCTGATACGCCGTTTGATTGAGTGAACCGTTCTGGAAACAGTGATTGATCACATCCGCGCAATGGACGATGATCCGATTGGTCCATGTACAGTCATCCGCCGCTGAGAATGAACGATCCAGGTTGCAGTGTTCCAATACGGGTACAATCGGCCTCTGATTGATGAAAGCCACGACCATCTCTTGACGGAAGCCAACCCACCAAGCCGCTTGTCGTAGACCGCCTCGTGTAGCAATTCTTTCTTGCGCGCTAATGAGAGCATGTAAAGCAGGCAGATGACTCTGTTGATCGTAACCGGAAAGAGAGACTAGATAATGTCAGCATCCATACATTCAACCTCTATATTTGCACTTACTGTCCATTTCTTCCATGACTCTTAGAATGACTACAGCAGCCAATATGTAGTCCTCAATCAGTGCGTCGGGCTCGTTCAGCACTGGTATTAGGTGATCCAGTGTTTCCTGGAAGTAGGTCTCTGGCGTCGGATCCGTCATTCCTATCGTCTTAGACATATGCTTGGAGGCACACGCGAATATTGACGTTAAAAGAATTGGTGAAAGAAACGCCATACGAGGCACGAGGCGACCAAATATCGAGTCTCGGCAAACAACATCGATACTCGGAGCTAGATGCTCAATAAAGTGTTGCATTAGTCGAGCCTCATGCGGTGACAGTGTGGGTGTCGTGGGTAGAGAAAAGGCCGCCTCTGGTGATATTTCGGTTACACGACCAGTAGATGGATCTCTGGGCGAGCCAAAGTTCCGGAAGTTATGTGGTGACAAAGCATCACTGTTGGACAGTCGACTCTGATGCAAAGAAACATGCGTAGCCGAGTTGTTATCCAGAGCAAACTCGAACAAGGGTGATATGCCGGTCGTTGATGTCGTGAAGGTTGCGTCTGGTATGGACTCCGTCGTGAGATCTATTGGAACGCTACGTGAGCGCTCAGCTCTGCACTCGGCAGCGGCCTCCACGAGTGTTTCGAAACGAGTTGATGCTTGAGTCTGATCAAGGTTGATAGTAGCACCGGCGTCCTGTTCCAGGGCCTGAACATGAGCTGTTATTTGATCGTGTTGTTCAACGGGTGCTCCTTCAAGATGTGATGCTGGGACGGACTCGATAGTTACTGATATCAACTGACTCGGATCATCCACGTCGTCCTCGAAGTCTAGCAATTGGCCATCGCTGGAGATTGTCGATTCGTTCTCGTCGATGAATATCAATTCTTTGTGGACTCTAATCCAAGGCTGCCCGGTCGGAAACTTGGGCTGATGTTTAGATGGGTTGGCAAGTCTGGAACTACAGTCAGTACGAAACTGACATGACAGTCAAGCCGCCCATATCTCAAGAGCATTAGAGGCAATCAATTCTCGGCATCTTACCTTGCCTTCTTCTTCGGCGGCTCAGGCAGCTCGGCCCGGCTCACACACTCGACATCATCTTTGAGGCATCGCGAGCATTTGGGCTTCTTGCGATCACATTTCAAATGCCGTAGCCGACACTGTTGACTATGAGGGGAGCAGTCAGCTCGGCCAAGCCGTGAAGGTTGCCAGATGGGGAACAGGAAGCCTACCACGCAAGTCTTTCTCCGCCATTCATCGCATCACTCGGAATGAGCGGCAACGGTGTCGCGCGGGGTTAATTGATCGCAAGGGCTCGCGGACTTCGGACTGTGTGTAAGTTGCGTAGGGAGGAGAGAAAGTGGTTGACGAGATGTCTTCGGAAAAGATCTTGCTCAGCGCTCGGGAAGGTAGTTGCCTGATCGGTCGTCAGAAGGAACGTTTTGGGAAAGTTCCACGCAACCCCGCTACTCCACACTCCACATTCGAGGAGCCCCTCTTACTTCTTCTGTTCGTCTGTGCTACGCATCACTACATTCACTTGGGATAGCAATGCGTGTTGACAAGAATGGCAAGTGAATGTAGCGTGATATAAGGTCAGACCCAAGGGTCTAGGGTATAAAGGATGAACCTAGCCCAGATCTTGTCATCCAAGTTGAATTACTCAACGTACCTCTACACAAACAAAACCATACACCTCGACACCAAAATGGTTCAAAAGCTCAAAATCGCCGCTGCAGGTCTTGGTCGTATGGGCGCTCGTCATGCCATCAACTTCCTCCACCGCACCCCTCGCGCAGAGCTCGTAGCAGCATTTACACCCGACCCGAAAGAGCTCGCCTGGGCCAAAATCAACCTGGAACCTCATGGCGTTACGCTGTACACCGATTATGATGAGATGATCAAGCAAGAAGGTCTTCAAGCTGTGGTCATTGGCACCGCTACATCAGTCCATGCCGAGGAGGCCATCAAGGCCATGCACCAAGGCTTGCACGTTCTCTGCGAGAAGCCTCTATCCACAAGCATCCCTGTCGTAAGTCATCATGCTGCAGACCTCGATTCTACAATGCTGACTCTTCCAAGAGCAAGCAAGTCCTGGATGAAGCACTCAAGCACCCTCACCTGAAGGTCATGTGTGGTTTCTCCCGCCGTTTCGACGAGTCTTACCGCGATGCATGGGAAAAGATGGATAGAGGTTTGATCGGCCGACCAACAATCATCCGCAGTCAAACCTGCGACAAGCACGACCCCAGTGGCTTCTTCGTTGAGTATGCAGCATGGTCTGGAGGTGTGTTCGTCGACATGTCTGTCCACGACATCGATCTTGCTCTTTGGTTCTTTGGCGACGACATCCAAGTCAAGAGTGTCTCTGCATACGGCGTACGAGCAGTCCAGCCAGAGCTAGCCAAGTACAACGACTACGACAACGCCATGGGCATCGTCGAGTTTTGGAACGGAAGAGTCGCCAACTTCTACTGCTCGCGAATGATGGCACATGGCCAAGAAGACGTGACGGAGATCATTGGTACCGAAGGCAAGTTGACGGTCAATGGTAACCCCCAGAAGAACTTTGTCAACTATTACGGACCACAAGGCGTGACCAGAGAGGTTCCAGCACACTACTATGGCCGCTTTGAACAAGCATTTGTTGGAGAGGCTAATGAGTTCGCTGCTGCTTGTCTGGATAACACTGCACTTCCATTGAAGCTGCGCAACGCAGTCAAGGCCGTTGAGATTGGCGCTCTACTGCAGGAGGCTCTGGTAAAGGGTATTCAGATTCGTCTGAACGAGGCTGGACAGCGCATCTCGGATGCTCCAGTTTCGAAGCTGTAGTCGGAGTCTGGCGTATTAGGTAGCGAGTTAATCAACAAGAGACTCAACTTGCAGCCATGATACATAGAAGCTCGAATATTGTACCAAAGAGACGTACAGAAACCTACAGATTGGTCCTCTGTCGTTTAATAATGTGGCTAATCACAGCCTACTGTGAATACCGAGTAGAGCTTACGCGGTAGTCCAAGAGCCAAGAGATGTCATTCTTGGGATCCTCGAGACTTTGGTTTGGCTTCTTGAACACCTGGAGATACTTTGGATGTGTTGTATGCATATTCTGGGGCCAGCATACACAGAGTCGTAGAAGTTCTTACATGGTTGCAATGGAGACTTTCCTAAGACACTCAGCCTCATGTTCTGAGCCGCTCAAAATTGGTGTTGTGACCGACTGTTGGACTTTCCTAATTACTGTTGTTGAGATAGAGTTACTCGCAAACGATCGTCAAATGTCATGGACTGTTTCTCGGAAACAGGCGGCATTTAAAGACGCCATCTATAAGATGGACGGTATATCTGCAGAGCCTCCAGAGCCGAGGCATTCAAGCAAAGATTTTGTTGGCTTGACTGACAACGAGTGTTAAGATTGCTGAACGTTGTGTCAAGGCTTTTCGTTCCCTTTGCGATAACTCTGTACAACGGGGATAGCTCGAAGGTGCTGCCGAGTGCGAAACATCTTGAGGTGATATCGCATTTCTGAATAGTAATAATGATCGAGTGTTTGTTAAGATCGAACCACAAGATCAAGTCAAAGATTTCTGTTATGAACTCTCAAGTCGATGCCAGATGGTTCGAGAGACCGACGATCGGGCATGCGCAAAGGTATCGAATTTTATAGGGAGGATCGTTAATCCCATTGTCAATCGGCAACTATAGTAGCCGAAAACAGGTTAATGCAAACGGTTAGCGGCATGTGTTTTGTGCATATTAGCGCCAGGCAAGTTTCATTAGCGGCGGGCGAACTTTGGGTGACAGGCCCGGTGTGTCAGGGCAAACAAGATGCTTTTCTTCCCTCGTTCTTGTTGATGAATCGATGATAATGAGCTTCTCAAGTCACGATGACTCGAATTCGAGCGCAACGAGTCGTTGAAAAGCCCGCGCACCTATTGATTGATGTCGTGTGTTATTATTGCATCAGCCATTTCGTGGAGATGATGCGTTTATTAAAGTAAATGCGGGCACATTGGGGGCTTCGACAAGCGGGATTCGGACGTTTGATTCTCCTCAGGCGTCTTGTGTGTTATTGGCAACAAGAGTTGGCGCAAATCATTGGCATCGTTGGCAGGACATTGGCTACCAGGTCTTGCTAGCTTTGGAAATTCACACAACGTAAACAAGATTCGAATGGCCAACCGAGAGGCATGCTCGAGGTGGATTTCCATGAAGTTCGTCGTGGGATGGTACGTGGATCATGCGTCGCAACAGATCGATCTTTGGAGAGACATGAGACGACGCCCGGTAAAGGCACAACGGCAAGGCCAAAAGCAGGGAGATAAGCGGTTGAACATGTGGTGTGATAGCGAGTTCAACGAGGGGACGATCATTTGTCAGGTAAGCAAGAAACTGCAGTATCGCAAGGCATGCACTTTGAGTAGTGTATCGATTTTGGTCGGCAGATTTTGTGAAAATCGAAACAAATGCATGTTGTCCACGTGCCAAGAGCGTGCAATTGGCAGTCGCGTTCTTGGAGTGACCAAATTGAGTTGCGGGAGCGCCAGCGGTTTCGAACAGCCAAAGGGAGAAGTCGCGTGTAATTTTTGCTTTCTTTTGTGAAGAAACTAGGGCAGGGCAAGCAATCCCGGACGCAAACCCATGTAGCTTGTTATTCATCAGTCCTATTAGCCTCCGTGTGCCGTTCCTGAGAGCCGCCTGATTGACTCGTCTTGTATTTCTCCGTCGCCGTCTTCGTCCATCGCCTACCCCGTTCATTGTTCGCTGTGTCATCCGCTACAAACAACAATTCGATCAAAGCCTTTGCTTGGCTCTCGCTTGCAGCTGTAAGAAAGGAGGGTTTTGACTTTGTCGGATCAGGCCTGCCAAACAGGTTGCTTTTCTGATCGGCAGATCAACTAGTCTGGCCTGTTCTTTTTGGTGAGCCGCTCGCTCCACTGGTGCTTTCCATATCCTCTTTGGCTCCTTGTACAAGCGTCTTTTCGCTTACGCAGCAGCGTTGGTTGTCGTCGCCGTCTGCATTCCTCTCGCTCTTGGTCGACCACCGACGGCCGCCTCTTGATGTTCACGCCCTGTGCCGGCGACTTCTTTGGCCATCACGTCTGCCGCTGACAACACCCCCGTATGCCGACTGTATCTGTTCGCACCACCCTCGACTCCACCCCGACTTCGACCCCGGCCAACGCTCGAGGTGCTCGAGTCGTCTCTCAACTTTTCGCACCAGAGGCTGCGTCCTCGCCGCGACAGTCAAGATGCGCATCCCCATCCGAGAACAGCTCGCCGGCTTGATCCTGCTGGCCGCCGCCATAGGCCTTGCTGTCATATCCATAGCGACATGGGTTTGTCCCTCGCAGACATGCTTGCGCTCATCATGTACTGACTCGTGTCACAGTATACCAGCCACAATTTCATCCTCGAGATCCGCACCACCAGACTTTCCCTAACCGCGTCGCTCAAAGCAGCTCAGATCGCTTCTAACCTGGCCCTCATTCAAAACAGTGTCCAGCTCGTCGCCAGTCGACTGGTTATGCAGAATGCGCTTAGAAGGTACAACTTACAAGGAAACAACACTGCCGCCAACTGGGCTTCGGCTCAATCAGACTTTAATGCTGCTATCGCCGGTCCTGCTTCGGGCGCCGTCGGTCAGGCTCTCATGTTGCAGGGCAAGATATTCCCACGAGATGCCGACGGTCCCAATGGCCGCTACTCGGTCCTGAACTCTACATCGGAGAACCTCGAGACGATTCTCCTTCCCTACAAGGCACCCAATGGCAGTGACGTATACCTAAGCGACACCGACTACGGCTATCCTACCGAGCTCTACCCCAATCTGACCTACTTTTCTGTTCCCATCAACAACACCTACCGCGAGTCACGCGCCATCTACAACGGTCAAGTCTTGCAGGCTCCCAACTCTACCCTGCTTTTGGGTCCTTATACCATAAACGACACTTTCAGTCTCTTGTCTCTTACCATGCCCGTAATCAACAACACTTCAGCCATTGATGTCCTTGGTTGGTTGACCATCGTCTGCGATGCTCGTCTAATTGGCAGTGTTATTGGCTCTGCTGAAGGGCTTGGATCCACAGGCTTGACCCTAATTGTCGGCCCTGACAACACTACCAACCATTTCCCTCAAGGGTTACTCTACAACTCTATTGACAATGGCACAGTCGACCCTGCTGATGTCCGGGGTCATTACATCTGGCCTCTACCGGATCGCTTCACATACCGTCATCCTGGATCTTCTGGTACTCTTGACGCTCCATCATTCCCCATCACAAAATACCCAGCTGTCGTCACCGCTTTGACCGAAGACCAAAATTCCATCGGGAACGCAGGGGGTCTTATTAGCACTCGCGATGAGGCTGGCAAAGGAGTGTCTGTTGGCTTTGCCATTCCTGATACCGCACTCGTCGATTGGGTTGTGATAGTTGAGCAAGACAAGCGAGAAGTCTGGCAGCCAATTCGTCATTTGCGTAAAGTACTCTTGACCTGTATCTTCTCGGTTCTCGGCGGTGTAATACTTTTCGCATGGCCACTTGCCCACTTTGCGAGCGCACCGATCCGAAGACTTAGGGAGGCTACGCGCAGATCTGTGGTTCCCATGGGATACTCGGAGAGTAATTACAGTCGGGATTCCCATCATATGTTCAACGACATTGACGGGGACGGAAGCAACGATGAGCAGCACGATGCAATTCTAGCTCGCAAAGAAGGCTTCTTCGCGACTGTCACTAGCTGGAACACGAGGAATAAGCAGTCGCGAAAAGAACGCAAAGAGGAACACCGGAGACGTCAATTCCATATTCCTGGAAAAGTCAAGGAGCGCAAGACGTGTATACAGGATGAATTGACCGATCTCACTCGAACCTTCAACGAGATGTCGGACGAGCTTATGATGCAGTACGAACGTCTGGAAGAAAGAGTGAAACAACGCACGGCCGAACTCGAACTCAGCAAGAAGGCTGCCGAAGCCGCTAATGAGAGCAAAACGCTCTTCATCGCCAACATCTCGCACGAACTCAAAACACCCCTGAACGGCATCTTGGGCATGTGCGCCGTTTGCATGCAAGAAGAGGACCCAACGAAGCTCAAGAGATCTTTGGGCATCATCTACAAGAGTGGTGACCTTCTTCTCAACCTTCTTACGGATCTTCTCACCTTTAGCAAAAACCAAGTCGGTCAGCAACTGAGTCTTGACTCGAAAGAGTTCCGACTACGCGAAGTCAGCTCCCAGGTGCTGGCCATTTTTGACAAACAGGCCAAGGAAGGACAAATCACTCTGCGCGTTGAATTTCAAGGTGCTGATGCAATGAATGGTATAATATTCAACGCAGACGAGGAGCGTACTCAATATGGTCCCGCTGGCACTGGACGCGTCAAAGACATGATTCTTTGGGGAGATGTCCATCGCATCCTGCAGGTCGTCATCAACCTTGTATCGAACAGTCTGAAGTTTACGCCAGCTGGCGGCTCAGTTGTTCTCATCGTCCGCTGTACGGGTGAAGCAGAGAACAGTAGTCGAAAAACGTCTCTTCAATCTAGAAGCTCGAAACCCATTTCTAGTAGGCACAAGAACTCTGATGCATCGATTGCTGGACCCTTTGGAGCTCAAAATTCTGCCACCGCCAACCAAATCAACCCTTACCGCGAAAGATCCGACGCTTATGCGCAGATTCTCGCATCTGAAAGACCGGCATCTCCACCACCTGGGCGCACTCTTCTATTCGAATTCGAGGTCACAGATACAGGACCGGGTATTGCAGAACACCTTCAGCAAAGAATATTCGAGCCGTTCGTGCAAGGTGATCTTGCTTTGAGCAAAAAATTCGGTGGTACTGGTCTAGGATTGAGTATCTGCTCGCAGCTGGCCACACTCATGAAGGGGACTATTGAGTTGGACAGCGAATTGGGACGCGGCAGCACGTTTACTATGCGCATTCCTCTTCGACACATTGTAACAAGATCTGACAGTACCGCAAGTTCGGTCGTTGGTAACAGCAACGACGTCGGATCAGGACTTGAAGGCTCTCGCTCGCCACAGCGGGTGAGCCAGCTTATTACCGATGATGCTCTATCACACCGATCAGGGCATTCGCATACTAGTGTTGGACAATCGCCAACGGTCGTTCAGGCTCAACCTCCAAACACTCAGGACTACTCTCGGGATGCACAGCCTCGCTTGGTCGGTCTCAGTCAGCCTTACTTTTCATCCAATCAAGCCATGGAGTCTCCTGGATCTCAAGCAGCAGCGATGGAGAAGATCACCAAGGATGCCGAGGAGACTGGCAAGATTCGGGTGCTTGTTGCGGAGGACAACAAGGTGAACCAAGAGGTTGTTTTGCGCATGCTCAAGCTTGAGGATATTTATGATGTGACTGTTGCAAAGGATGGTCAGGAAGCCTTGGATTTCGTCAAGGAGAGCATGACCACTCCTGGTCGTCACCCTTACAACCTTATCTTTATGGATGTTCAGATGCCTAACCTCGACGGTCTGCAATCAACGCGACTCATCCGTGAGATGGGTTATGATGCTCCTATCGTTGCCCTCACCGCATTTGCTGAGGAGAGCAACGTGAAGGATTGTCTTGACTCGGGCATGAACTACTTCCTCAGCAAGCCAATCCGACGACCGGCTCTCAAGAAGGTGCTCAAAGAGTATTGTCCTCCCATCATTGAGGTAGATGAAGATGTCAGTCCCTCGACAGAAAAGGCCCAACCCAAGCTCAAGCCCAAGGCAAAGCCCGCACTGAAGCAAGAATCGCCGGTACGGAGTCAATCACCACCGCCGCGACCAATGTCTCCTGCAATCTCGGTACATTCAGTCGGTAACTCAAGGAACAGGACTACGATTGTGAACACAAGCTCCAGGCCTGGCTCACTTGACCTCCCTCCTCAGCGATTCTCTGGCGAACACTAATTTCTCTTCTTTCTTCCATCTTTTTCCTTCTGTTTCACAAGACATGTACGCAGCATTGAGCATGGTGTTGGCAGGCGTTTTCTTTATTCCAATGGGTAGCAACAAGTGTAGGGTAAGACAAGGCTTTGCTCTGGGTCTTGTCAAAATCGGTTCGATGAGTGGAACCGCCTGCTCAAAAGATCTTGCTCTCGATTCTCCTTCTCATAGACTACTTCTTTGTAAAGACAAGGACGATCTATATTCATATCACCCACTTCTCTCCCGAACACAGCCAATGGCTTTCGATGACTGGGATGTTGCATGTCGAGATGCAATGACTTGGTCTATCTGATATATATACAACGAGACATACGACGACTAACCAAAAGGTGCTCCGAAAAGCAAGGTATCACAAGAGGAAAAGAAAACCAAACCGAAAAGAAGAGACAAGGAGAATTCACACATCCTCCCTCACCGTCCGAACCTGATACGATGTATGCACCATAATCCCCTCTTGATCAGGCTTGATCCTGAACTCTTCCTCACCTACGATATGTTCCATACTCGCCGAATCATCAGCACCCACATCATGACTGGTTATCAACGCTTTGTTCTTCGTTCCTCTGCCTTGCAACATCTCGATGAAATTCGGCAAGTGACTCGCCGCATCGCTGCCCCCTCGAGTCGATTTTGCTAGTGTGGTATCGGTGGCGTAGGAGTGGTGAGAGCCAGAAGGATGCTGATGATGGGAGTGAGAGGCAGAGGTAGAAGTATTGCTGCCCCAACTCTTGCTCCATGATCGAGACATCCAGGATTTACTCCAGCTGCGTTCGCTGGTGAGTGTTTTAACGATTTTTATCTGACGGTCGACAAAGGTGCGAAGGGTGGGTCCGCAGGCGCAAATCATGCAGACGGTGAGTTCGAGTTGGCTGTTTGCGTCTTTGTCAGCAACATATCAGGAGATGTGGCAGAGGAAGATGCACTTACGTCCAGATTACGATGTTCCAGAGGGTATAGGTGATATCATTGTTATTTGCGCCATTGTGGAGCCAGTCGACGAGGACTTTTAGACGCGCGATACTGGTTACACAGGGTAGAGAACCGAGAGCGAAGAGAGAGGTGAGAAGGTATTTTTGGTCGTTTTTGAGGGCGAGGGACCACACGATTGGCATGGGCATGAGGAGGATCCACCAGGTGCTTATACTGTTCATGACTGTGTAGGCGATGTAGAGGGCCGAGCGATTGATGCATTTGTGCTCTGAGACTGAGATGTCCCTGATTTTGATAAGTCGAGGTATGTAAATGGAAGGAGGGAGACATACCATGCAGCGGAGATTGGTGAGCAAGAGAATAGTGATGCAAAGATGAACATCACACTGTAAGCTGTAGTAAAACCAAAGGCACACCACCATTGGAGGCGAAAGTTTTGAATGGGAAAGAGGCGGCGGTATAGCATGAGTACTGATAGCTTCATGGTGAGCATACACGCCGAGTATAGTACGGCTACTGTAAGCCATGCTCGAAGGAAGTAGGGCGAGTAGTTCTCCAGAGGTACGTCCCAGAGATGTTTGCCTAGACCTAGATGTACCATCCATTGGAAAACACCCATGATGGCCAGGAACGATGCAGTAGCGAAGAGAATGAGTGCTGGAGAATGGATCAGTATTTGATTTTCGTGAACAGCAGGTAGGGCAGGCTTACAGTCATCGTGACCAAACGATCTATTGAGGAATACTCGAGTAATGAGGCGAACAACGACTACGATCATGAAAAGAACTACGCAAACAATATTCGTGATGGTGATGCGAAACCCTACACCAACAGGATCCACAAGATTGCTGACATGGCCAGCCGGAGCCTGTATAGCTGGTGTGAGGCTCGAAGCCATTGTGAGTGGCAACAAGGTTCAGTTTGACTCGAATCTATTTTGGAGGGACAAATGAGGGACATAACCCCCAAGGAGTGGGATAGAAGGAGAGCCAGGTTATGAACAAAGAAATCATCAGGACAAGAGCCCCATCTTCTGCACTCGAAGAGACCCTCAACATTCCACACCCCACGCGTCATTAGCTCTTTGATGCCATGCCATGCCGTGCTACCTAGCCTTGATCTTTGTCTTTGTTAATTGAACAATCCTGCCTCGCTGGTAAGGCGATCCAATGCATGCAATATTTCCGCATGGCTTCCTTTTCGGAGGTGTGTTGGTTGTCGATCTGGTTTGATGATTGCACCATCAACCTCTCCACTCGGCTGCATCCCCCGTTATTAACTCGCATCAAAGCCAAGTCTTGTTTAGCGCTGTCGACGGTCACGGCCCGGTGCGTGTTAGGATGTTTGACGAAACTCTTGTACCTTTTTGTGGGGAGAATGTGATTGGAAGTCTGCATGGTGCATTTTCGATGGCTTTCAGGCACACTCTGGAAGTGCACGCTGAAGCGATACGATCTTTGTTGAACCCCTGATCTTAGTGGCGTGGCATGTTCTTCTGGCGCGATATGATGGGCTGAGCGGCTATTGGGTTGTCCGAATTGTCGGTGCCCAATGCTGACATTCCTGAAATGCCACGTTATCTTCTTTCTTTCCTCGAGGGCTTGGTATAGCCGTTGAAGCAGACGTCAATCAAGCTCGAGCAATTGCAACGCTCGAGTCTCGGCTCTTGAAGTTGCACAAACAAATGTGCGAACTGATCTCGAGGACAGCAGGCAGGCACGACCGTTGAGTGCTCCCTCCTTCACCTTCTGACTTGCATGATGTGCATGAAGACACATGGCACCGTCTATTTCGTCCGACCTCCACCCGTGGCGTGAACCCCGCCATTGGGATCAAGAATTTATTGCGATCGCGGTTTCGTGTGCGGATATGCAGGCCGGCAAAAGGCTCATTGGGCCACGAAGTTCAAGTGTCAATATCGTTCACGCATCAGCTATTGAAGGCTTGCTTCAAGGCAGAGTATTGTTCAGACGCGCCTTTTCTCGAACACGGAACATCATTCGAACCTCGAGTCTCAAACACATGTCAACCTCATGCAGGCAACCGCTCCCTCGAACGGAAAGTTGCATCGATTCGAACGAGTCATATCCTTCTCAAACAGGTGACGTGCAGCAAAAGTGTCAAAAAAAAGAAAGCTTGGACGCTGTCAAATCTAAAGTGGATCTCCCATCCGGGAGAACGACATGACCCTAATTTGCTAGAGGGCTGTCAGTGTTTCCGTCTTGTTTAGCAAAAGGCTTTTTTACTTGCGAGAAACATCTCACGCTCTACTTGCATGACAGAAAGTCGACTATGTTGTTCTCGGCTACGCCCATCGACGAAAGATTTGAGCGTGCACAGGATCGAGACTTTCCACGTTACACCATGCATTCTACCTAAAGCCGCCACTGCATGAGACACCATTGACCGACATGCAGCTGCTACAGACATTGCGCATATCACAGCTGTAATATGCCGCTGTTCGAGATGCAATGAGCCGTCAAGCAGAACACTGGTCTTTGATTCTTCCATGTTTTCGCTGCTGCTGCTGCTGCTACCCGCTATCTACAAGTCACAATCTACAATTTCGACTTCACCGCCTTGTCTTCCTTCAGCACTGCAAGCGAATCTTGCAATTTCGACAATGCTTGCAACAACACACGCTCTTGCTTACGCTGAGAAACCACTTGCACGCATAACGTGCCGCCGAGGAAAACACTGCGATCGCCATCCCATAGCTTGCGATTATATTTCTCCCAGCCATTCGGTGCCGAAGATTCATCGGATATCTTGCCATTGAGATCCGAGGCACGAATGGGACGGATAGGCAGCGTTGCCGCTGGAAGATCGAGTAAATTGAATGCTGAGGTATATGAGACGGTGTTCCATGTGTCGATTGCTGGTGTTGGATGAGGCGCCACTGGGCAGATGAAGACATCTAGATTGCCAGCGCTTCCTGAGGCATTCTTCCAGTATCCGCCGTGTGGCTTCCAGATATCGAGGAAGCGCGTCTGCAACTCGTTTCGTCGTGCTTGAAGGTCTCGTATCTTGTCTGCTGCCAGACTCTTCTTGCGGCGCAGACGTGATTTGAGCCATGGAGAGATTGGCTCTGAGGTCGCTTCCATGAGATCGAATGCTGTGTTGGCGCCATCGACTCCAAACAAGCCATTGGCAACCGTCTGGCATTGAGAAAGCAGAGACGTGACGTCCAGCTCCACGACTTGGATAGCAGCATTGCTCTTCAAAGTGTTGCTGATCTCCTCCAAAATCGTTTGGATCGGCGGAAGAGGTGTTGTAATGCCATCCGTTTTTACAATGCCAATTCTCAACCTTCTCATGTGGTCAGACAGCGATGGAGTTCTGATAGCACTACGCACGACCTGTTGTTCCCAGGTCTGGGCAACACACTCAGGATCATATGTCCACGGCTCCAAGTCCCCGATGGCCTTGAAGAACAACTCGCAATCCCTGACATTGTGAGCGATTGGACCAGCTACAGATCTGATGCCCAAGGTTTCAGTGCCAGGGATACTGCCATTCTCTTGTCCAGCGTATGGTATTCTTCCATGACTGGGCTTCATCCCCACAAGTCCATTGCACATTGCCGGTATACGAATACTGCCTCCCACATCCGTACCTACGCCCAGCACACTGCCACGCATTGCAATCAAAGCTCCTTCACCACCTGAGCTGCCACCAGCAGTGAGTTTCAAGTTTGCAGGATTTAGCACGCGCCCAAAGACGTTATTGTGAGAATCCAGCGCTTGCAGTGTGAGGGGGATATTTGTCTTGCAGTGAATGACGGCTCCTGCTTGAAGAAGCATTTCGATCAACGCCGAATTGGTTTCTGCAGGTTTGAAACATAGAGATGCATAACCGATGGATGCGTCTCGGCCGACGATCTTGAAAGAGTCCTTGACTGATATTGGTAAGCCGTGTAGAGGACCCATTGGCTTTCCAGTCCGTTCGAGGTGTTCATCAAGTTGTTTCGCCCTGGCGATTGCTTCGTCGAACATGATTTCTGTCAAGCAATTTGTCTGACATCGTGTCAGTACAGCTTCTTCGAAGTGCGAACCGAATGACCTACCAATTGTTGAGCAATAGCCGCTCGCTTGCAGAACGCAGTCACGACATCTACACTCTTCAACCTCTTTGCTGCCAGCTCTTGCACCAACGCTGTCGCATCGTACTTTTCTGTAATCTCAATCTCTCGAGTGTTTAGAATGCCACATTCTCTCGGGATTGCTAACACATTGATGCGATCGGCTGCTGGACGAGTCTTGAGGGTCCAACTCTTGGGAATCGTATCTGACTGCTCTTGTTGCTTGCGACGGGCAATGACTTGCCATGGCGCTTCTGTTTGTGACATGTTTGCTTAACTCTAGAGAATTGATCGATGGTCTGTACAAAGATCAAGAGCTTGTGGATGAGAGATGCGGGGAGTCATAGTGGAGATGCCGAGGTTCTCGAGTCGTGCAGTTGAGCATGAAACCCTGCCGGTTTTTCATTCTTTTGCTGAGATCTGCTGTCTTCCCTTGATCAGGTTTCGATGTAGACCGGATATGTGTCATGGGTAGGTGTAGTCATACATACGGTAAGAGCTGTTGGGATAAACACGACAAGAACTGCATCAATGGTTGGTTGACTGCAAGCTTCGTCTCTGTGACGCGTGCTTCATCGTCACACTTATCTCCAACATCTACCACTTTCGCGTGCACTTCTTGACCCACACTCAACATGACTCTCGCAGAAGACCTGAACACCATCTCTACCTTCCTCTCCCACGAGGAAATACAACTGGACCCCTCTTCAGACACTCAACACTACGACGCAATCATCCTCTGCGTCAGCGCCATCTTTCACTGCGCCGAGACACTCTTCGAAGCCATTCAGCAAAGAGGCTCATCCCTCACGCCTACTCTGATCCTCTGCGGTGGCATCGGACACTCCACACCTCACCTCTACACCGCAGTATCCCAAAACCCTCACTATGCCCACCTCGCCTCTCGCATCAACGGATTACCAGAAGCTCAAGTCATGCAGAAAATTCTGAATACCTGCTATGCCACCGATAATGCCAAAACCTCCACCGTCAAAGTGTTGATTGAAGATCAAAGCACCAATTGCGGTGCCAATGCCACAGAAACGAAAAAGTTGCTCCGAAAGCACGGGATTTCGGTTGTAGAAGGCAAAGTGTTGGTTATTCAGGATCCTACAATGAGTTTGAGGACGAAAATGTCGTTTGAAAAGGCTTTTGAAGATGATCAAGTGGTGTTTGAGGCTTGTCCCACTTTTGTGCCTGTAGTCAAAGAAGTAGATGGTAGATTGAGGTTTGACGAGAGTGGAGGTGTCAAAGAGGAGCAGTTGTGGGATATGGATAGATTTCTAGGATTGATTTTGGGGGAGATTGTTAGATTGAGGGATGATGAGATGAGCTATGGACCTAGAGGCAAGGGATTTATTGGGCATGTTGATGTGCCTGAGACTGTGCTCGAGGCATATGCCAGACTTGATAAATCTGTACAGGCAAAAAGGTAGTGAGTGGGGAGAAAGAATTGGCGGTCAAGAATGCACGTCAGAGATGCATAAAGTCGGAGCACAACAAGAGCTGCGACAGAAGTCGGTATAGGAGATCCGAGCGAGAAGTGGGGGCGCGTCCTCTTAAGGAAAGTAGACGCGACAGATGTTTACACATTGAAGGTCGTCACCGAAAGCTGGCCTATCGATAAACCGAATGCGATGTAGGTGGGTTTTTTCGAGTCACGATTATTCTCAAGAGTTTGCAAGGAACAGCGCTCGATCAAAAGCCGCTCTTCCTCCCTCACATCGACAACAGAGGCATTTTTTGGAGGAAACAGAATTGACGACGGCGACCTCGGCGAGCTTTCCCCGCATCTGACCTCTTTCATCGTCATACTCGAGCAGCGTGTGCCTATCGTGAGCCGAGGACTTTTGTGTCAGCAGCAGTTGGAGCCACCACCTTTTGCCCGAGACTTGTCATGACTTTCATCTCTCGAATCGTCGCAAAGCCTGCATTCAGGTCCTCGTTCCAGCCAGTCACACGCAACAGCATAGCTTCAAGATCGTACGCCATGGGACACAGTGTGCCAAAAGTGAGTAGATCCGACCATCCGCAGAGTGCCGCTGCTGACCGCATCTCTTCCAGCTCAACGACCCTTCGCTGTTCAAGCAGCAGGCCTTCATCAATGGCAAATGGGTCGATGCAAAGTCGGGCCAGACCTTTGACGTTCATGGTATGATGCCCAAGACCAATTCAAAGGCATCTTACTAATTCCATCTCAGACCCGGCAACCCACGAACCCATTGGCAAGATGCCCGAAATGAACAAACAAGACGCTCAACTCGCCATCGACGCCGCCGCCGCCGCCTTTCCCAAATTCCGCAAGACGACCGCAAGAGAAAGATCAAAGATGCTACGCAAGTGGTACGACCTGATGGTTGAGAACTCGGAGGATATTGCAAGACTCATTACATGGGAGAATGGAAAGCCAATGGCTGATGCAAAGGGTGAGGCCACATACGCTGCCAACTTCTTCGAGTGGTTCAGCGAGGAAGCTCCCAGGGCATACGGCGACACCATCTCTGCAACCGTCGCTGGCAACAGGGTTTTCACCCTCAAGGAACCCGTCGGTGTTTGCGGTCTCATTACCCCCTGGAACTTCCCTGCCGCCATGATCACCAGAAAGATTGGTCCTGCACTGGCAGCTGGATGTACCGTCGTCGCAAAGTCTCCTGGTGAGACTCCTTTCACTGCCGCCGCTCTGGCTGAATTGTCTGTCCGCGCTGGCATTCCCCCTGGTGTCGTCAACATCATCACAGCCATGAAGAACACTCCCGAAGTTGGAGAGGCCATTACATCTTCTGACATTGTCAAAAAGGTGTCTTTCACCGGCAGTACTGGAGTCGGCAAGCTTCTTATGAAACAATCTGCAGACACTCTGAAGAAGCTCTCCTTCGAGCTCGGTGGAAATGCTCCTTTCATTGTCTTTGACGACGCCGATCTCGACACTGCCGTTGCTGGTGCCATTGCTTCCAAATTCCGCTCTTCTGGTCAGACTTGTGTTTGTGCGAACCGCTTGTATATCCAGAGAGGTATCTACGACAAATTCGCCGAGGCTTTTGTTGAAAAGGTCAAGAACTTCAAGGTCGGTCACGGTTACGACGAGGGTGTCACTCACGGTCCTTTGATTCACGATCGTGCCGTCAGCAAGGTTGAGGCACATGTCAAGGATGCTGTCAAGCACGGTGGTAAGGTTCTTGTTGGTGGTCAGAAGCTTCCTGATCTCGGTGACAACTTCTTCCAACCCACTGTCATCCGCGACATGACTACCGACATGGCTTTGGCTCATGAAGAGACATTCGGACCTGTAGCCGGTCTGTTCCCCTTCGATACTGAGGCCGAGGTTGTCAAGCTTGCCAACGACACTGAAGTTGGTCTTGCCGGCTATTTCTTCTCCCGTGACGTACATCGCATCTACCGTGTAGCTGAGGCTCTCGAGGTTGGTATGGTTGGTGTCAACACTGGTCTTATCAGCGACCCTGCCTCGCCGTTTGGAGGTGTCAAGCAATCAGGTGAGTCAAGGTCATTCCGAATCAGTATATCCGAGCTAATTGTTCTCCAGGCTTCGGACGTGAAGGCTCCAAGATTGGTATCGATGAGTACATGGTCACCAAGATGGTTACTCTAGGCGGCATGGGAAACCCGCTGCAAGGAGAGTAGGACTTTTTTCTCGATAAATACGTCAACGGCCATTTGTATATCTATCCTCATTCTCTGCATTCACAACTTCCACATGATATATCGACAAACTATTATCCTTTGTATCTCGTTAACCAACTAACTAGCAGTCAACAGCTTGCACACTATACAGAATCTGGAAATTGCCCGCGACCAGGTTCTGGCCGGCATCAGCCCTCGCAAGCCTTCACCACAGCCTACACCAGAACAACCTTCGCCACAGCTTACCTCCGCCGAGCCTTCTCCTCTGTCGAAACCTACAAGCATCCAGTCACCGGTTCCTATGGCAAGAGATGACTCACCAACCCCTGGATCTCGCAATCACGTTCAAATCTCTCCACCTCAAACCAAGAAGGTCCGCAAGACCTCAAAGAACGACAAGACCAAGCAGACCCCCGAGCAAAACAGTCGCAAGAGTTCGCTGCAGCAAAGCGTCGAGTCTGGTACAAGCCGTGGAAAGCAAATCCTCGAAAAGAGTTTGGACAAGTTGAGCAAGCCATTCCATCGTCGCAGACTATCTGAGGGTGTTGCGGCTGTGAGAACCTCCTTCAGCTCTCGCAGAGATTCTCGTTTGATTTCCATCAACGAACAGAATGCTGTCGAGGCTGCTCTCGAAGAGAAGAAGTGATTTGAAAGTGTTGTGCTGGAGCATCTAGGAAAGGGCGTTGGGTATTTTTAACACGGATATGGCATGAAGTGCAATCACAGGACGCAATGGGAGGGCGTTGAACAACAGCAAGTCTTGGGTGCAATTCCATGGCGCAAGGGGAGGGCGACAGGGAGTTTTTGTTTTACTGCTTTCAAGGAGTTTGGTTGGTTACATTGCTGTATCAGGAAAAAGTAATAGCCGATCCACATCTGACATCTGACATCAAGACGTGATTGCAATAGTGTCGGAGAAACACGGTGTGCGTCTGCAGTGCGCAAGAAATTCAATAATTGCGTCAGGTTGAGAGGGCTCGACTCTTCAGCCGCCGTCGTCCGCGGTTCACGTCAATGTCGCAATCGCAACTCACCCATCCAGGAACCTAATCCAGTCTCAGTTGATTTGGGTTCGATTGAGACTTGTCTTTCCTTGTGCCGTTACATAGCACGTGTTCACCACAAAGTCCAAAGACACCTGGGGATTGGTCTATTTTCAGCCATCTAAAAACGCCATCTTCACAATCAAAGTTCGTGTTCGAAAAAGCCCTTCGGCGCACCGTGGCAGGTTTCTCCTCAAACAGAACGCGCCCCTTTACAGTTTTTGACAGCCAGATTGCTTGGCACGGCAGGCTAGACTTTGTTCTACGAGGGGTCGCCGGGAACTGATCCTTCTCCAATTTCGAAATCCATGCACTGTAGGACAACGCTTGTCACGCCTTGATCTCGAGACTCGACGGGGATTGATGCTGTATGGACGTTGAAGATGTTCGTCGGAGATCCTCAAGATCTACAACACCATGATCTTCGGGACGAGCCAAATGAACCTTCTTCAGCTGAACTCTGGTCACAAAAACAAACTTCACTCCTCCTTCCAAAAGCCACCCTCGGGTCTTGTGGAGGCTTAGGAGGCTCGTTACAGCGAAGAAGGTGGAAGCTGAACCCGACCGGCCGGTGGCGTGCAATAACGTCTCGCTCTCATTTGATGCTGACCACCTCCAACCGTTAGAACCATCTCAGCACATGTCTTGAACGCTAACCTCGTAGCTTACCTTTGACTTTCTACAGCCACTTTTTCCTATATATATGCACCTCGTCGGATTGCGCTAACGGTCTTGCAACGTGCTTGCTGCAAATATATACTGTGGACGATATTCCGTACTTTAATCTTTCTTCCTCTCGTATTCCTACTCGTGATTGCATCTCAAGTCACAATGTCAGAACAAAGTATCCTGTCAGAGAAGAAGCAACTAGCTCTGGAGCTTGAAAGACAACAACTTCAAAACAATGACCTCGAGAGTCAATCACCAACATCACCACCTCCAGCACGACCAGTATTTGTACTCCTATGGTTGCTGTTCGTCCTGGGCACAGTCGCTACAATAATCTCTTCGAATTGGAGCAAACCACAACACTTGATCAAGTCTCAGCACATCCTACACAAGCCGGCAGCAACCGTTATCGCCAGCACATCATTGCCGACCTCCGCACCCACAAGTACATGCGACAACCTCACTCTCCGCCGTGAATGGCGAAATATGAAGCCCGTCGAACAACAACGCTACAGAAGTGCAGTTCGCTGCCTCCTCGACACTCCCTCCAAGAATGGCAACTCGGGCAGCAGACTCGGTGACTTTCTCTCTGCATACAGCATCTCCGGTTGGCACGCGACACAAACAGTTGACTACCTCCCTTGGAATCGTTTCTTCATGCACACACTCGAGTCTGCTCTACGCAATGAATGTGCATACCTTGGAGATATGCCTTACCTGGACTGGACCGTTGCTGCTGCCTACACCGAGACACTAGGCGAGGTTTCAGCCGTGGACTCATCATCACAAGCCGCTTTCCACGATGCAGCTGCAAAATCACATCTCGATGCTTCAATTCTCAACGAGATCATGGCTGCCGACACTTACGACGACTTTGCACACGTCCTCGAATCTCGTATCACTTCCTTGGCACCATTTGACCTTTCCAGCTCCGAGCTGCCTCAAGGTAATTATTGTGATCCTCACAAACTCGTATTGAGGCAACATGAGTTAATGTCAATCATTGCAGATCCCCTTTTCTTGCATCAGATGCAGGTTGACCGTCTGTGGTGGCTTTGGCAACAACAACATCCCAAAGCTGAAATGCAGGTTGAGGATGAGCGCGTGAGGATCAGAGGTTTCGACAACTCTGTTGCTGTCAAGAGTGTTGCATCCACAGAAGGTTATGACCTTTGCTATAGATATGTTTGAGGCTGCATTCGTTGATGCAAAAGTCTTGATGATGATGTTTTTATGACCAATGTATATATTCTCGGTTCTTACACTGTACATGACAAAAATTATTGCTGTGCTGTGATCGACTACATGGCTATAATTGCTGTGACATCGCGCTGAGACGAAAGTCCGTGACGGGTGTTGAGCCTGGTTGTGGATTTGACAAGAGCCGCTTTCATTGAGTTGCAAGGAAATGCGTTGCGGCGGTGACTGATGGTCTTCCCTGGTGCACCGTTCAACGCCGGGCTGCCATCTCTGTCATGTTTTTTAGGGCTCTTTGAGCTGTCAAATGCCTTTTTAGTGAACATGTTCTGCCCCTGCCAATGAAGCCAATCAATCTTTGAGCAGTCGCAACATTGACTCCTGGTCTTGCTTCTGTCACAATTCACTATTACCTCATCTTCGACGTTGAGAGTTCAAACTGCTCGTATCACTACTTGACGCCACGCGGCTAGCACGAGATCATTTCCTTATTACGGACTCGGGGCCCACGGACTCCGTTGTTTATACTAGACCTCTCCTATTCACGTCTGTCAAATGTTGCTGCCTTGCCTATCTCTATCGTACCCCTTCCCTAATCTTGTTGCCATGTCCGCAGCTCACAATCTTGTGTATCAACGATGGTCCTAATCTATTTTTGACCACAAAACGTTTGTCGAGATTAAACTCTATCTTGTAGGTTTACATTCGAAACATGATCCGTTGGTTTCCTAACGACAGCAGTGCGTACAGAAAGCGTTTTTATCGAGTGATATGATGTTTACTATTCTCATATAGTTAGGGCACAATAGTGAGGTATAGAGTGATTGTAGAGAGATGGCAGATGTCACTCGGTAGTTTCAACTCCTCTTAGACAAGAGGGTAGATCCCTTTGAGCCTATGCATTTGTAACTTGTAGCACAGAGAAGCTAGACTGAATTTGGAAAGGAGAGTATACCAAGAACGGTCATCTATAATGCACCTCGGACCTGCCATTATGTTTTTCATCAATGCACCACCTTAGAAAATCAAAAAAAAATAGAAAGGCCGAACAATACAGGAGACGTTGTTGCTGACGACGACGACAAAGAAGATGGAAAGCTTGTTTATTCCCGGGGTGATGCCGATGGACTTTGTTGCTCAGACTAGGCATCTTCATTCTTTAACCAGCGCACGTTACAAGCTTTCACATGACCATGAGAAGTGTGTGATGAGCTTTCAGTGTCTTCCGCGGTCTCGGCGTCGGGAGTCACGACTTCCTGTAATGTTGCAAGACTGGGAAAGTGATGCTGAGCACAAGTTACTCATTTGTTCCTTCCAATCTCATGAAAGAAAGGTAAGCGCTCTGGGTTGACCAGCTGGATTTTCTACTCCATCGAAAGGAACGATGCAGATACATATCCGTTTCAACATCATGAGGAGGAATATCCATAACATGCAAGCTTCAACCATCTTGTATGCGTCCACTGACATCGAAGCTCTACTCTTTATCGGCCAGATCAATTGCAACAATCTCTCGGTTTTGAGCCCAGCTCGTCCCGCATGATTACCATCTGGCTCTCAGCTCTTCAAAATCCTGCTTGCGCGCAGTGGAAAACAACTCGCAAATCAAATTCCTGATTAACGACATCACTTTCCGACTTTTCGGCATTGCACACCAATTGGCTATCATCACGACAACTGCTATTGAGGAATCAAGCATATCTGGATTGTTCCAGGCATCTAACAGGACATCATCGAGAAACACCGTCCTGAATCCTTGTACATAGAGGTCGTTTGCAAAGTATCCCGCCAACAAATCGTCCGAGGTTCTACTTGACTACTGTCCAAACAATCTCCCACGCTCGGCCAAGCTCAGATATACCATCCAAGAAAGAAAGCCAGCACTGAAGAATCTGTCATTGAGCATTCATCGTCAAGAAGAGCTTGCTGGGAACCGAGACGAAGACACTACTTTCATGCAGTATTCAGCTGTGGCCTTGCCTGCCTAAAAACTATCGCGTCTTTCCCACCCGCCAGGCCGAAGGAAAGTCAACTCATCTTCTAACTCGATTGAGCATTGTCAATCAGTAGTGGTGCTGCATCTCGCCGCAGCACGCGCCTCTCTCATCGTCTGTTTACTGAAGGGTAACTGAAGGGATCTGCTTGGACTCACATCATTGACCACTTTTCTCCATTTGCAAGCTTTTGGAGAAAGCACGAGAATTCGGCCAGAAGTGATTGGCAACGTTATTACAGGGAAGAGTCGAATTTGGCGTGGCTTTTTGTGTATCTGTACACCTGATTTGCTGGACTGGGTTGGTCAAGAGACGCTGCAAGTTCAATCATCGCTAATGTCGTTCTGGAGTGGGTTTTCGTTCATGTCGAAACCTCATTTTGCGCGAAAATGTCGAAAAAGATGCCAGGAACTGTCATCTCGATCTGATCTGGTCCCAGAACATGATCAATATCAGCCAAGTCTGGATTGCGGATGGAGTTTTGATACGTATGGCGGGACCACTTTTTTGGACCATCCCAAGCGTGGCACAGATGTCGACTGCCAGTCAGATGATGTTAGTAGACATTTGTCACTGACCAATGCCTCGATCGTTGGTTTAGTGAACGAAAGTGCTGTTAACGAGGACATCACACGGTCAAAAGGGCTAGTGCTCGCACAGACCGCTACGTCTCGAGTAATATTCAACAACCACGACTTTTCTTCTTCTTTGCCAGCAGTGTCGAGTTCCTGTAAGTCGTGATTTGCTACTCTCAATAGCCCATCCCTCTCTGCACATTGCTTCGTGCATTTTCAAAGCTTCATTGCTGTACACCACTCCATCCGAGATCCCTACGCGTGCACACAATCCCTTCTCCTTCCCAGACACAGGGTCTGACCGAATTTATTATAGCTTCAACATCCCTTCTCGACCTCTACCTCCTCCAAAGCTCTTCCTGCATCAACGCAGGCAACAACACCACCCTCCCCTCCTCCGCCGTCATGGATGGTCAAGTCAAGCGCGGCTCTCTGAGCACCATCGAGGGTCTTGTAGAGGCATATGCTGCGTCGGAGCGGTCCAATGACTCCCACGCCTTCATCCACGCGGGAGAGTTGGATCGCCAGTCGTACGTCGACGCCCGCCGTGAGCTTGTACCTTTCCCTGCTCCTCTCGTCTCTCCTGGTCCTGCGCCCTCTCTCCTCCTGCCTCCGCCCGTCTACTGTCCGGATTCCCTCCGTGGCGAGGACGAGAGCGATGATGTTGTCCCCACCCCTCCCACCAGGATTCTGGACCGGAATCCTCCTCCCTCGGTCTCCCGGTTCCTTTTTGGTCTGGACTCGGGTGTCTTGGACGCCGAGGAGTCTGCTAGTGGCTCCGTCTTTGAAATGGGACAGCAAGAAGAAGACACCTCCGTCTATGGGGAAGTGAAAAAGCTCTCTCCCGGGCTAGAAACGGCCCCCAGAACACTGCCATCAAAAGGCACAAATCCTTCACCACCACCTCACATGTCCAACGAAAGCAGCACTCCATCCTTCGCTCCAACCATTCCTCTCGACATCTCCAACTACGACGAAAACCAAGACTTGATCTTGCAAAGACAATCACCACGCCGTCTCGAAAATGCACGCACGCACAGCCTCGCCAATGATGTCGTCTGGCTACAAAGAGACAAAGCAGGAAAACGTAAATCATGGGCTCTCTTCGTTGTCTGCGCAATCATTCCTCTCGTCCTCTTTCCTTTCGCTTTCGGTGGTTTTGACAAGATCATAGTGCGTCTGGCAGGTACGCATGCTCGTCCAACCCTCTATCAAAAATCACTCGCCAAATATCTCTGCATTGTCGAAGTCGTTGTTTGGCCAAGCTTGGTGACTTAGTTGGTTGCCCGCGCTTATCACTATGGACATTGAGTCTGCTCTGTCCCGCACGACGAAGACAAGAATGTGATATGGGGGAAAAACGAGCAGAAAAGATTGTCAAATTTGAGATGCAGCTGAAGATACACGAATTCTCAGGCTCTGACAAGATTGATGAACGGAAGCATCGGGTTTTCTCGATGGATTGAATCACGAATGAAGACGATGGTTCGTATACACGGCGGAGACTCCCAGACGAGAATCAACGTTGTTGCTACTCACGAAAGGATGATGACGAAGAAAAGGATGATTCAAGAACGTGAAAGAATGCCACGGAAACGAAGAAACGATATTGGAGATTCAGAGGACCTTGCTACTATTCGCGCGGCCTTGTCTTGTCATGGAATGATACAGAATTATCGGTCTCAAAGCTTGACACCACCACCCACCACAGCATCCCAATCCCTTTTGCCAAACTTCTCATACGCCTCGGCACCCACAGGCAACCAATACAAGCCATCCTCTCCAACTTTCGTCGGATCCACTCCCTGTTCCCTCAATCCATGTTTAGTATACTTTGCCGTACCCGTCACCTCAAACTCCTTGACCACTCTCAAAAACAATGGAATCGCGAACTTGGGCATCTTTTCCTTTGCATGTTGAGCAATCTCCTTGAGTGTTTGTGCTGAAGGAGTTGACTTGAGCATTACAGCCGCACAACCAGCACGACCATCATGGTTTGGAAGCGCTACGCCATAGACATTAATCTCGTCAATATGAGGGGATGTCGACAGGGCTTCGGCGACTTCATTCGTGCTGACGTTTTCGGATTTCCAGCGATAAGTATCTCCAATTCTGTCGACGAAGAAAAGGCGGCCTTGATCGTCTTTGCGCAGTAAATCGCCAGAACGATACCAAGCATCTCCCTGCTTAAACACATTACGCAAAATCTTGGAATCCGAAGCTTTCTTGTTGCCGTAGTATCCTACGTATTTGTCGCGGATGTTGTTTGGATCCAATGCATTGATATATTCGCCTGCTTCTCCTGGATCGACTCTTTCGCAGAGGTTCGAGGTATTGCAGTAGGGTTCTCCGGTTTCGACGTCGTGTTTGACGATTGCGGTTTGACTTCCCATAAGCGTTTGCAATGTTGTTCCTGCTCTGCCCACAGCACCCAGTCCAAAGTTGTTCTTGCTCTTGATGAAAGTGCCGCCTACAGCTTCAGTGGCAGAGTAGAACTCGGCGATTTCGAGAATGTTGAAGCGTTCTTTGAAGTTTTGCCATACGTCTGGGCGTAGGCCGTTGCCGAATGCCTGGCGGATGGTGTGAGATTTATCGAAAGGAGAGGGAGAGGTGCTGAGGAGGTATCGGCACATTTCGCCAATGTATTGCATCATTGTTGCGCGTGAGGCTGTTGCTGAGGCGAAGAAGGTTTTTGGGGAGAAGTGGTGGGAGAGGATTGTCGTTGCGCCTGCGTGGAGGACGACGGAAATGTTGAGGATTGTTGCGGAACTGTGGTAGAGGGGCATGGCCTGGGTGGTTGTCAGCGTTATGCCAGATGAGAGGGGGAGCTGCACTCACGGTGTAGTATCTGTCTGTGGATTTGACACCGAGCCAATTGCTGACGGTTCTGCCAGACAGTAGAAACTTCTTCCAAGGAACCACGGCTGGCTTGGGAAGTCCTGTGGTGCCAGAGGTGAAGATCAAGACTGCCGTATCGGTCATCTGGTTACCTCCTCGCTCTGCATCAGGCACTCTCAATCCCTTTGCTGCGAGAATCAAACCCTCGGTGACCGCATCCAAAACGACTGGTCGTACCGAACTACCGAGCTCTTGCTTGACCTCGTCTGTCAAGGCCTCCTCAATAGCTGGATCCACGATAAACAGCCTCGCCTCACAAGCCTTGACACAATGCAACAAAGCCTTTCCTCGCAGATTTGTGTTGATAAACGCAGCCTTCGCACCCAGCGAGAAGAGTGCAAACCACAGATAGACAAATTGAGGCTTATTGGTAAAGTCAATGGCAACCATATCACCCTTCTGCACACCATGCTCTTGCTTCAACCACGCAGCAAACTTCAACACCGTCTCATAGACGTGTTTGTAGCTCAATTCCGTCGCTTGCAAGCCTTCCAGGTCTGCGGGTGTAGAAACATCTTTGGGAATGTGCGGCGGGATGGCGAGGAAAGAGCGATGGCAAGTCTTTGTGTCCAAAGCGTGTTTCTCGAGTTCGTAGAACAGGTTGACGCGGTCGTTTTTCACGCAGCTTCTGACGTAGAGTGCGCCCACGACGGTGGCCTTGAGGATGGAGTAGTCGCTAGGGAAGCTGGTTTTGGCGCGGAGGTAGGCGAGGGATGCTGCTGCTGCTGCTGGAGCTGCGATGGTTAAAGGTATAGCAGCCATTGTTCTGTATCAAAAGTCTCACGTTTGGATTTCGAAGAAGGAGGGAAATTGGGATGAGCAAGAGAGAAGGTGAGGTAAGGACAGGTCTCGCTCGCGACCTACTCTGATGATCCTCCTCCTAACCCCGACCACCCATTACGCGCAGAGTGCCCATGGCATCATCCACAAACGGCGTTTGACATGGCCGAGGGACGCTTGCTTGCTTGACTCTGGTTGCCCATAGTATTTCCCGGTTCCAAAGAGGCGTCACTGCCCCTCTCTCTCCACAAAACGCAAAATACAAGCCGAGGCTCGGCTGGGTTGTCCGAAATTTTGGCTGGGCGTTTTCTGATTTTGGACTGGTTACCTCTGGTTGCCATTCTCTCTCATGCTTTTTTTCTTTCTCTGCATTGAATACTTCTCACGACCAAGGTTCCTCGAACTTCATCTCGAACAAGATCATCATCCATGCATCTCATTCGTGACGAGCACCACTGTACGTGACGTGCATGCTGTACAACCAACGACCCTTTGAAGCGGTTGTGCCATCTCGTCACAATCGACATGTCGCTGTTTCTGATTTATTCAACCAATCATGCAATCATATCATTTCCATGGTTTGCGGGATTGTCAATTTGTCTACTCTGAAACAATTCAAGACCTGCCAGCTTGGAGACAGCTGTCTTTACATTAGTGTGCATACTTTGACCCATGCTATGGATGGGAGAGGTGTCTCCAATATGCAGAAGACTTTGACAACTAGCCATGGAAGTGCATGATACTTTCAACAAACGAGCGACATCCACAGAGATACCGCCCGAAGATATCTCCATGGCCGAGCCCACTTTCACAACGCTGCTGTGCATCCGGATGGACGTAGAGGCATCTCTTGTACGCAAGGATCCTGAACAGTTGGCTATGAAATTGCATGATACTTTGTAGGAAAGAGCGGTGTCCAAGGAGGGATGATCTCATCCAGGGAGCTGCACAAGACTTGAATCATGCAAAGTCTAAGTTGGACGAGCAATTCAGAAAGTCAAGAGACGAGGCCAGAATTGTCCAAGCTGAACTCGACAAAGCACAAGCACACTCTCGAACTCAAGAACAAAATCCTACGGCGATCAGTGAACTTCAAAGACAGATCGGTGACATCGACTCGGCTCTCACAGACTTGGGTTCACCAGGCGAAGGTCTGTCCGCTGTCCAGATCATCGAAAGCCTCACACCAGACTCCTCATTGCTATCAGAGACATGATCCTGCCTGGAGTTGCGATCGAGGATCTGCATCCCAGATAATAGAACCAGGCTCCTCTAAGAGATGGGATGTGAACGTATCTCCGACAGACACGGAAGTTGTTCAACTCGCTATAAAAATGCACAGTACTCTCAAGAGACGAGCATCACCCAAAGAAACAAATTATGCCTCGAGAATTCTCTACCAGATGTCTCCAACAAGGCTCCTCCAAGAGACTTGATCTTCAGGCCTCTCCGGCATGCGCAGAAGGCGAACATCACACTATGGAAATGCACGATGCTTTATTGGAACAAAGCATCGTGCATCAATCATGCAGGGATCCAGCACAATGCAAGCTGGTCTCAGAAGCTGTCCAGAGCAATCAGACACCACCATTGCTTTCCTCAAGCACTGTCTAGATGATTCTGAGTGTCTGAGGCTCTTCTTTCAAGAGGACAGTCTATTATTTAGCTTTCCATTGTAAGTATAAACCAACATCATAGCATCTGGACGTGACCGCAACACGGGACATATGCAGGATGCCGTTGTCAAAGAAATCGACATGTCTTTGTCATGGGGACATGCTTGCTTGCATGGAGCTTGCCCAGCTGCTGTTTGTTTGAACTTTTCCAACTCCTCAGCGTACATGACCAATCTCTACCCAGAGAAGACTCAGAGAGCCCCGATAGCATCGCAGCGCCAGGTCTCCTGTCGTTCTGCATATTCGGCAGAATGGCTCAACAACCTTCCAAGTTTGTGTCCAAGGGTCAGGCTTACAGTTCGTTCCAGACTATCGCTAGAGAAGGCTATCGGATTGATGCAAATATTGCTCAATACCACAAACTCACGTAAGTTTTGCATCATTTTCATCACATCTTTGTTGAGCATAGCCGTCCGTACCTCCTTCGTCGATCATCTTTTCCATCCCAGACACAACAGAAGCAAAAGAGACCAAAGTCCACTCGTTTCGTCACGCGGACGTAGCTTCAATCACTGACAGCCTTGTAGACAAGATATCAAGGCTAAGGGCAACCTGCAAACACCTGCCGGGTTGACTCTTCAAGACTCAGAACGTGAACTCCAAGCAGCACGCAATACCCAATCGTACCTCGCCGGAGAAGCTGTTCGCATTTCAGACCAGAATCATGCCTTGGACATTCTCAACAACAACCTGGTCGAATGGCTCAAGACTGCCACGTACGATCAAAACTACAATCGCACCACTGTGGCAACCAACTACGTCTCCCAACTCGTCGAAACCTTTGCTTCGTTTATCAAAGCCGACATGAAGAACAAGCACAAGGCTATTTCTCGTGACGATATCGGCAAGCTTGTCAAAGCCCTCGGCGTCGCACAGGTACAAGCTCTCCCAACCTCCATCACACCGCAAGATGACACCGAAGCGCTCGTTCTTCAAGGAGTCAGTGGCGAGTTTGCCTCTCACAACCAATTCACCATCAAAGAGGTCTTGAGTGTGGCCACCGAGTGGATGTCGGAAGCAGCAAAATGCGGCGACAAGGTTCAGACCTTGCTGAAGCGGAATGCCGAGAAAAAGGAGGAACTGCGAATCTTGGTTCGGAACAAGTCTGAGTTGGATGAGGAAGTGCAGAGGTTGGGGGCTGCGGCTGCTCAGAAGGACACCACCATAACGGAGTTGAAGGCTGCCGCTGAAGAGTACCGCCTTGCTCTTCAAGAGGCCCATGACCAGCATGAGGAGGTCGAGGCTGTCCTTCAGCGAGAGCTCCAAGAGGCAGTTGCAGCAGCCGATAAAGTCAAGAAGGATTACGATTGGCATATCAAGAATGTTGGCACCACGGATAGTCGGGATGCAGCTCTCGTGTCCGAGTTCCGAAAGGCGATCAGATCTGCTCGCGTCACACCTCCACTGGAGGTCACGACGCCTCTTGCCTATCTCACTCACTTCCTTGACGAGTTGGTCGAGTCGCGTGAGTCGTCAGAGATGTACGAGGCTATGAAGGAAGAACACGCCGAGTGCGAAGTCAACGCACAGCGCATGCAAGACGACAATGACGACTTTCAGGAGAGACTCGACAAAATGACCGACATCGCAACCGACGCCCAGAAGCAGAACTCGCGTCACACAAAGTCCCTCTCGCGACACCAAAAGGTCATGTCGGAGCAAACTTTAGAACTGATCGAGTATGACAACAAGGCTAAATCGGATAGCGAGAAGATTGCTGGTCTTGAGAGCGAAAATTCTTCCATCAACGCTCGACTGCAAGACAAACTCACAAAGATTCAAAACCTGAACGGCATTGTCACATCGTACAAATCAGTCTCCTACGAGTTCAGAATTCTTGCAACCGTGCTTGGTCTCGACGTCAGTCCTAAGCCTGCTCAAATCACGGCAGCGGTGACAAAGTTACTGTCCAAGGTCCAGCAGCAACAATCAACGACTAGCGAGACTCTCAAGGAGAGGGCTCTTGCCGCAGAAGCAGAATTGAGAGTCTACAAGGAGCTTGACCATCCCGCTCGAATCGCGACTTTGGAAGAGCAGCTAGAGGCACTCGCCAAGAAAGAGAAAGTTTGTTCCAACGAGCTCACAACCACAAAGCGTGATCTCAAGGTTTCTCGAGCGTCCGGTACAGCCCAAGCTTCCAAAATCGATGAGCTTTCGCAATTGAAGTCACAAGATGCAGTCAAGATCGCCACACTGGAGGCATCAATCGAGCATTGCAAGCTTGACAACGCTAGACTGAACAAACAACACGACAAGCTAGAGAACAAACTTGACAGTGCTCAACGAGAGAACGAAGCGCTTTCGCAAACCGCCTCGAATCTCCGCGAAAGACAAGTCAATGTTGTCGCCGATGTTCAAGCCAAACTCGACAAGGCCTTGGAAACTTCCCGGCAGCTCGAACGAGACCTGAATGCATCTGAAGAGAAAGCCAGGACTTTCTGCTCGCACTACGACGGTTTCAAGGTTTCAGTCATGGGTGCAATCAACTACACTGATGAGGATAAGTCTCCACAGCAGATCTTTGCTGCATTGCAGGATCTTGCCAAGCGACTTGGTGCTGTAAGGACAGCTCTCAAGACCGACCACAACGTCGACATTGCTGATCACATCACACGCAATCTCCACACCAAAGAGAGCGTCAACGAGGAGGTTCGTCAGGCCCTGAAGCCGCTGAGGGAGCATCTCTACATTTCAGAACAGGAGGACCTTTCAGAAGCAATCCAGTCTCTAGTCAAGGAGAAGAGCGACGCTCTGGTGCTTCTCGAGGAGATTGACCTCCCAGACGACTTGAGCGACACCCAAAGCGAGGTCACAGCCAAGATCAATATCATCTCTGATGCAGTCAAGAAGTTACAAAATGCAATCGGCACGTACGACACAACCTCGGCATATGTGGACGAAGTCGAGAGGTTGAAGCGGTCAGACCAACTCGCAAAGGCTATGGAAAATGCTCTCGAGGGAGTTGCAACCAACGCCTGTGTCGACAAGATTAATGAGCTGAAGACCAAGCACACCGCCCTTCAGACTATTTACGACGCCCTCAATGTGACAACGCCTCTTACGGCCTCAAGTCTCATCAACAGTCTCAAGGCCGATGGCGACAACATGTCAGCTGTTCGCAGTACGCTCGAAGTGACGACCAATGATCAAGCATTACAAGTCATCACCAAGCACAAGAATGATAGCGCTGAGCTTCAAAAGATCTGTGTCCAGCTTCTCGTTGCTACTGATCAAGCCGTCTCTACCGTGACTGGAAAACTTTGGCCTGGATTCCAAGAGCTTGAACTCATCTACAAGGCTCTCGATCATTCAGCGGACGGCACAGCTCCAGCTCTTGTTGAAGATCTCCAAAAGGTCAAGACTGAGCATACTCAAATCATCAATGAGCTCGGGTCGTCCTTCCAAGGTACGGCCATCGCATCCATCAAGGCTCTCAACACTGTGAAGAGAGAGCATGAACGCATCTACAAGGCTCTCGGCTTGGCTCAGGGACGCAATGCTGTCGAGTTTATCGGTACCCTCACAGAAATCAAGACCGAGCACGACAGAATTTATGCTGCTCTCGGTGCTTCTGGACAGGGCAAGGCTGTTCGGCTCATCAATGACCTCAACAAGATCAAGACCGAACACGGCACGATTTTTGCCACTCTCGGTGCTTCTGAAAAGGACAAGGCTATTGAGCTTATTGTTGACTCCAAGAAGACCAAGACCGAACACGACCTTATTTGTAGCGAACTCGATACTTCTGGACAAGGCAAGGCTCTTGACGCAATCAAGTCTCTCAAGACGTCCAAGACCGAGTCGACTCAACTGTACCAGGAGATCAAGGGCCAAAAGCAGCGGATTTGCAACGCTCTCGAATTGCCCGAGGACAGCGATGCCACCGATGCTGTCAAGTCACTCAAGGATGTCAAGACCGAGTACCAGCAAATTTACAAGGCTCTCGGCGCAGCCGAAGGCAAGGCTCTCAAGTCTATCGACGCTCTCCAGCAAATTGAGACCAAATATGACCAGATTTATCACACACTCAACAAGCCCATAACATCCAGGAGTGCCGTAACCGCCATTCTTGTTCTTCGGGATGTCGAGGATGCATACGACAACCTTCGAAAGTTGATCAGTGACAACGACAAGAGCTCTTCGACCGAGGCTGTCATAGGCCTACGAGCTGTGTCTGCCGACTATTCTAGTCTCACGTCCCGTCTGTCTGCCGACAACAACGATGGTTGCATTGCTGAGATCGATCAACTCAAAAACACCAAGGAGGCCTTTGACGCGCTCGCTCAGCTCTTGCCTGGTCGGGACAGTCAGGATAACCAGTCTCGTATCCAGGAAATCACAAGGCTTCAAGAGTCTGACGAGGCTTTTGCATCACTTATCAATGCCCTTCCCCCCCACGTTGGCGCCAAGCATGTCGAGGAGGCCGAGAGGCTCCGGCAGAATGACACGGCCTTCAAGGCGCTCGCTGAACTCTTGCCTGGTCAGAATAGTCGGGATAACCAGCTTCGTATTGATGCAATCAAACAGCTTCAGCAGCGCAGCATGGCTTTCGACTCGCTGGTTTCCGCTCTGCCTGTCCACGAGACGGACAATCACATCGGTGAGATTGAGAGACTGAAGAGCATCGAGGAGAAGATTGTCCAAGACTCGCCCATCAACAATCAAGATCCCATCACCGAAGTCGAGCGTCTCAAGACAGCAGACGACACTCTTGGAAGAATCAGAACAATCCTTACTTTGGCACCTGGTGAAAACCCTATCACCAAGATCAACACTCACAACCTCGCAAGTGCCACCTTGGATGCAGTCAAAGCCAAACTGGGGCCGCTCCAACGTCCTGTCCAAGACGAAGTCGAAGGAATCAAGGTGCAAGCCGCCACTGCCGGAGCAGATCTCGACAAGGTTGACCAAGCTCTTGGACTGGGCGATGGGCGCGGACGTGTTCAGGTCATTGGTGAGCTTCGCAGCGGTCTTGAGGGCGCCAAACTCGATCGAGACAAATACAAGAAAGAGCGCGACGAAGCCCAGAAAGAGCTGCTTGCAATTGGCAATGCAATGGGGCCTGCATCCAAGGCGTCCACATTGGCTGGCGTGGTCACGAGTTGGAAGACCGAACTAGGCAATATCACCGCAGAGCTGGAGCCTATCAGTAGACGCACCAGAGTTCAAGCCATCCAAGACATCAAGACCGAGCTTGCTCAGACCAAGATCGATCGTGATACACACCAGAATAACGACAGACAGGCACAGGCTGCCATCACCGCGGTAAACCAAGAACTGGATCCTCTGGATGACCGCACACCTGTCCAGGCCATTCAAGACATCAAGGTCGAGCTTGCTCAGCTCAAGAAGGAGCGCGCTACCTCCGATCAGGACCGCCAAAAGCTCGAATCGGATCTTTATAGAGCTCGCCGCGGTTCTGAAAACTACCGTCGGCTGTACAAAGAGATGTCCAATATTAAGCAAGGGCTGGGTATGGGTGATCGCACGCTTTCAGAGGCAGTCCGCGACCTCTCAAACCGTCTCACTGCAGCCGAGAGCGCACGGGATACACAACTGGAGAATTTCGACAATGCCCAGGCCCACATTGCCGATATCGAAAAGAAACTGGATCTGACAGGTGGTCGCACGGTTCTTGGAGCCATTGACGACCTCAAACAAGCTCTTTCCCAGGCAACCACCTCTCAAGACAAGCTCCAAGATGAAATTGATGTTATCCTTGACCAGATCAACCAACCTGGTCTTTCTCTTGGACAAGCTGTGCAACATCTACAGGACAGGATCCGTGCCTTCATTGATGAAATGGACGGGATAGACGAAGAACTCAAAAAGGCTCTTGGATTGGATGAGTACGATCTCATGGCGAGAGGCGGCGAAACATCATGCTCCTGCGTCACTCGAGAAGTGAACTCAATGACATCAACACGGCTCTGAACCAACTGGGACCACTTTTCAGAAGTTTGTCTGCTGTGCAGATCATTAGACGTGTCACACCGGAGCTCCTGACGGCTGTTGGACACTTGGCTTTGCCTGATGTCTCGCTCGTGAGCCTCAATCTGCTTGAGCGTTTGATCACTCTTCGTTCATGGGCGGATGGTAACAATGCCCTTCCATACATCGTGACTGGATGGCAACTTGTCACGAGCGTAACGACGCGTTGGCGCTCTTGCACTCAGGTCATCACCGTCTTGAGATTTCTACTGCTTTCCGACACCGAGGCGTCGATGCAGTTGGTTCAGGTGCTCTTTTCATCCCCTGTGCAATGCTCTATAAAGGATTTGACCAGGCTTGTTGATTTGTTGGAAGTTCATTCTTCGAGTGGACCATCGCTTGTTGACGAGGTCCACGCCTTCGTCACTGCACGCATGCTCGAATTCATCATCCGTGAGTTGCCCAGGCTTGATCATGCAGAGCCTCAAGTCTCGAGATTGATCGAGTCTTGGACAAGAATCTACCAGGTCAGGGAACCGCTGCTCGTAGCATAGTCCCGCTGATTTAACAGTTTCCAGACCGCACCTCTTACCATGCCTCGTATTTTTGAGGAGTTGCAAGAGAGTGCGGCTGTCCAGACTATGCAGGAAGCTACCTCGTTGCGAGTCTTCTACTGCAATGTTCTCCCAGGCTACCATCTCGTGGTTGACGGTCATGCCCTGGAGCTGTTCGAGGAGGAGGATCTCGAGGTAGATCTGATTCTATGTCGTATCAGCTTCCCGGAGGAGTCTATTCCGGCATTCACCACCAACCTGGAGTTGGAAAGGGTGAACCCTATGATTCGTCTCCACATGAGAAGCTTGTGGCTCAGAGGTACCGTGTAGGTGCCGACAATTGCTTCTCAAAAGGAAAGATTTTGCGCATCGAGTCAGTTACTCGACTTTCCAAGGCTACAGAGACATCACAGTCGCAATTCCATGAGACAACCTTCTATCAGGCTAGCAGCGTCAGACTGCCACAACGTGGCCTCCAGACATTCAATCCTTGTGTCTGGCATCGTGCATTTATGGTCCCAGAGTACCCTCCACTGGGTGTCTTGACTGCAGATGCTGTATATATGTATGCTATCGCTTCCACCAGCTCTCTTGGCCGGTTTCGAAGCTTTGCCGCCCTTCCGAGTGAGATAGTATGCCAGCCTTACGGGGCGCGAGAGCCTTGGGATCGGCGTGAGATTGTGCCATGCCTTTGGTCGGTATTTGTTTGAGACTATGTCTTTTCAACATTGGCTCGTGAATTTGACATAGCAGCAATAATGCTCCGGAGGGATATGAGCGTGAGAGATGTGGCTTGGGAGAGTATTTTTTCTCCAGGTTAGCGATGGCGGTTGCAAACGCACATCGGCCCCTTTGCCATTGCATCTCCAAGGCTCTCTGGGATCAGCTCCTCTGCCGTTGCATCTCCAAGGCTCTCTGGACTTGTGATCTATAGACTTTGTTAGGAGCCGTACTGGTAGCCGTACTGGTAGCTATATTCTTTGGACCTGGGGTCTGGGAACCGCTTTCTGGATGCAGGCTCGTCCAGGAAAGGAGAAAGAACTCCAAGATGCACAAACCACCAAGATGTACCTCAAGAGAGAAGCCGAGCGTCTTTCAGGAAAGGATGAAGATCTATATATTCCGACGCCTCGGAACACCAGAACTACGCACGAACCGTCGAGGCGACGAACAAAACCTTTCTCGTCTTCCGTACCTTTGCTCAATTCATCAGAGCCGACAGAAAGAAGAAACATAAGTCAATCTCCATCAACGATGTGAACAATACCTGGAGTCTCGAGACTTGAGACAATCCGGTCACACTACAAAGGCTGTATATATGCACAAAAACATATTATATAACTTTGCACGGCTCTCTCTGAACACAACTCAGTTTTCAAAATTTTTGTGCATTTTTATAGCGTCTGAACCAGGGGTGGAGGGCTGGAGATTGCTACGCAGAGCCGGCGTGTCCCCAGACTCCGTCGCAGATACTCAATACCTCAGATCCCGGTCACCTCGCCAGAGTCAGGGAGGTTCGTAATCGCAGTCTTCGTGGTTGGTCAGGTCGCATTCGCGACTCGGACGTTTGACAACGATGGCGGAGGAAATTGAATCGAAAGCAAAAAAGATGGCCGAGAAGCAGAATCACCAAAAGAAGCTCGACGACAAGGAAGCTCAGATCAAGGAACGAGAGACACTTGTCTTGACTTTGAACCAAGAAGTCATGCTCCAAGACAACACGATCTTTAGACTCCATCTTCAAGGCAAGCAGAAGGATGCCGCTCTCCTGGAGAACAGATATACCATTACAGAACTCGAGAGGCAAGTGAAGAGCAACAAAGAATCCCAAGCTGAAGTCAGAGCGCCAACTCAGACTCAAGGCTCTCCCTTGCCCAGCACATCTCAAGAACTGCCAGAGAGAAAAGAAATCCAAGTTCAAGTGAAGTGAAGGGATCGTCGGCCAGATTTGTTTGCGCTTCGTCTTTCACCGCAACGACCTTTTATACAAAGCAGTGAAAGCGCGTCACTCTCGCTACTCACCAAGGCGGAAAATTCGCTACACACTCGCACTTTTCGTCTTCTGAAATTCGCACACACTCGCGCTTTTCGTCTTCTCAAATTCTTTCCAATCCAGTCGCGCTCCGCAAACCCATCTTCCACCATGAGTGCCTCGCTACCAGCACCACAAGGTGCCATGGCTCCTCAGCAAACCCAAGACCATATCGGTCAAAACAACACGGCGCCCGAGCAATCATCTCTCCTCGACGCCCAGCTTGAGATTGAGGAACTGGATGCAGAAAATCAATTTCTGCGAGAGGATCTGGCCCAAAGGAACAGGATGGTGGTGGCTCTCAACGAAGAGATCATGCGCCAGGACACTGCCATCATCGATCTCAAAAAGAAAGTCAAGGGGAAGGACGCCATGACCCAGAGGAGAAACAAGATCATGGACGAACTTCGTGAAGACATCCTCACGGAAAGAGACAAAATCAAGGACCTTGAGCGCAAGGGCAGAAAGGAAGAGGACCACGTTGCTGCTCTCAAATTTGTGGAATAGAGCCAGCTGCTGAAGAAAGTGTCTGCGGAATGCGAGGGTATGGATGGATCCGGTCTAAGCCGTAGACATCGTTGTTGTGATGAGACGATGGCACAAAGGATGGAAGATGCTCGATAGCCATATAAGATGGGCGTGTCAAAGAAAGCGGCCCCAGCCTTTCAGAGGTTGAATAGATGGGAGGTAGCCAGGGGAGTGGCAGATGGTTTGACGAATGGTTCCCATACGGTAGGAAAGACGATGGAGAGAACGCATCAATAGAAAGTTCAGGCTCCACAAGAGGCGGTGGACGAGATAGTGAAAGGGAATCAGTCGGCGGCAACGTGGCCTGGCCAGCGAGCTCACACTCGATCGTATGCGCCTGAAACACGAGTTTCGTTATTTCAATGATCAGAATGTGATAAACAGTGCCAAATACTGACTCTTCTGTAAGTACACTCACAACCTTGACTACGGCAAGCATGGCATGCTTCGTCTGGCTTGCCTTCGCAGCGTATCTTTTTTCTGCGACAACGAAGGCACTTTGAATCAATCAGTACCAGGAACAGAAAAAGGACAACAGCTTGTCTTACTGCAATGGCCCTTCTTCGCATGGAAAGTTTGTGCCTGGGATCCCTCGGGTTCATGATCAAGATTTGCGCAGGGTCTGAGAACAGAGCGTGGCCAGCAAAGGCAGAGAAAAACGAAAAGAAGATGAGAATTGACACAAGAGATGAATCAAGACTTGCTGAATTGACAGGAGAAGAAGTGGTCTTACCGCAGAGGAAGAGAGCCATGATTATATATCCAGTGGTCTATTAACTGTAGACTCAGCACTTTGCGAGGAGCTGGCATTACGTGCATCGGTGTGTGGTCTGGGTGGACCAGGACTCGCAGTTGACATGTCGACACGGGAGAAGGCGTGTTCTTGCATGCTTAGTGTTGATTTGCAGAGACACAGTTGACTCGCAGCCTGCAGATGCATCAGCATCTGCCGTGTCGCATGAGTTCAGCTGCAGCCAAACTTCCAGCGCTGGTCGCAGAAGACTCGCGATGTGCCGGGCTCCTTCATAATCTGGACGATGGCCTCCTCGTGGAGTGTCATTGCTAGAGGGGCCCCCTGAAGACTCTGAAACCAACGAGAGTAGGGCATGGGTAGCGGTTCGTTCACCTGTGAATCAATCCGATGATTCGAGATCCTCCATGGTCAAGGCGAGATAGACCGCGGATGATCCTGCGGTCGGCCAAATGGACTCAGAAAGGCATGGAAGAACAATGCTCTGCGCAAATATGCAAGAGTTGATCAAGTTCGGGTTGCACGAGGATCATAGCCGATGCAAGGCATATCCGGGACAGAAGCGGGCCGTGTTTCACCTTCTCTGATTCCAACCTGAGCATTGGGACTCGATCCGGCAAGATGACACTTGCGGCCTGCGATGAGGGACGTGATTTGCGCATGCAGGACTCGCAAACCTAAGGACTGGAGAGCAGACGTCGGACAAAGGCCCAGGATGCGGTGACATGCGAAGCGCGTCGTCATTGTTGGTTTGCAGGACTTTTGGTACAATTGCGCAAAGTCTGCGACGCTTGAAGAGAAGCGTTTCATTCGGGTATGTCCTTTGCCCCGAGAACGTGATGCGAGGTCGAGTTGGTCGGAGGTTGTTGAGGTTCCGGATTGGTGCAGCGACTTCGAGGAATCTTGGCAGTTCAAAGATAAAATACACGAAGGCTGGCAACTTTCTCACCATGAGAACTCGCGACACACGCCATCTTCTGTCCAAACAATTGTATAATTGACTTGTAGACCTACTGATCACTCATCTTCACTGTATTGTAGAACATGACCAGGGGTTGGTGCTGACACTTCGCATTCTTACAGCTCTCGTCGCCGGCAGCGGCCCGCTCTCGCGCCAAGGGCACGAGAGAAAAGCTTGATAGAGACGTCTCATCAACGACGACTTGAGCTCGTCCAGATAAAACAGCGGTGCCTGTTGGAACCTGATCGTCATTGTTTGTGTTCCTTCAAGAAAACGTTGGCACTGTGTTCTGCGTAGAAGACGAACAAGACCGGCTTCAGAGAAGGCCACCTCGTGCACGGTAAAGTGTTTGCGCCTGATGAGACTGCGCACACTCTCCTCTATACGTGAACATGTAGCACGCAGAGCAAGCAGGTCGTTGAGCGGTAAATGGACGGCGATCGCTTCTAAGAGCTCGTTAGGACAGATCATCAATGACGACATAGCTTACGATAAAGACTTGTCGTTTCAATATGTCAAATGGACTACGTGGAGGTCGAGGACACTTCCTCTTAGGGCTGTCATATAGTCCTCTCCATGTACTATTAATACTCTAAACAGCTAGATCTGTCCTGAGTCATCTAGAAGCAGGTTAGATGCACGTTCGGCGTAATTAATCATGTGCCTACAGCTTGCCGGATACTAAGCTTCCTCTGTAAGTTATCGGGGTTGATTAAGACTCACGAGACAGCTCTGTTCTCGCATGTTGCCTTATGGAACCGGCCCTACGTGCTTTGTGACACATCCTGCATATAACACAAAAGATTGACGTAGAGGTTGACATAAAAGAGATAAGGGATTTGAAGAAGGCTTTCTGGTTCTGTTCTGATCCTGCAAGATCAGAGAAGGTTGTAGCGGTTGATCCTGGATCGCTAAAAGTCCAGCCGCCGATAGCAATGAACACCTTGAGGTCTTTATCACGTCTCTTGAGGGCCGTCAGTCTCTTATACAAAGGGACGTCTGTGGGGTTAGCGGGGAGTACTTCGAAAGTCTGCGGGTGGATGGTTGCAAATGCGAAGTTCAGGTGTGTATATACACCTGAGGGAATTTGCTCCGGCATGAACTCGTTGCAAGGCCTTTTCAAGGTCCAGCCCTCGTAATATCCGACAACTCTAGCAAGACCACCGGTCTTGCTGCAGGATGGTCGTGTGACTTTTCTGTCTCCACAGAACTCTTCTGTAAGACCACAGAAGCCAAATTTGGAGCAACATACGTTGAGCGGACATTCCTCAACTTCAGCAAAGCCTGACTCCCCGTACCCTGGGTTGCAGTATGACTTGCTATCACAGTTTGCCACGCAATTCTTCGTTGAGCAGTCTAATTCGATGTGAGTTGGGCTCATTCGAGGTTATGAGTAACACTTACAGTCTGGACCTAATCCACAGAACCCGAATTTACTGCAGCAGCCAGTCTTGCATGGATTGTCTTTGTCGCACCCAAGTTTGAAATCGCAAGTATCCACGCAATTTCCAGAACCACAAAAATCATCTCCGGTCCCACAATAGCCATACTTGCTACAGCATCCAGTAGCACAAGGGTTCAACTTGCTGCAGTCTTGAGCTCGAACACAAGGCAAGAATAACAAAGATAGTATCGAGCAGAGCAAGGCTGCTCGTGTTATGGAGGGGATTGACATAGCGATGTGAGAGAGCGAAGATGAGTGATTTTCTCCACTTGGGAGAGACGAGACATGTGTTTCGAGGTGTGGCCAGTATGCTCCGGATGACCTTGGTGGACCATGTGGGCAAAAAAGCTCAGGGAACACTGCCACATCTTCAATGTGCAGGTGCTGCAGCCGCGTAGAAATCTTGTGAAGTGCTATGCACAATGAGTCTGGTTCAGTGCTCCCATCCAATGGTCTCGTCTCGGACACCTCAGATTGAAATGTTGGACTCCAGCAGAAATTGAGGCTTCGAATGCTCGATGGTAGTTGGAACAAGCCGTTTACAATCCTCATTCGATACTCTTGAAGCATCTCGGGTTCCGTTGATGGGATGAAAGAGGTAGCGTCGAGTCGGACCTCTTGCACAGCACCACATGCCGAAAGAATCTTGAACACTGCGGGAAGAGAGATTTGATTCTCCGCGCAAGGTCGGTCGAGGATACCGTATTCGCCAGGGATCATGGCAGGGGTCAGGTGGGTGGGGCAGTTCAGCGATGTTATGCATCTAGCACGAGGCAGAGAACAGTCGGGCAGGAGATCTGCACGATAAGGTGCAATTTGGTCACTATCGCCGCTCGCTGTTGAAGACTCGGGTTCACCACTGTCCTCGTCCGATGAGGCGTTCTCTGCCTGCAAGGCAATGTCAAGAGAAACGCCTCGAGTAGTCCATGTGGATAAATACTCAAACAGCGAGCGCACACCTCTGGAAAACGTCTCATCGTTCTCGCGTCGACAGATGTTGTCATAAGTGAAGTCATCGTCTTTCTCGCGTCCCGGATCCAGCCAGTATGGAACCGCGACTCTGTAAAGAATCCTCCTTACCCATTTCCTTCTTACTACCCGCCAGTGCTCTGGGCCGCTGGTAATCTCGTCAAGTCTGGCCAAACTCAAACCACGTTTTTGGACACGCTGATCAGGACTGACAGTGATGCTCGTGACCTCAGAAGGACTGAGCAGAACCACAGAGGAATAAATTTGCTTCTCAAACGCGGGTTGCCAGGATTTGCTGACCAGTGTGTATGGTGTCAGTTTCTGATTTTGTGCGCCGTGTGATGGGCGATGAGGGATAATATCTCTTGAGGCAGGGGAGGGGACATGGGAATGGCTTTGTAAAAGTGTCTCTTGACAAGTACAGTTTTTAGCGGCTGGAAAGTGTAGAACGATGGTAGCGGTGTAGAAGCGACCTCTGGCCCACGGGAGATCTTCGGCATCAAGACTGCTGTTTAACAACTTATATAAATTGTATCTAAACACCTTTGACCACATGTTCTTGTCTAAACAAAAACCTTGACCTTGAAAAACAATGCTGCAATCTCAATATCCTTACCTCAGATTGCTGTTATATCATTGGACCCTCTGCGTTTTTCTACAACAACAACCTTGTCAATGTTTGCATAACAAAGCTGCCCAAACATCAAACCACAACCATAGATTAAGAGGCAATATGGATCATAAACTGTACAAGTTTAACTGAACCACCACTTTTGCTACACACAACCCACGGAATGATTCCACAAGCTTCCAGATCCATCCTCTGATGGCGCGCAGCTTCGAAGTTTTCTCTACACTCTACACTTTATGCAACCCAGCTTCAATGGCTTTGATCTGCAAACCCAAAAATTTGCTATAGATGCGGCAAAGCGCGAGGTTCCCTCCCATATACCAGAATTTACCCGAGGGATGGCCAGAAGGTCGCCACATCTGATTTCTTGTCAGCATTTCAAGACTTAAGACCAAAAACGGGGGTAAAAATAAAAAGAACTCACCCCATTCAATTCGCCTTCGTCGTCGAGATCCCAGACATCAGAGACATGATCTGCAATTTCGTCACCGAGGATTTTGCGGCACGAGGTGCGCATGTTGTCGTAGCCGGTTGCGAGGACTACGATGTCGGCTGCGATGGCGTTGCCGTCTGCGAGATGGATGTGTGAAGATGAGAAGTGGCTAATTCCCTCTTCGCAGCGGACGACTTTGATAGCGCCCGAGGTGATGAGCGAACTGTAGCCTACATCGATGTAGTAGCCGCCGCCTTTGGTCATATACTTTCGGAAGAGGCCTAAACCGTCTAGGTTGCAAAAGAAAAAATAGTCAGCAATGTGTTTCTTCTTTGTTTTGTCGTTTCTGTGGCCGTCAAATAGCAGACAACGAGCGGTTCTATATACATACCATGTCCAAAATCGATTTTGAATCCTGCTTTTTCCAGTCCTTCGAGATTCTCCTTCTCGGCTTCTTTGATCGCTGTAGTGAGATTTCTGCCGAGGGCGAACTGAACTGGCAAAGGTAGGGTTTAGGAATAGATGTCTGCGGCGTTGGTGGGGGGACCGGTTTCATCATAGGTTCCTACGTGCAGCATGTGGCCTCCTTTTTCGGCTTGAAGGACGTAGGCGGCGCTACGTTGCAGCATGGTTACGGATTTAGCACCGGCTTCATGATAGTTTTGGGCAATATCGTGGCCGCTGTTGCCGGTACCTACGACGAGGACTCTTTTGCCTTGCGCTAAAGAAGGGGTGGCATCTTTATGGGCGCTGCCATGGTAGATGGTTCCGTTAAAGGTTTCTTGCCCTATAAAGGAAGGGACACGTGGTTCGCCGCTGTGGCCTGTGGCGAGAATCAATTGGGACGGGTGCAGAGTTCTAGTGCTCCCATCCGCCTTTTTGAGATTCACGGTCCAACGTTTGGAAGATGGCGAATATGATACTGCGGTGACGGAGGTGGAAAGCCAGACATATGCCTCGAACCAATCTCCGAGTTTGTCTTTAGGCGTGTAGAGAGGCCAGTCAGATGGAAAAGGCAGATAGGACATGTGTGCGTAGGTCACAGGATCATAGGTGACCAAGGTGCGATAACGAGAGCGCCAATTGTCTCCCACGCGAGTCTGTCTGTCCACTATTAGCGTCGAAAGACCCAGTGCTTGCAATCTTGCAGCGAGATTAAGGCCAGCTTGGCCAGCTCCGATAATCAGCGCGTTAAGTTCTTCATCTGTAAAGTCGTAGGTTTTCTGTCTGCGTTTAAACCAACTTCCACCTAGAGAAGAGTTCTGGCCTCCGTGAGAGCGGCGTGCGCCGGTGATTTCTTCGTGGCCTTTGATTTCGTCGAGGGCGGTATATAACATATGGGCTTTCCAGTCACCATCCTCGGCTTGGGCCAAATGGAGGAAACCGCGACCTCTGCCTGTGCTGGTCTCGAATGTGAAGATTGACTGGATCCAATTGAGATCTGGGAGAGGGTTGACGACGGAAGGGGGATATGCTTCATGGTCTGAAGCCAAACACAATGGATGTAGGTTCACGAACGAGATAATGGGTGATAAGAAGGATGTTATGGCAGGGAGACCATATAGGGTACGTAGGTCCCAGGACAAGGCTACGTGGTCGCGCCACCAGCTGTCTTGATGCAAGACGGTGGAAAGACGGGATGCATCACCGGATGCAAGGACAGCCGAGAAGCGGTCTAGCCATGATCGAGCAATCTCACGGGGAGACGTCTCAATAGGAGCAATTTGTTTGGGTTGAGACTTTAGAAAGTGTGACAGGGACACATCATAAGGTTGGAGAGGTGAAGCAAGCATGTTAGAGGTGAGATTAAATAGGAAGGATGGATACAAGGACAATGGGACAGTCAAGCAGAACCTACGGTGGTGTGGATATATATACACGAGAGCAGCGGGAAGTAGAGCGGCGGGGCAGCATGTCAGTGGTACGTGTTGGTTGCAGACAGGCAAGACTGGCGAAGACGAGGGCAGGGAGGGAGGTGGTTCTAGTACTCGGATGACCATTTTGGGCCGCCAAGGCTCGGTCGAGTTGCCCGCACTCGGCACACCTTCCGCGACTGGTGTTGTCCTCGCACAACATCAACACGAGAAGACGACCAGACCTGAATCAAGAATCAACAACTGCTGGCAGTTCTAGAGCAAAGGCCACCATGTCGTCGTACCTGTCCAACATCCTCACCAACACGACATCCAAGTATAACACACTCCGGCGCAACCTCCTATCCGACGAAGTCGACGGCGACACCGAAGACGACTCGCACCTGTGTCGAGCACTCCGCGCATACTACACGGAGCAGAACAAAGCCTTTCCGCCATGGCTGCCCAATGACCCGAAGCGCTCCGCCTCGGCGTAGACGACGACATCATCCTTCCCATCCAGCCTGCGACAACAGTCGTCGTAGCAGACACCGACCATCAACGCTCCCTAGGGAGGCGGCGGCAGAGGCGGTCTAAGCGACCTTTGGGACACACCTAGCCAGCGACAAGCATCGCCATAGCCGCAGTCACTGCGAGTACGAGCCCAAGATCGCAGCGGGTCCTTCTAGGGACGGGCTTAGGGAGGAGACAGTCTAGCGGCACCTCGACCACTGCCTAGTCAGAGAGCAGGGAGCTATTAGAGCAGTGTGGCTTAGCAACAGTATGGAAACGATCCTTCACCACTAGCCAGCAGCGGAGGAACGGCGTAGGAGAGACTCAAGGCCAGATTATAGGGGGCTGCAAGAGTCAACAGTGTAGCAAGTGCCGCGTCGGCAGCGGGAGCAGCATCGGGAGGAGCATCGCCAGCGGGATCTGGCCGCTTTGCCGGAGGTTGATGTGGCTCAAGTAGTAAGGAATTATGGAGTTACAAGTCCTGGGATTTTCAAGGACTTTGGGGTTTACACGTATAAGAGCAATCGAAGCCTCATCCGGCATATGATACAGATTACAGATTCAAATGACTGCCCGGAGGAGCAATACTTGAGCGACTCGAATGTTGATAGTGATAGTGGGTCAAGTGCGGCAAAGAGGGGCGTCCCAAAGTTACCCCACACACGTCATGGCTTCGGTCCGTCACATAGTGTCGTCTCGGAGTTGTGGATGAACCAGGTGTCGAGGGAGTTGGCATCCGTGACGTGCAATTTTTGTGATTGAACAGTTGTCTGGTGTCAATTTTGCTGGCTCTTGTGGTGAAGTGGCACGAGTTCCAAGTGACATGTTGGTGAGAGTGTGAGCTGGGTCCACAGGAGTGGTCGATGACAGTCCTTGAGATGTGCTGGGATGGAATAGACAGCCTTGAGTCTGAGTTGGCGCTCTGACTTCGACTTTGGTCTCCTCGGCTGCTTCAACTTTTCTCGCAAGTTCTGCAATGGTGTATTTGTTCTCCAGGAGAGCGGCATCCTTTTGCTTGCCTTCAAGGTGAAGTTGGAAGATCTTGTTGTCTTGGAGCATGATCTCTTGGTTCAAAGTCAAGACAAGTGTCTCTCGTTTCTTGATCTGAGCATCCTTGTTGTCGAGTGCCTTTTGATGATCTTGCTTCTCGGCCATCAGAACTTGGATCTGAAGCAAGGCATCCTCGAGAGATGGTTGTCCAAGCACTCGATTTCCTTCACTGATGTTTGGTAGAATTTTCGAAGTAGAGGTAGTCGAGTCTGGAAGCGCCAAGTCTCGTGATGGCATGACGGTCGAGTCTTCTGATGCAAGGACATCTGGGTCTTGTACAGGCAGATGTGAAGAGCCTTGTTCCGGCGCTGAGGAACCCATGTTGGATGACCGGTTAACGTGCGCGGCTTTGCTGGAAGGAAGAGGAATGGATACCGCTTGATGCGCGCGCTGGTGTCTGGTAGGAGGATCGCAAGAGCGGAAAAGGCGTGGCTTTTTATAAAACGCGAGGAACGAAGCGCGGAAAAAGAATAAGCGACATCGCCTTCACTTCGAACTCGTGCATCTTCCTTGCCAAGTTCTCCAATCAAGGGAACATCGTCGGCTCTTAGTATACCATCATGGAGAGAATTGTGCACCTCGATGGCTCCAATCTCGCCTATATACGTTGCAGAGGATGCGGTTGACAATTATTTTCACTTCATACCACGAATAGACGCTATAAAAATGCGCAATGATTTTGGAATCCGAGTTGTGTCCAGAGAGAGCTGTGCAAAGTTATATAATATGTTTTTGTGCATATATAATTCTTGTTATAGCGGTTCCGCCTACCAAATTCGCTTGAAGGTAGTTCTAACCCACAAGCTCCTCATGTAACGACGGATGACGGGGTTAAGCCTCTCGTGGGGCAGATTGGTCATGAAGGGAGCGATACGGTCATCGGGGAAGCTGATCAGACGTGTGCGTCCATCAATCTCAAGAGAATCCTCCTCGAACAAATGCAATCTATTACCGTCGGCAATAAGATGATAGCCTGGTAGCACGTTGCAGTAAAAGATTCGCGACGTGCCTGGCTCTCTCATGATCTGAACGATTGCCTCCTCGTAGAGTACCTGTAGGAGACGGGGCATAGTTGAAGGCGTACCCAGAAGACTCTGGAACCAACGAGAGTAAGCTGTGAGTAGTGGGTCTCTCAGTGGGTAAATTGTGGTCCACAATGCAATCATTCTGTAAACCTGAGTAGCTCCGTGGTCTCGGTTCGATACGCCACGAACGATAAACTCAATCATGCGGGCGGTAGCGAAGGCGTGAACTGCGTCAACATGGAGAGGTCCATCGCTCCAATAGACTTCTAACAACTCCACGAGTCGGACCAAGTCTCCACCAACGCATTGCTCAAAGGTGTTGAGGAGGGCTTGAATAATCGGCAAAGGCACTGGGGTCTCAGAAAAAAGCAGCAGTCTCAAACGAGAGATGATCTGGCTGCATGAATCCGGTGACGCCGATGTGCCGGTGATGAGTTCCCACGAAAGATCAGTCTGCGGAAGAGGTGTATGATCATGAGCATCCCAGTTGTAAGTGGCAAGTAGGCGCCGGCTGAGTCTGGGACTCAATTGCGTGAGCGATGCACCGTGTGTGATAAAGTGTTTGATGGCCAAGAGTAACTCCGGGATGAGGGATGTGACGATCTGTACAGCAGACAGACCTTCGACAGACTGACTTAAACTTGTAAAGGCTGTGTTGATCTCGTCACGCTCTTTCTTGAGCCTGGTGATGGTTTCGAGAACCTGTTCGTCGGGTGACAGTGTGAGCTCTTTGCGAATATCCGACATCTTCGTGTGGTCAGCCTTGAGCAATTTGATGGTACGGTCTGCTGCAGATAAGTCTGACACATTGAGTGCCTTGCAAACAGCCTGAAGCTCAAGGCGCAAATCCTTGAGATATTTGATCTTGGCGATAGCAGATTCACCCGGAATTCCATCAAGAGCGGTGTTGATCTTGGTCAAGGCTTTGTCTGACACCTTCGACTTCCTGACCTCGTCCACATATGCCTGAGTGCCCTCCTTGTCACCAATAGCGTTCTGCAAAAGTTTGATGGTTTCCAAGACAGTCTTGACCTTTGAAACGCGCGCAGAGTCGCCTTCTTCAGTGTCATCTGAGAGAGCAATGTGAGAGAGGAGATCGGAGAGAATGCTCTGCTCAGAAATGATCGAATAAACTGCGTCCTCGACGTCACCATCATGTGCGAGGCTGAGAGCCTCCCTCGCCGGCTCCAAAGCAGAGTTGACAAAGGCATCCACTTCTTTCCGAGTATAGAGATTCTTCTTGATGTGCTCGCAGATATCGACATCTTCGTCGATCTCGAGTGTGTTCCTGATGTCATCGACGAGAATACGGAGATCGTTCGCATCCCTTACGATATTGTAGTCCCACGGCGTGTTGCTGTAACGAGCTCCAATTGCCTCCATGATCTGAGCCTTGAACTTGTTGTGTTGTGCATCCAACTTTTGGTTGACATCACGAGATTTGTCGAGTGCGGTCTGCAGATCAGCCGAGGTTTCCAAAGCTTTGTCGAGCTTCGCTCGAAGGTCCTTGATAACAGCACTCTCATGTTGATGGATACTGTCGAGGTCGGCCTGTACAAGTTTTCTCGCCTCTTCAGCCTCCTCGAGTCTGTCCTTGAGCGAGTCCATGTCTCTGCGGAGTCGGGCTGTGTGTTGTGAATGAGGCTCGGCCTCAGTCTCTAGCCTCGTGGTGTCCATTTGTTGAGTTGTGCTTTTCTGGTTCAGATTCTTGGTTTCAGCAGCATGGGAGTCGGCAAGCGTCTTCAAAGGCTTGTAACGGTCTTGGCTGTTTTCAAGCTTGGTGGAAACCTCTCGTTCGAGCGCGGTGAGCGAAGTCAGCTTTTCCCGCAAGTCTGAAAGTTGGCGAAGTTAGTTGCTGTCGGGGTAGAATTGTAGGCAAAGTCTTGTAACGGCCTTCACTGCTTTGGAGCTTGGTGGGAGCCTCTCGTTCGAGCGCGGTGAGTGAGGTGACCTTTGCCCGCAAGTGAAGGTTGGCGAGGGTTAGATGCTGTCGGAGCGGGAATTGTAGACGAGCTTTTGATGCGCGAGCGTCTTCAAAGTGTTGTAATGGCCTTCACTGCTTTGGAGCTTGGTGAGAGCCTCTCGTTCGAGGGTGGTAAGTGAAGCGACCTTTGCCCGCAAGTGAGAGTTGGCGAGGTTAATTGCTGTCGGAGCAGAATTGTAGACGAGCTTCCAATGCGCAAGCCTCTGTCTTTCAGTTCACATCGCTGTCGAATTTTTGCTGTAGAGACTGTGTATAGAGCCGTACAATGATTTCCGTAAAGTCAGTAGGCTTACAGTCTTGAGGAAGCTTGAGCATGATTCGGATGGACTCAAACTCGGCCTTAAGCGAAGCATTGTCTTTGACCCTGGATTGCATCTTGTCACGCTCCTTGTTTGCCGTTTTGACGAGCTTTCGCAGAGCATCATTCTGCACTTCCACATCCTTTTGTACTCTCGTCGAAGTCTTGACTTTTGACTGGAGGTTGCGGATCTCAGTTGCTTGGTCCGCGATGCGTCGCTCTTGTTCTTCGACCTTTGCCGCAGAGACACGCGCCTTGTCTTTGGTTTTGTCTTCGCTTTCAGTAAGTTTGTCGATAGTCTTTTGCAGCGATTCGTTTGAATCGCTCAAAACAGCGTACCATTGTTTGTACAATGACAACTTTGAGCTCTCATCCTTGAGTTTGGTTTGGCAGGAGACAAGTGCGTCGAGAGCTTGGTTGAGATAGCCGACGAGACTTCCAGTGTTCTCCGGGGGTTGGAATCGAGCTGACCTGAAAGCCTCGAGAAACTCGCCTTCTAACGAGTCTTGATGATCAGAGCGCTGGGTATACTCGATATGCGAGTTGTAATTCTCCTTGATGTCTTTCACCCTTTGACGCTCCTCTTCGAGCTTAGCCTCAAGCTCCGCTAGCTTCTCCTGCTTCTCCTCAATAGCCTTGTCATGGTCAGATATGAGCTCATCATTGGCAGTCTCTGCCTCCCGTATCAACCGATCCTTCTTCTTGACCTCAGCCTCCAATGCCTTGACCCTCTCATAGTGCTCAGACCTCTTGATATCCTCAGTCTGCTTGGATAACTTGAGCGAGTCCTTGGACTTATCCAAGGCTTTGCGAATGCGGTCAACCTCCAACTTCCATTTCTCGGCAACATCACGTATATCTTCGAGACTCCACTCAGTGTGGTTTTGCCACAGTTTGCTGACTCCTCTGAATATAGTCTCAGCCTCTTCATTCTCTGGGATGAGGACCATGTGCTGAGGTTCTTCCAGGGTGACATTCAGAGCGTCGGCGAGAGTGTTGAGATCCTCTTCAGAGATAAATTTGGACTTGGCGCCACCTGCAGAGCCTTGTCAGGTGGTGCAGCGTTGACGATAGCCTGAGTAACCTTTGGAAGCGGTGTAACGTTGATTAGCTGAGAAGCCTGGGGTGACTGTGTGGCAGGAGGAGTTGAAATCAAAGAGATAGAAGACTCTGGGGGTCCCATCTTGAAGAGCTTTCCACGATGCGTAAGTGGTCAAGATTGTGAGAGCGTAGAAAGATCAATATGATTTTCAACTCATGTGCGCATACGAAGCTTAGACGACGGGTTCCTGCGTTTGTTGTGACATTATGCTATACCAACCATGATCATTTTTATATGCACAATCATGTCGTTGTATGTTGTACAACTCGTTTGACACACGCGAGCTTCGACATGGTCGGGAGCTCGAGGCAAAAACACACTTGGCAAGACGTTCTCGAATTTCCAAGCTCCTCGAGATGTTCATGTTCATGATTGAACACAAAGCAGGAAATCAGATGTCGTAAAAGAACGCGTGACATCCCCATATGCAGTTTATGACGCGTGTAGCCATAGAACTGCACAAATGTTTTCAGTAGTGGACAAGTGTCTACAGAGAGGCGATAGCGTGATGACTCTCACTGGATGCCTCCCGTCTGCGAGAAGAACTGTGAATTCCGAGGGTGAGAAGTTCGCTCTTAACACTCGTGAGAAGAGCGTACGGTTCTCGCACACCGGAGAGAGGAAAGAAGGAGAATGCAACACATGTTACTCCGAGTGGGGTCCCGAGTGCTGCTATAACAACGATTGGCTGGTGTTGATATGATCCATTGCGATTGCGACCGTGGGAAGGCGGGAAAGTCGACAGGGTCACTCCTCGGGGACGCCAAGATCTTGCGTGATCGAGCCAATTTCTTTGTCAATTTGGCCCGCTTAGGCAGATCGTTTTGCGCTCTTACTCCTCCTCCTTGCTGTCTTCATTCTTCATACCTGTTGCTGTCTAATTTCACGCGTGTATATGCAGCGGGTGTTTTGTTTCTTGTACGCCACCAAGAATTAGGGCTTGATAGATTTCCCGCCACTCGTGGGAAACATCCCCCGATCAATCCAGGAATATCATCGAGCGAAACAAGATGGTGGCCAACAAGATCAAAAGGGTTGCCGTGATTGGCGCTGGGCCATCAGGAGCAATCACCGTAGACGCTCTGGTTCAAGAGCAGGCATTTGATCAAATTCGTGTTTTTGACAGGCAACAAGGTCCAGGAGGTTGTTGGTGAGTCTTTTCTGCTGTTATTCATTGACTTCAGCTGATGATATGAAAAGGTACGGAGATAAACTCCCACCAGTACCTTTGACCAATTTCTCAGCGCTTGCCACAAGGACGGCAGACCAACCAGTAGAGGTACCAACACAAATCCCAGGCCACACGAACAGGAACGAGCAACCCCGATGGACAGACTCATCAATCTACCCCTATCTTGAGACCAACGTCGATGTGGTCACAATGGAGTACACCCAAGAACCCATCGTTGGAGCACTTTCTGCGCGAACCATTGAATTACATGGTCAAAAGTCTCCTTTCCGACACTGGACTGTCATGAGAGACTATGTGACGAGTCTGTTCAAACGCAATGGCTACGAGGATTTCGTGTCTTATAACACTCATGTTGAGAGGGTGGAAAAGGTTGGTGACGAGTGGAAAATCACGCTTCGGCGAGAGGAAGATGATCAAGACTACTGGTGGGTCGAGTGGTTCGACGCTGTGATTGTAGCAAGCGGACATTTCAACGTCCCATATGTCCCGGCGGTAAAGGGTCTGGAGGAGTTTGAGGAACAACATCCTGGCAGTGTGTTGCACAGTAAAATGTACCGTGGCCGAGAAGCCTATCAAGGCAAACGTGTTGTTGTGGTTGGTGGCTCGGTCTCTGCAGCCGACATCTCGACTGATCTTGTCGGTGTGGTGGATTCCAAGGTCTACGCAGTCGTCAACGGACACACCATCAATGTATACTTTGGAGATGGTGCTTTCAACAACCCTGGAGTCGCCAGAAAGCCAACCATCTCGTACATCGATACCTCGGCAGGCCAGCGTACTGTACACTTCATCGACGGCACCTCCGTTCAGAATGTTGATCACATCATTTTCGGCACTGGATATTCCTGGAGTCTACCTTTCCTACCGGATGTAAAGATCAGAAACAACAGAGTACCTGGACTGTATCAGAATGTCGTATACCAGCAGGATCCAACATTGCTCTTCGTTGGAGCAGTAAGTGTCTAATCCTACAAACTTGTCAATTTCAACACTAACAGAACGCGCAGGTTGGAGCTGGACTGACATTCAAAATCTTCGAGTGGCAAGCTGTGCTCGCTGCAAGAGTGCTAGCAGGACGTGCTGAACTGCCACCCATCGAGGAACAACAGAAATGGGAGGCAGAACGCGTCAAGAAGAAGGGAGACGGTCCTGCATTCAATGTCATCCACCCTGATTTCGAAGAGTATTTCGAGACCGTCAGAGCTCTTGCTGGTCCAGGCACAGATGGCAAAGGCCGACCCCTACCACCTTACAAGCCCGAATGGTTCGATGCGTTCATGAATGGTCACGAACTGCGAAAGCAGATGTGGGCTAGAAAGAATGCTGCTGCGATGGAGAGTACCAAAGCAAGAATCTGAGCAGGGTCAACTCATGGTTTGTCTAGGTGTAGAAATGTAAATACCAATGCGGCATATTTGAGGAGCCACTACCTGTTCATAGTGCCAAGCGTTTTGTGAGGCTACTGTCCATACGCCGAATGATGCTAGACCCTGAATTCCACATCAACCACCCCCCAACTCTTACACCAAGTCTCTCCTCTCGCTTCACACCTCAGTAATGACCCTTTTCAGCAGACCAATAAGCACCCTCATGAACACTAGGTTTATTCTCCTCCACCCACTTCATATGCGCCTCACTCATATGCTCAGGCGGAATCAATCCATCAAATTTCCACAACCTCCTCTCAGTCTCCTCAACATGATACTCACAAGCATACCCTTTCTCATACACATGCTCCTTCAACGCATTATCAATCATACCAGCCGTGGTGCGATAGGTTTCAGTCTTGTTATCTAGACGAATGGCAATGTGTTTGATAACAATGCGGATGAAAGGTTTATCTGCAGAGGCAGACTTGGAGACGCCGCCGACAAAGACGTTGGAGGGTTGGATTGTGTTGAAGTGGATCACGACGTAGAAGGCGGGCAGGTTGACGCGAGTGTAGATTTTTGTTATGTCGGCGGCGAGGGCGGCTTTGCTGGCTTCGTCTTCGAAGACGCCGGGTGGGTGGTAGATTTGCCAGAGGGGCATCGTATTGATGTTTATTCGATTGAGTTGGGCTTTGTGTTGTTTATTGATTCAGTTTCGTGTTCGATGGCAATGAAACAAGACTGGATATGGAATAAGGATGCTATATCAATTAGAAAGCGGCTCGACAGTGGCGTGTTTATATAACTCGTGAGGATGGAAGATTAGTGAACTCAATATCGTTCCAGCTCTGGCGATTACTGATATTCCCACTTGCCGCGGCCGCTCAGGTGGATACCGCTACAACGATTAGTGCTATCGTAGTGTGTCATCGCTTACGAGTTTCCCATCGTCGGCGTGAAGTGTGTCGCTCGACTAGATGAACAGGGGTCACGCAAGAATGATACGATTTTTCCGAGAGAATATCTGGTGTTACTCAGGCAGCATTCATGTTCCGTCAGGCCACGAATGCTCATGAGGGGTTCACGCTGTATTTAGCGGGGCACATGCTGATCTGTTGAGTCAACATTCTTGCCAAGATCCGAGCGGAGTTTCTTCCGTATCGGACATTACTTAAGCCATGAACGGAGGCGGGGCATCCCTGCTTCCTTGTCCCGTGTCCAGCTCTCGACATGCCGGCTTACATATCGCCATCTTGCTGACCACCATTAGCCCAATACTACCTAGAGAGAAGGGTTCAATCACAGCCAACGCAACAACAATGTTGTCTTACAAAACTTAAATGTAATACTGGACGCTGGAGGGCAGATATAAATGCACAAGGTAACACCCCCTCAATGTTGTCTGACAAAAGTCATCTTCTTTGTTCTTCAATCCTCAAAGAAATGTCCAAATCCCTTGTTTTCATCACTGGTGGTACTGGCTTCATCGGTGCTGAAGTCATCCCTCAAGCACTTGAAGCAGGCTATCGCGTCCGTCTCAGTATCAGAAAGCCAGAGCAGCAAACCATTATTGAGCAACGCTACCCAGAGTATGTCTCTGACATTGAAACTGTTGTCATCCCCGATATCAGCGAGCGTGAGCCTTTCGAAACTGCTCTAAAGGACGTCGACTATGTCATTCATCTCGCATCGCCTATCCCTGGCCAAGCCCGCCTTGAATGGTACTGAAGCAATTCTCTATGCTGCACTCAAGTTCCCCAACATCAAGACAATCGTCGTCACATCATCTTGTGTTGCTTGAATGCCGATAGATGTGCCATTGGCGACTAACAAGATCATCAAGGGTACGGTAATTCCACATCTACTGTCTGAACCGACTGACAGTTCTTAGAAAACTCCGGAGAAGTGTTCCCGGTAGACGTCGACGTGAAAATCTCGGATCCATACAGCCAGGATGGCCAACGCTTGATGTATCGTATCTCAAAATTCTTGGCCCATCAGGCCACTCGCGACTTCCTCGAACGAGAAAAGCCTGCTTTTAAACTTCTCACGACACATCCAGTGTTTGTGATAGGTCGCAGCAGGATTCAGAACTCGGCCGAACAGGTTGACCTGGTCAACAACATGTTGTGGTCAACCATTCAGTACGGAAATCCAGAGACTCCCTCACTCTGGGTGGACGTCAAGGATTGTGCTGCTGCTCATGTCAAAGCAATCGAATGCTCTGCCCCTTCCGGAACCGAGTTCATTCACAACGGCCCTGATGTCTCGTGGAACGAGATTGCAGAATTCGGAAAGCAAGAGTATCCCCAGCTGGCTAAACTCGAACCGAACTGGAATGGACACAACACAGGAGCAGAGACTGTCAATGTTAAGAAGTATCTCGGCATGGAATGGCGTCCCTGGAAGCCAACGATGAGAGAGGTAATGGAGCAGCAACTTAGTTTCCAGAGCCAAGTTCCGAAGTAAGATTGCGATGATGTGGAGTATTGTTGGTCTTTTTAGCATGCGTGTTCGTCAATGAATTGATAATTGCAACTTCTTGAATCTGTCCAAAGTGTCGTGATCGTGTCAGTAGCATGATATGAATGCAACAAGTGATCCAGGTTGCACTAGCAATCAGTGTGATTGAATCAACACCCTTTGCATGCTCTGGAAGGTCGCAGCAATGACTTGTGATGCCAGAATAGCAGGACCTTGGCCGAGGCAGACAGAGACTTGCATAAGTACTGTCCAGTAATCAGCAAGTGATCGTTCAGATTTATGGTCATGGTTGGTAAGCTTACTGTGAATGAGCCTGTTCTCTTCCAGAACCCATCTCTTGCCTTGGAAATCAAAGTGGCAGGGCAAGGTCACAATATTACCCTTCGAGTCAACAGACTGCTTCAACTGACCATTCCAGACAAAGTAATTCTCAATATCTCGAGGTGTCATGTATGGATCGTCCTCAAAGTTCAATTGTTCGGGACTTGTGAGCCTTTCGGCCTCTAGGTCTTGCACAACCCTCGAGTGTGCTCCAAAGTGGAAGTTTGGATAGGTGTGATACTCCAGTCCCCCGAATTCGTCTTTGCTCAAAGCCATAGCAAGTGATCGGCGGACCTTCTCTGGCGAAAAGTGGCCAAAGTAAGCACCAAACGCTCTTTCTACTGCACTCTGGTGCTTTTTGGTATCTGTGAGGATGCGTAGCGCCGTTTCTGCACAACGTCGCCACAGCCTTTTTGCAAAGGTCGGTCCGCGGATCGGTGTGTATGCTGGTGGAGCGGGCTGATGAATAAGCTGTGCGGAAGGGCTCGACGATCCGCTTGAGAAAGTAGACAACGGCACATACGGCATATGTTCGTCAGGAACAGCTGTGTATCCAAGCGGCCAGATCTGACCAAACGTATAGCCGGACGATTTAGGTGTAGGATCTGGAGTGAGAGATTGTCTGATTGTGCTGTTGAATTGTGGGAGGTCGAGATCGTCTGGTATATCCAATGACAGCAGATCGTTGGATGCTCCTGGGAAGAAACCCTCCAGAGTCGAAGGTGACAAAGGGGTCAGTGTCTCTCCCATGATGCTATCATCTTGTATGATACCATGCTTATAGATTTGGCCACTAAGGGCAGGTATGGTTCCGAAATCCTGCTGGTAGCTTGTCGTGTCTGGAGTGATGATCTCATCGGTGGCTGGAGAGTTGTTGAAAGAGTTGAGACGAGCGATTGTTTCTTTGGCCTCAGCGAGCTGTTTCCGAAGCTCTTCTATCTCGTTATTCGCGTCCTTGAGCGCATCCATCTTGCGCTGTCTCAAGCGACGCTGGGCCTCTCTCAGCTGTGCTTTGCGTTTGAGCTCGCGTGACTTCTGGCCATCTGTCGCAGCACCTGCTTCGTCCATCTCGGCGGCACAATTTTCTGAATGTGTCTACACTGTAATTTTGCACTTCTTATCGAAGATTGCAGGAGCAAGGAACAAGTCGTGCTTGCTTCGTCAGCAAGGGAGGTCGAGGTGAGCGGGCTCTTGTTACGCCGCAGCGCCGACGCTTATATACTTTTAGGGCACAAAACGTTAAATTGAACGACTCTGCTCTAGACAGTGCATACCGTTTCGAGAAACTCTATCGACCTTGTCTTGAACCGTTCCAGCTCGTCTTCGTGGTCTTTATACAATTAGCCTTCCAGGTGTAGTGTAACACAATACAAAAAGTCATCAATTGCTCAATATCATAAACTGTCATAAATACTCGATTGAGGTGCCTGCCTCACTTCTTTCCAACATGTCAAATACACTCCTGGTGTCGCGTTATTTCCCTTCAATATCTCACACAACAACACCAGAAGTCGCACGTTCCTTTATAGCTTTCTGATCAGCCTTGTATTGCTTCCTCCACTCCTCAGCATACTTGACACCATATCCGTGCTGAAAGACCTCTCTAACCTCCTCCAGTGTCATGTTCGAGGCTTCAGGGAAGCAAAAGTAAACAAATACTAGTCCAGCGGTACACAATACAGCGTAAAAGCCAAAGGTGCCACTAGGTGTCATGCCCTTCATCATCGAGAGGAAGGTAGACGAAACAACAATGTTAGGACCCCAGTTGAAGATGTTGATGAAAGTGGTTCCCATCGCACGAACTTCCATGTTGAGAAACTCGTTGGCTTGCCAGGGTACACAGCCCAGACCAGCAGCATAAAAGGCCACAAACAGGATCATGGAAACGAGGACCACATATGCTGGCCACCCAATGTTGTCGTCGGTGAGCTGAAGAGTCTTGAGGTCGAGAGGGATGTAGTGGAAGCAGACGGCGGCTAGAGCAAGGCAGAGAGGCATTCCCCACATGGTCCACAGCAGGATGCGACGGCGGCCAACGCGGTCGATGATGAAGATAGAGAGGACGGTGAAGACCCAGTTGACGACTGCCACAACAGTGCCTACTGCAATAGGGTTGCTGAAGCCAACAATGTCGAACAGGGTGGACGAATAGTACATGAGCGTGTTGAACCTATTCGAAAATGTCAGTGAACATGCCAAAGGAGGACATGATGATAAGGACATACCCGCAGAATTGCTGGAAGAACATCAGGCCACAAGCAGCAGTTAAAGCACGGAAGTTGGCTGGGATAGTGAACAAATACTTGACGGCCTTGCGAGATGACACCTCCTCATTCAGAGCCTTTGATGCGTTGACACCGGCCTCGATTGATAGAACCTTGTCTGCAATCTGCTCTTCCGTGCCTTGAGGGTAAATCTTTCGCAATACAGCGATGCATTCTTCGCGCTTTCCGTGTGCCATCAGTTGGCGAGGTGATTCGGGACAGAAGAATAGGAAGCATCCTAGCATGATAGATGGCAAGGCACCCAAGCCGATCATATATCTCCAGCCGTGTTCTACTTTGTAGAAAGCAGCAGCGAATGCGTAAGCCAAGACCGAACCGGTTCCGAGGAAGATCATGTCGATTGAGATCATGCGGCCACGATCTAGCGAGTATCAGTTTGTGCATCTCTGGTGTACTTTCTTGGTTTCAACTCACACTTTGCAGGAGAGATTTCCGCAATGTACAGAGGAATGATCATTGCAGCGGACCCGACACCAAGTCCGATGAGAAATCGGCCAACACACATCTGGGCGATCGTGTATGAGGTAGCTTGTACGATGGCCCCAACGGTGAACAACACCGAGGCAAACCAGATACTGGGTTTGCGACCATACCGATCACTGGTCAAACCAGCAATTATCGAGCCGACAAACGCTCCGGCAGCGCAAAGTGCGGTGATGGCTTCTTTCTCGTGGTCCGAAACAGGTCTTCCGTTGAGGTCATTGCCGAGGACGACGAGGACGCCAGAGATGACACCAGTGTCGTCTGACTCGTTATTAGCCATGACCGAAGTGTTCAAGTGAGACAAGTATACTCACAGCCAAAGAGTGAACCACCGATAGCAGTGGCGGTAGCACATAGCCAGACGAAAGGTCCTGGCTTGGTGTCTTCGATAGAGTCGAGGTTGCGTTCCTTCTCAGCGCTTTCGGTGGCTGTGGCGGTCTTCATCTCGATGAACTCCATCTGCATGTCTCCACCCTTGGGTTTTTCGGACGACATGATGGAAGGTGGTTGGAGAGAAAAAAGGTATGGGGTCAAGAGGTATTGGTTGGATGAGTCAATCTCAGGTCAATGCGTGGTATGAGAGTCCATCTTCCTGGGGGATGGCTCAGCTTTTTATATATCCTCACATCTCAACGCATGATATGATCAGAGTTTGTCAAGATCCCCGCATCCCCAGACTACGTGTTGTCTCAAGGCTCGCAGAAGCCGATGGCAGGCGGCGGCGAGCACGAGCATTCTACCAGTATTGGCGTTAGGGTTAAGTACAACCGCCACACGAATGGCGACAGTAGGAGCTGTGGGATCATTTTGTGGGTAGTCCGGGGCCGTTCATCCCGGCCTGGGGTACTGTGTGGGGACTGGTCATCCAATCGAAGGCATGAAAATGCTGCAGACAGGTACGGTTGTGGTCAACCCGGTCGTGTATCGAGCTGTTTCGTGGAGGGCGCATCTCGACCGGGCCGAGGATACGCTAGGACTAATGTGATCATTAGGAAAGTTGACCTCCGCAGCCGTACCTTCGATAACTATACTCGACAAGAGTGGTAATGATTTACCCGGGACGTGTGATCTGCTGTATCCAGGACCTGAGTTATGTTCATGTGCGTCTTACGGAATATGGCTTCCATCGCAGCGTCCCGACTTGTAAGACAAGACAGTAAGGATCGGGGGTCGATTTCCCTATTTTGATAAGGCGGTGCCTCCTCAATTGGAAAGGAGCAAGTTGAACGACGCACACATCATTAAGGTACTCCAATACTGTAATGCTGCCTCCCACACGCCGACTCGGCCTTTGACCGCAAATCTGGTAGAAAGTTGGTTTGGCGGATCAAGTATTGACCAAGTCTCATCCATGCCGTCTTGAGACAGGTTAGAAAAGGGATGCACAAAAACGAGAAATCGTCGCTAGGAGAGGGCAATAACATAGTTCCACTCATGACTATGAACATCAACAAATATTACCATATAGCACGTCACGTTACCTCGAAAAGACCTCAATAGATATAATAAGTCTGAGCAAGAGGCAATACACTCGCCGGCTCAGCCTCACAAACCATACCATCAGCCTCAACAATCTGTGTACAAGTCAGCAAACTGTGCCTCAAAAGCTTCATCATTGGAAGGGAAATGGATCAAGACTCACATAGCTCTCAGCGTCAACTTTCATCTTGGGCTTCACATCATTAAACTTCATGTCGGACTTTCCGATGTTTCTACAATTCTTTACAGCTTCCACTCTTTTCTTCAAGCCGCATTTGTTGCCGACACCTTTGGCTTGGGCAGCTTTGCTGACAAATACGATACTATTGTGAGCAACCGAGGCGCCAAACATTGGTCGCATAATCATAGGCTCGACGGTAGGGATACTGGCATTGGCGTCGCCCATGAGACTGTAAGCAACCATACCTCCCTTGATGACTTGAAGAGGTTTTGTGCCAAAGTTGGAGGGGTTCCACAACACAATATCGGCTAATTTGCCTACTTCAATGCTTCCGATGATGTGGGACATTCCCTGTGCGATGGCTGGGTTGATGGTGTATTTGGAAATATAGCGCTTGACGCGGAAGTTATCGGCGCCAGTGCCTTCATCTTCAGGGAGGAAGCCTCGCTGCTGTTTGTTCTTGTGTGCAGTGTTCCAGGTGCGGAGAATTACTTCGCCGCAGCGGCCCATGGCTTGTGAGTCTGAAGACATCATGCTGATGGCACCAAGATCGTGGAGAACGTCCTCGGCGGCGATTGTCTCGGCGCGGATGCGCGATTCGGCAAAGGCGACGTCTTCGGGGATATTGCGCGATAGATGGTGGCAAACCATTAGCATGTCAAGGTGCTCGTCGAGGGTGTTGTTAGTGTAGGGGCGTGTGGGGTTGGTGCTGGAGGGCAAGACGTTCTCGTGCTCGACGACGGAAATGATATCGGGTGCGTGTCCACCACCAGCTCCCTCAGTATGATAACTGTGGATGGTGCGGCCTTTGAACGCTGCCACGGTGGTCTCGACAAAGCCGGATTCGTTCAGAGTGTCGGTATGGATGAGGGTTTGGATGTCGTGTTCATCGCAAACACCGAGACAAGTGTCGATAGCCTTGGGTGTAGTTCCCCAATCCTCATGCAATTTGAGGCCGCACACACCAGCCTCTGCCTGCTCACGCAAAGGGCCAGGCTCACTGTCGTTGCCCTTGCCGGTTATGCCTACATTGAGCGGTATAATATCAGTAGCTTGAAGCATACTCTCAATCAACCATGCGCTTGGTGTGCAGGTTGTTGCATTGGTGCCAGTGCTGGTGTCTTGTTAGCAGTTTGCCACGGCGCACTAGTGCTCGGAGCTCTTACCTTGGCCCAGTACCACCTCCAAGCAAAGTTGTAATTCCCGAAGCAAGCGATTCAGGGGCTTGTTGAGGACAGATGAAATGAATGTGGCTGTCAAATCCGCCGTAGGTGACAATCTTCTTCTCGGCGGCAATGACATCGGTGTTGGAGCCGACGACCATGTTAGGATCAACACCATCCATGATATCCGGGTTACCGGCTTTGCCAATTCCTACGATGATGCCATTTTTGACGCCGATATCAGCCTTGAAGATACCAGTATAGTCAACAATCAAAGCATTGGTAAAGACCAAGTCCAAGCAGTCGATATCTGAGCGTCCAGAGGCTTGACCCATGCCATCACGGATACTCTTACCTCCGCCAAAGGTGCATTCATCTCCATACTGGGTCAAGTCTTTTTCGACTTTGATCCAGAGATCGGTGGCACCCAGACGGACGAGGTCGCCGGTGGTAGGGCCAAACATGGATATGTAAGCTTCGCGCTCCAGAGTGAACAGATCAAGGTGAGCAGAATCGCCAGCAGGCTCTGGGGTATGGTGGAATCCACCCTTCTGCAGTTTCTCGACAAGACTTTCGGCAATCCGAGCATCATGAAGAGAACCAGTAGCAAGACCGTTACCACCCTTGATAACCTGGTTCCCACCGATCTGAACGAGGTTGACGGTCTTGGTGTCACCAGGCTCGAAACGGACAGAGGTTCCAGCAGCAATGTCCAATCTGTATCCAAGTGCTCTGACACGATCAAAGTCCAGCAGAGGGTTAGTCTCGACAAAGTGATAGTGCGATCCAACCTATTGACGTCAGTCCTGGTTCATTCTTCCTTCGTTGTGACAATGACCTACCTGGATGGGACGGTCTCCCTTGCTAACAACCTTTAATTGTATCCTCTTTCTGTCCTTGTTCAAGGCAATCTTGCCATTTTTGAGTGGTATGACTGCACCAGGCTGTTTCTCGGGAGCGTATTGCGAGGGATCGGCATGAGGGAAGACATCTTTATCGGGTATGGGCAGGAAACTGCCATATAGGGCCTTTTCGAGATCGCCGTCATCGGAACTGATAGGGTGGTGGACGGTAACCAAGTAGGTACCAGAGGGAAAGGTTCCTTCGACTTGCAGCTCTACCAGAGAGTTGACTACGGGCGGTAGGACATGGCGGCGGCCGAGGATGGTCTTGCCCAGGGACATGAGATCTGCCACTGAATGGTTGCCATCGCGGATAAGCTATCGGAACGCGTTACTTTGGTCTGAAGCCTGGACAAAGGAGATGGGAGTTGGACACACTTCTTGGAGGACGCTTGCGATCAGAGCCTAGCCATACTGTCAGCGACCATGTTTCTTCTAAGAGTGGTAGCAGCAGCATACCGTCGCTTCAGTCTGGTTCAGCTTGACACCGCGTGCCAATCTTCGCTGTGCAAGCTGGCCGACTTGCGAAATGACCAGCTTGTCGAGCTGCAAACGATCATTGTGTCAGAGAAAACAGCAGTTCATGAACAGTCTCTCGAGATCGCGTACCTCTTTCGGAGTCAAATGCATTTCGTATGACGACCAGAATACCTAACCACTCGAGTCATCCGTAAGGTTGACACATCGAAACTACCCCTCATTCGGCCTTGGCAGTGCTATACAGCTATCATGTGCATTGTACACCCTCCATTTCCTTTTACGCATTGCTACTCCTTATCGACCTCATCGATATCCGCAAGAAGCAACTTCTTTCACGGCCTAGTCGACATCTCGTAAAGATTGCGCAATGTCTTGGATATCGTTTAGTGGACGCATTGAGCACTCTCATTTACTTGCAATCGATATACTGTAGGCCCGTTTCTGGGGAAATGATGGAGAGATATTAGGATGATCACACGTTCGCTCACACCGGTTAAGAATTGGAAATAGAGAACGTAGAACAATCAGAAAAACTCAAGGACAACGGGTCAATTATTCATATAAGTCTAGCGACCGAGTGAGCCTTCGGATGTAGGATTGGATTATAGCTAATCAAAAAGCCAGGGTCATCCGAGTCACTTGCATTTATAACCATCTCAGCCAACACTCACCAATCTTTACAACAAGGTGAATGAATATGCTTGTCTCGATTGCAAAACCGCTCTCGTACAAGCAGAAGCGACTGCTAACGTCCGATTATACCCATCAAGTCTCAAGAGTTTCACCGTCCACTGCACGATTAATGTCCTGAAACTCCCCTGTCATCTAACGGCTCTGAGCGTGTCAAGAAAAAGACAGCCTTCTAGAAAGACGGGACGTCATTCTATCGCCGCCTGAACCACAAGGACAAAGTTTGTGAAAAGCGATACGTCTTGTCAAAGGTTGGCCCTCGTCTGCCACGCCTATCTTGGTTCTGCTGGATGCTTTGACACGACTCAGGCGTCCAGTCGAACAATTTCGCATTAACTCCCATGCTTAGAGATACGCTCGTTGGGACAAGACATCATAATGGACGTCGGCTTGCCAAACCTCATTTTTTGCAAGTTGCTGTCAATACATTGGACGTTCACCATCCGATGACCATCGCGTATTCTCTGATCGACTCTGCAGCCAAACATTGCGAATCTGCCTTGGCAATAATGGACCATGATCCCTAGACAGGTTGATCTCAATTTCTGTTGCCCGGAATAGCCATGGTTTGACGGAGCGGCTCCCTGCAGGCTTCTTTGCCAATATTGTGCTTAGTCGGCCGCCTCGTTTGGCGTTGCCTTGCCGTGTCTAAACCAGAGACTGCTCTTCCCATGGAACATTGGACATGAGGACTATGTGAATGACGGCATCCTCAGGTACATGGAACATTTGTGTCAGAGCACTTTGCCACATAACGCACGACAGATCTGCCAACAGATTCTAGTGAGGATGGGTAATTGATTAATCGTGGATGGCTGAACCAGGCAGAGACATGATCCCGAAGCACGAGCCCTGGTGATAAAGTATGTTTCTCAGCTGAGCCTGGCAGGGTGCTTCGGGGAAGACGGACTGCAAAAGCTCCTTGATTGACCGCTGCAATAAAGTCAGCAGCTGACAATGTTGATTAAATGCATGGCATCGGGAGCCTTCAAAGCAGCATTGTTTGAGTGGTACTTTGTATGTGTACATAACTCAGGAGGAACAAACCGTTGACGCATGTGATTTTGGCGCATGTTCGTTTCAGGGCCTCGACGCGGAAAATAGAGTTCGACCGACCAGCCGCCTCGCATGCCGCTTCCGGCGCCATGCAAGTGATGGTTAAAGCCCATGTGAATCTTGTCAAAGTCTCGTTTGTTGCCATCGATGTTTTGAGTTGGTGGTCCCTATTGCTGCACAACTCATGACTTACAATCACATCGTCATCTCAAGACCGCTTCGTCGAACCCGACGATTGCGGCATATTAACAAACAGGACGAAATTACCGACAGATGGCGACGAGTCTTTTAATCTATTCGAAGTGATCAAGGCAACAATGTGACGTCGATCGTCAGCACGATCTCAAAGCAATGGCAGCCAAGTGGGCCAGACGGACGGCAGCTCGCGGGCTTACAACAGACGGTGCAAGCATCATCCGAGTAAGAGAAAGCAAACGGGTAAGCATGTCGGCCAAAAGAATCAAGGGCAGAGGTGAGGAAAGAAGGGCGAGCGAGATTGGTAGGACAACATCTGAAACGATGCAGAAAGCTGTCGCTGGACGCCTGGTAACGGTGGGAAAACGAGTGGACCGAACAGATGGGTACCGAGACAGAAACAGAGAAAGCAAAACGGGCTGAGTGGAAGGAAAAGAGTTGCAAGAATGGTTGGAAGATGGGTGGATAGGCAGCGGTCAAACAAAGTGTCTCGGAGAGTCGGCGACAGGCATCTATTGGTATTTGGATTGGCCGATCTGTGTAGAGGCGCGCTATGGATGGTTTAGATTTGGGACTTGGCTGAGCAGAGCCGAGATGCAGACGAGTTAGGGGGAGTCTATAAACAACACACGGGAAATGTTACCTAGCGCACACCAGAGACTGGCTACCAAGAAGACTGCAGGAAATGCAATATTATCAACGCGAAGCTATAAGATGGAGATTCGTTGTGTTGTGAGAAAGACTTGCAAGGAGCGTGGATAAAGTAACGCTCGTAGCAACAACAGGACAAGTATGCGAGATGCTACTCTGATGTTGTAGAGATGGTCGTGTTGAATGATTAGCATTCTTGCAGCGACGGGCAGTCGAACGGTTGCGGTAAAGGGGCTTGAACAAACAAAAGAACGGGACGGGATTTTGAGTTTACATTATCAGAACATGCCAACGGTTTCTGGTCGAGAAGTGAGACGTCCTCTGTGCTCGCCTGTGGCTACCTACTCGTCGTGGTGCTGCTGTTGGATCATCCTGTCGTCGACTCGTCGAGCTCACTCTCTCTCGCGAGTTCTCTGGATCGAAAGTCATCGAGCTGGGTGCCCAAGGCTTTGTATTAACGCTCAGACCTTTGTTCGCGCTTTCCGCTTTCTGCCAGTGAAATTAGCTGCTAGCGGATCGAAGGCTGCGTTTCATCACAGTCCATTCGGAGGGCCTCTGAGAGCGATTCTTGTGCCTGGTTTTCGAGAGTCCTGTCGTGTTAGCTCACCGCCCACGCGCTTTTCCTATCATCACACGCATCCATCCATCCACTCAACTTTGTCCCGGCCGCAACACCTCTCCCCGGTCGACCGCGCCGACTTCTGAGCCATTTGACAGCGCTCCACCTAACCTGACGTGCGCCCTGCCCGCCGTCGTCTATCCTCAACCATAGAATGTCGTCGGCCGCCATACATGCCGTCGCGCCACAGCATTTCCAGTCCTCGCCGAATCCCTCGCCCTCGTCTGCGCGCAGGCCTCAGAGTCAGAGGCCGTCTACAGCCAGTGGTCTTTCACACTTTGACAGTCCCTCTACCGCAGCCGCCCGTCAAGTATCTTCGTCCTCGACCAACGCTTCGCCCAATCACCGAAAGATCTCTGCCGCCTACGACTCGATGGAACCCGCCATGCCTCAACAGGAGTACACATCTACACATTCTCACCTCAACGCAGATAGCCCATCCCAGGCCCGTCGGAAAGACATGGACCAGTCCTCATCACCAAGACACATAATCCCTGACACTCTTCCCCGTGAGGACAGTGCCATATTGAGTAGGCTGGTAATCGACGACCCCCAGGCCGACGTCGCTCGCGAGAGAGCCCGTGTCGCCGAAGCACAGCCCATGTCTGCCAACCACCATCACGAGTCCACAATCTCAACCATGGAAGCCCCCGAGGAGGCTGCCGCACCCCGCCGTCGTCAGGAACATCTCAAGTCGAGTCACCCTAGAAAGGAGACCAAGTTTGGAGAGTACATTCTTGGACAGACACTGGGTGAGGGAGAGTTTGGCAAGGTCAAGATGGGGTGGAAGAAAGAGGGGGGAGTACAGGTTGCCATCAAGTTGATCCGCCGTGAGACGCTGGGCAACAATCCTAATCGCTTGCCAAAGATCTATCGCGAGATCTCGATTCTACGTGGACTGCAGCACCCCAACATTGTACGTCTGCATGAGATGGTCGAGACTGAAAGACATATCGGTATCATCCTCGAGTACGCATCGGGCGGAGAACTGTTCGACTACATCCTCAACCACCGCTACCTTAAGGACAACGCGGCTCGTCGGTTGTTTGCACAGCTCGTATCTGGTGTTGGCTACTTGCATAAGAAGGGTATTGTCCATCGCGACCTGAAGCTGGAGAACCTACTGCTGGACCGCAACCGCAACATTATCATCACCGACTTTGGTTTTGCCAATACCTTCAGCCCGGACGACGAACTGGGCGAGGACATCGAGTACAACCTGAACAACAAGGACTTTGTTACCAAGATGGGTCTGGAACACATCCTACCGACCGGACACCGTCGCGGTGATCTTATGCAAACGAGCTGTGGAAGCCCGTGCTATGCTGCGCCAGAATTGGTTGTTAGTGACTCTCTCTACACTGGTCGCAAGGTCGATGTGTGGAGTTGTGGTGTCATCTTGGTACGTCAACCTCAACTCACGTCGGTAATCCAGTGGTAAGCTAACCTTGACTAGTATGCCATGCTTGCAGGATACCTGCCTTTCGATGACGATCCGGCCAACCCAGAAGGCGATAACATCAACCTTTTGTACAAATACATTGTCTCGACGCCCTTGACCTTCCCCGAGTATGTCACACCTCATGCTCGCGATCTCCTGCGCAGAATCCTGGTCCCCGACCCGAGAAAGCGTGCCGACTTGTTTGAGGTTGCTCGTCACAGCTGGCTGAGCGAGTACGCCCATGTTGTCGGTTTCATAACAAGTACCACAACCACCTCTGCCGACATTGTCGACTCTGGCGTTCCTACCGAAGACCAGTACGACGTACCATCACTCGCCCGCAGTGCATCAGTCAGGGAGCCTTCCAAACCCAGTCAGATTGCAGTTGTCGGTGGTCTTAGCAACAAAAACACCCCTGTCACCGAGACCGAGTCCAAGACACCTCGCGATGCTAAGCGTAGAACCGTTCAGGTCGAGTACGTTGCCCCTCAGTCTCAGACTGCAAGACAAGCACCCATCTCGACCTCTTTGCCCACCAGTGCTGTCCTGGCACAACCTCTCTCATCTCAAGGAAGATCTCGTGCAAGAGGAGACAGTGCTTCGGGCCCCGTGGCCGCCAACCCTGCATCTTACGATCCTTCACTCAGCTCTCAGCGTTCTCAGCAGCGCCCCGCAACTCAGTCCGCCATGTCGCCTCCAGTCCGTCCAAACCGCGAGCCTCCACGTGCAGTGACCGACTCGACTTCCTTCAATGTCGGTTCCCCTACTTCGGGCGCTCGTCCCACAACCAGTGGCTCAAGACTGCCATCTCGTGGTAACTCGTATGGTCAACCTGCTTTGGCTACTGTTGCCGCTACCAATGCAGAAGGCCGCTTCTCTCAACCTAAGCCTTCTGGATCTGGATACATCATCTCTGGCCCCAACTCGCAGGACAACTCGAAGAGAAACTCCTACACAGGAAGGCCAGTCAGCCAGTATCTGCCCAACGATGCTCAGCCAGTTCCTCAGCAGCCTGCAGAGAGACCTGTCCGTGGACACAAACGTTCTAACACAATGGAAAGCTTCACTACAAAGTTGTTCGGCCGCACTAATTCCCGTCGTCAATCGGCAACTCCACAAGAGATCGCCAATGCTCGTCAAGAAAGGGAAAAGTCATCGCGCATGTACCCCCCTGTCAGCATGAAGAACCCAATGCCTCACTCTGGTGAAGATCTTCCTCGTCCTTCTACCGAGTCGTCTCGTCGTTCCTTCGGCTATAACCGCAAGAACAGCGAAACTGCTGGACCTCGCTCGTCAAGAAGATTCTCTTTCTTGCCTGTGTCGTTCTCTAGGATGAGCTTCTCTGGCGCATCTGGACCCGAAGCTGCTGATGGCAGTAGACGTGCCTCTGTTCAGGCTAATGCTCGCAGTCGTCCCGCGTCCAAGCAATCTCCTGTGATGGCATTTGGCCAAGGTAGAAGCCGTTCGCCCAGCCAGAGTACAACCGGCAGCAGTATCCCCGTCATGCCGGAGACTAACGCAGATGGCCGCCGCAAGATGCCTCATCAACCTGTCCGCGGCGCAACTGCTCCCGATCTTACGAAGATGCAAGATCCTAGTTTCCCTCAGCCGCAGCAGTCGTCCAGACAACAACCACAAGGACAGCAGTACAACAACTTCACTCCTCCGCAGAGCAGCGCTGGCCGACCAAGACAGGACAACTTTTACACACCATCACAATCTGCAGAGTCACAGGCCACCGAGTCGATCGCCCAAACGCCACGACAGCAATATCCCGCCGGTTTCAACGAAACTGAACCTGTCGTGACCAAGCCTCAACATCGCCAACAAGCGGTTTTGCAGAAGAACCGCAAGTTTGGGGACGCATATGAAGGTCATGGCAACGGTGGCAGCAGTGGTGGTGCTCGACGAGTGATGGACTGGTTCCGCAAGAGAGGCAAGGACAGAAGCAACTAGGAAGGCCTATGTCCGGCTTGTTGATATTCTTGTCTTGTGCTCTTCTTGATTCTTGAGCAGTGTTCTCCTCTTTCTTCTTTCTGGAGTACATTGCTTCTTTGCATCCTTCTTTGCCTGTTCTTTTTCTTATACCCTTTTCTTGTTTTCCACCCTTTCTTATTTGACCGCCGCCCCCTTCTTACTATCCACTTTCTTCTTTTTTTGCAAACTTTCTGAACTTGATGATAATTGCTTCCATCAGTTCATGTTTACTCTCTTGGTCAGCGCGGCGTTTCTTCTCCATCTTCCAATCTTCTTAAGCGGGCTTCTTTCTTCCTTGTTTGTTAGCAGACGTACACTTCTTCACTTTTGGGCATTAGGGGCATCAAAAACTCTCGGGGGGATTGTTTGTTGAGAGTTCTAGGGAAGATTTTTTTTCCCTTTCTTTTCGAATGTTTTAGTCGGAACTATTATATCCTTGCCTTTTGTTGTGTTCGTTTTTCATAAAATTGTGGCATATACGTTTTCTCTTTTTTCACTTTTTGAGCAGCTTGGCCAACTCGCTGGCAACGGCGTCACCGACCTCTGCGGTCTTTGCCTTGCCGCCAATGTCGCCAGTCTTGATTCCTTGCTCGATGACAATCTTGACGGCCTCGTCGACTGACTTTGCGAGTTCGGGCTCTTGGAGGGAGTACTTGAGCATCATGCCGACTGAGAGGAGCATGGCGACGGGGTTGACGATACCCTTGCCGGAGATGTCGGGTGCGGAGCCTACGCAAAAAATGATCAGTAAGGGTCGAAGCAGAAAAAGTCGAGAGGCATACATACCGTGGATGGGCTCGTAAATACCGTTGCACTTGCTCTTGCCGTCAGGGACACCACTGAGCGAAGCGCTGGGCAACAGACCCAAGCTGCCGGGGATGACGGAAGCCTCGTCGGAAATGATGTCGCCAAACAAGTTGCTGGTGACAACGACACCGTTCAAAGCACGAGGGTTCTTGACCAAGATCATGGCAGCGCTGTCGATGAGCTGGTGACCAATCTGCAATTGAGGAAATTCCTTGTCCATGACCTCGGTGACGACCTTTCTCCACAGTCTGCTGGTGGCGAGCACGTTGGCTTTGTCCAAACTCCAGACGGGAGCCGGGGGGTTCTCGGCGAGAGCGAGGTTGGCGGCGAGACGAGTGATGCGCTCAATCTCATGGCGCGAGTAGGGTTCGGTGTCCATGGCGTAACCCGAACCGTCGTCCTCGGTGCGGTCGCCGAAGTAGATGCCACCGGTCAGTTCGCGGACAATGTTGATGTTGACGCCACGGCAGACTTCGGCCTTGAGTGGTGAGCCCTCGACGAGCGAGTCGGAGGCGAAGAAGCAGGGTCTGAGGTTGCCGAATGTGCCCATCTCCTTGCGCAACTTGAGAAGACCCTGTTCGGGGCGGACTGCGCCAGTTCCCCATTTCTGTTGTATCTTGTCAGACCAGGCCAAGCATGTTTTCCGGACAACGTACAGGACCACCGATGGCACCGAGAAGAACGGCATCGGCCGACTTTGCGGCGCTGAGAGCCTCGTCGGTAAGGGGGATGCCGTGTGCGTCGATTGAGGCCTGTAAAAGATCAGCTTTGGTCAGGGACAAGGTTGCATGAGGAGACGTACACCACCAAGCGGTTGCTCGTTGAAGTTGAAGGAAATGTCCTTGGCCTCCTTCTCGATGACCTTGAGAATCTGTGGGGCGCGTGAGTTCACTGTCCATGTCCCTTTGCGTGTCCATGGCTGTGTACCTTGATAGCCTCAGCTGTAACCTGTGTGCGACTGTGTGTTAGTAAATTTGGACAGCGGTTATGTCATAGGTGCGGTCGTACCTCAGGACCGCAGTGGTCACCTGTCGGAAGTCAGCCTGGTTCGGTTCTCTGTCTCCCAATACGGCTGGAACTCACCGCCAAAGACGACAATGTTATATGAAGGCATGTTGATGTGTGTGTGTGTTGTTGTATGAGTGTGGATGATCAAGTCCAACTTTCGTCCAGACACTTTCCCACACGACAGTGGGGAGCCCACAGCTTCTCCGATGTCGGCTCCTGCCCATCAAGACTCTCCGCATCGGCCCGCATCCGCTTACGAGGTGTCTCCACCGAAGACCTTCGGAGGCCCAAGTAACGAGTCGAAGCAGTCTTGAGTGTCCGTTACAGTCCGGAGCATTCACTCTCGTCGAGCCGTGAGATTGACCTGCTGTAAGCCTAGACTTGAGTCAGAAGTACATCTTGCAGTTCCAGAGGTGCAGATTATTTAGGATGTATGTTTTGGTAAATATGTTTCGTGTTCTTCGTGATGTGAGTGAGCAACGTCCACTGCTCTCCCCCCGTTCTGTGGAGATGCTGTAACTCCGGCACATCCTTCTCTTCTACCGACTCCTCAATCCCCAGCAAATGCGATGCAGTTCTTCTTCTGTGGCCTCATGCTTCATCTCTTTTTCAAACCCAGACCTCCCAAACCTCTCTTCTTTCCACCACTCTTCTGACCACCATCATCCACCTCCATAGCATCAATCTCAACCACCTGATCCTTACCTGGCAAACCCTCAGCCCTTTGTACTTGCTCCGCACGCACAGCCTCCTCGTGAGACCTCTTCTCGGCAGCATCCATCACGCTCTTCATCTGCGCCTCCAACTCTTTGAGCACATCGTCGCATGTGTTGCTCCATGTATCCAGGGATGCCATCATGCGCGTTACACTGCCAGGGTTGAGATCGCGTAGGGCGGCAACACTGCTGATGGCGACGATGCCTTGTGCGGGGTTCAAGGTGGCGGTGAGGAGGTCTGCGTAGATGGCGTCGGTGACTAGGCGTTCGAGGGCCAAAGGCGAGTCGAGAGACAGTGCAGATTGCAGGTTTGCGTATGTGAGTGGGGTGGTGGGTGTTGTGTTTGCGGCGAGGGTGAGGAGGGTGAGAAGTTGGAGTTTATGTTGTTGGACTGCTGACAGCGAGGGCAATGTTGAGGCTAGAGCTGTTGTTGAAACTGCGTTAGTCTTTGGTATGCAGTGAGGAGACTAGAGGAGGAAACTTACTCTGATATTCAGCCCAGGTTCCCCAGGCGAATAGCTCGAGCAGCGTGTAGTGGTTACGGTATTGAGCATCGTCGCGCAGACTCTGAATGTTTGGCGTCTGGAGCAGCTCGCCAAAGACGTAGGTGTGAGTGGCTGAGGTAGCCTGGGTGACCAAATCGGCAGCCGCGCGAGCTGATGTGGCCGATTTTGACAGAGCGAGGAAAGGTGCCAGCGCGTTGATTGCTCGGCTTTGTTCCATGGTGAGCGGTGTGATGTGTCGATGGGTTTGAACTTCAGGATGCTGATCTGATGTGGAGAAAAAGTCGAATGAGGGAAGCGCGATCGTATAAGTGAATGTTTGTGGTTGGTGTGTTTGTACTGATGGAAGGTGCTTTCGGTTTGATCGTCGTCATTGTCGATGCGTCCAAACTCCGACCTCCGACTGCCGCTCTCACCGCCTTCACTCCCTCTTGATGCAACTCGTGTGCACACTGATATCTAGAAGATCCAATCCTCAGCATTTTCCGTCCACATCCAACAGATTCTGCCTACTCGTCATGGGCTCAGCCCGCCACCTCACCATCGACTCTGCCTCTTCATGCCCAGTCTCCCCCATCTCCCTAACAACCTCAGCATCAATATCCCTCACAATACCACGATACCTCCTACACATCTCATCCCCATAGTCCTCCAAGTCCGGTATCGTCCACTGATCATACAATCTCCCATGCGTGTTTACCACAGCAAAGCCCCCATGAGCAATTAAAAACCTCCAGCAGAGATAGCAAAGCCATTTCGATGTCCCTATCACTCGGGGAGTGAGGTATGTAGATGTTGAAGGCGTGTTGTGTTGAGAGATCAAGTCGTAGTGCACAGCCAATTGCACTTCTGCGTGTACATGGCATGATTTCGCCCAAGCCTCGTGTCCGATATCTGTAGCCACAGCCTCATATGGCGTCAAGAATGCCAGTTGCAGATTTGACCCAAACAAAGTTGGATACCGTATACTGTGTGCAATCAAAGATGTGGTGACGCGCCAGTATGCCCCGATTTTCTCTACTTGACGCAGACACTTGATGGCAGAAGCAACTTTGGGCGTCGGCGATGCAGTGATGCTGTTTTCCAATCGTTGTGCAAAGTCTGCGATATCCCTTGTTTTGCAGAACCCGTAACTCGCTTTGATCAGTGCGTGAGGATGGCGTTGCTCCTCCTGAGATGCTGCTTCGACTGCCTCGAAGCTTTCATAGATGGCAGCGAGTTGCTGCACTTGAGCTTCCACCGAACGTCTCAACACCGCTTCCTTCTTGGTATAAACGAATTGTACCCGATGGAGAAGATTCGTAAAGTCCTGCCAAAGAGGCTTCTTGTGTTGTTTAGACAGATACTTTGGCTTCTCCCACTTGGTCGATCTCAGCCGTGCGAGCAGTCTTCGGAAATGCAAGTCCACGATTTGTGAAAACAACTCTTCTGTGCGTGCTGTATCATCGACCTCGGATACTGTACTGAGGGTGTGCGTGATTGCGTTCAGCGCATCCCTGACCTGATCGTTCAGCGAGAGGTCCAGCGCCGCAAACCGTACTGTCAGTCGAGCTGGTTGAAGATGCTCTTCCAAACACACAGCCGCAACACTCTGTGCTCCTTCTTCGATGGCAGCCAAGAATGCAAAATCATCTGCAACTTGCTGCTCTACACTCAATGGCAAAGTGTAAATTTCCTTCAGTTCATCACTTTGAACAAGAGGAAAAGTCTGTGGTTCGACTGGCACCGAGTTTGTGATTTTCTCAAGGTCTACCAGGTGTTGACGAAACGTGTTTTCGGGAAGATCGCGCCATATCGAGGATTCTGAATTCGCTGTCCGGGTCTGCAGTCGTGACATTTTGACATTGGTTCAAGGCCGGGAGGCATGTGACGGTCCGCGAGATTCGATAGAATTTATCAAAATTATGCATTTGTGCAAGCATTATGCACTTGATCATATATATGCATCTTTAGAACGACTTGTCGTACTTCTACGGTGAACACAATGAAATAGATCTTAAGCTTTGGTGCAATAGCTCTGAGTGTGTAGCTAAGCCACTGCCAAGAGACGCTCGCTGAGTATAGCGAATCAGAGTCAACGAAGTATGATATCCAGTGTTTGTAATAGATGTTTTATTGTTGCAAAGACTCGCTGATAGATTTGTGGTGGTCCTGTGAAAAGACCCGTATGCGATGGGGTATAAGAGAAGAAAAACAAGCGAGGTGATGACAATGCGCCGGCGATGAACAAGAACGAAATATGCAAGATTCCCGAGTAACACCACACATAACTATCTCTCTCTCTCAATCAAGAGCACAATGATTCTCTCCCCTTCGTCAAACGCCTGTTGAAAACTCGAAGAACAGATCTAACGCCGCGCCATATAAAAAAGTGAACAGAGCCTCTCATCTCCACAATCAAGAGCTGTTGGATCGCATGAGCATTTCCTACAAGGTTACACTGTTAGCATAATGTCCACATATGAGTGGATACAGAAACACTTACCCGCTCAATGGGGTCGGAGAGGTCTGCCGTCACAATCGAAGGACTCTTGGTCGGGTTGGTCGGCGAGTCTGTGTATCCACGAATATCCAAGATCGGTCTCCTGGGTGTGCTGACTTTGCTGCTGCTGCCTGTGCTATCCTCTTGCTTGCCATCGTCACCTTGAGTGAGAGTCATCCTCTGGTCCTTGTTGCGTTCGAGCAATGCTCCCCCCATGGTCGCACACTTGAGTAACGTCTGAATGAGCTGGTTAGGCTTCAGAGGCTTGGAGAGATACTCGTCCATCTGGGCTTGAATACACTTCTCGCGATCTCCCAACATGGCGTGTGCAGTGAGAGCGATAATAGGCGAGCGGGTGAGCTGGTTCTCGCGCTCGTATTGACGAATGTTGGCAGTAGCTTCGAAACCTCCCATGATAGGCATTTGCACATCCATAAGCACAACATCGTAGCGCTTCTTCTTGATGGCTTCGAATGCTTCGAGACCGTTGTTGGCCACGGTGACTGTATGATGGTGCTTCTGCAGAATTCTGACAGCCAGTCTTTGATTGACAGCATTATCCTCCGCGAGTAGAATGTCGAATTTCATGGACGGATCGGCAGATGTTGGTGCTGCGCGTCCCTCCAATGCCGGGATGAGCGCATTGCCCAGATCGATGGACAGACAAGGCGTGGTCATGTAGCTCGCGATACCGTCCTCAAGTGCAGACTTGAAACTCATGCTGATGACAGGAGCAAGCATGACGATGGGGATGTACTTAAAGTCCTCAACGTTGCGAAGTTTGCGAGCGGTCTCCCTGGAATCAACAAGAATACAGTCGTAAGCCTTTCCAGCGGCGATGGCTGCCTGTGGCGAAGGCACTTCCGCCTCGGTGTGGACGACCATAGGCATCAGCTGAAGGTTGACCAGGTGCTGCGCAATCTCTTCGGAACAACCAGTCTTACCAGTGTCGATGAAGAGCACATGGTGCTTGCGATAAGCTCTGAGCTGCTTGTCGATGGCCGCAACATCTGGATCGCCGACCTTGAACTTGACAGTAAAGTAGAAGCAACTGCCTTGACCAAAGTCGGATTCCACCCACATCCTTCCATTCATGAGCGAAACAAGTCTTCTTGAAATGGACAAGCCGAGACCGGTGCCTCCGAAACGGCGCGTGGTTGATCCATCTGCTTGCTGGAAGGTATCGAAGATGAGATCAAGCTTGTTGCTCGGTATACCGATGCCAGTATCACGAACGGCAAACTGGACTGCATATTCACCATCCTCGCATCCAAGCTGGTCTGCCGCGGAGATGGAAATTCTGACTTCGCCCTTGTCGGTGAACTTGATGGCATTGCCAACCAGATTCAAAATGATTTGACGCAGTCTGAACGAGTCTCCGATGACGTAGTCTGGTACTGAGCTGTCCACATAGTAGGCGAGATCCAAGTGCTTCTCGTTGGCCTTGACTGCCAGACCCTTGAGACCATTGAAGACTTGGCCACGAAGAGAGAATGGAATCTCCTCGACAACCATACGGTTGGCTTCGATCTTTGAAATGTCGAGAATGTCGTCAATGATGGTCAGCAGACTGTTAGCCAGGTTGAATACCAGGTTGAGCATCTCTCGCTGATTTTGGTTCAAATCAGTGTCAAGGGTGAGTTGAGTCATGCCGATGATACCGTTCATGGGAGTTCTGATCTCGTGAGACATGTTGGCGAGGAACTCTGACTTGGTCTTGTTGGCCAGTTCAGCGGCTTCTCTTGCAGCAGTGTTCTTTTGGATACTTTCACGCAGCCCAGTAACCATCTTGTTGATCTTGTTCTTGAGCTCGTTCATCTCACCCGATGCTTCGACAGTGATCATCTTGGTGAAATCGCCGTCCATGGCAGCATTCGTGATGTCACCAAATGCTCGGACTTGGGAAGTCAGATTTTGAGCCATGGTGTTGACGTCGGAAGTGATTTCCTTCCAGCGACCAGAAATTCCTTCAACTTCAGCTTGACCACCCATTTTACCGTCGACACCGACGTCGCGAGCGACACGCTTGACGGCAAGAGACCAGTTGTCGAGACGGCCAACCATGTCGTTGATGGTGTTCTTCAAGAGCAGAATTTCTCCTTGCGCATGAACCTTGATGACTTGGGTCATGTCTCCGCGAGCAATAGCCTGTGTAACATCGGAGATGTTGCGGACTTGGTTAGTCAGGTTGTTGGCCATGGTGTTGACGTTGTCAGTCAAGTCCTTCCATTTGCCTTCGACGTTCTCGACTTGAGCTTGGCCACCCAGTACACCTTCGGTACCGACTTCTCTTGCTACCTTGCTGACCTCGAAGGCAAAGGTGCTCAGACGGTCAACCATCGTGTTGATGGTAACCTTCAATTCGAGAATTTCACCCTTGACCTCGGCTCCAACCTTTTTGCTGAGATCACCTCTGGCAACAGCCTTTGTAACATGAGCAATCTCACGCACTTGAGTGGTGAGGTTGTTGGCCATGCCGTTGACGTTTTCGGTGAGGTCTTTCCATGTGCCTTCGACTCCATGTACAGTTGCTTGCCCACCAAGTCTTCCTTCTGTTCCGACTTCTCTAGCGATTTTTGTGACTTCGTGAGCGAATTGCCTGAGTTGGTCGACCATGGAGTTGATGGTTGACTTGAGCTCCAGGATTTCGCCCTTGCACTCGGCCTTGACTTTTTGCGTGAGATCACCTCGTGCGACGGCTGTGGTGACCTCGGCAATATCTCGTACTTGGGTGGTGAGATTGTTGGCCATGGCGTTGACATTGACAGTCAGGTCATTCCACATGCCCTGAACACCCTCAATCTGGGCTTGACCTCCGAGTACACCCTCGGTACCGACATCGCGAGACACGCGGGTGACTTCTGTTGCAAAGGTGCGCAATTGATCGACCATACCGTTGATAGTCTGTTGGAGTTGTAGTATTTCACCACGAGCGGGACGTTGAATCTTGCGACTGAGATCGCCCTGAGCGACTGCGGTGGTAACGACGGCGATTTCTCGTACTTGGTTGGTCAAATTGTCGGCCATTATGTTTACTGCAGGTGGTCAGTCGTTGGATAATCAGACGGTGGAGGAGAGGGTGCATACCGTTTTGAGTAAGTTCAGCCCAGATGCCACTGACACCAGGCAAGACAGCTTGTCCTCCGAGTCTTCCCTCGGTACCGACCTCACGAGCGAGGTGTGTTACTTGACTGGCGAAATCTTGTAGTTGGTCGACCATCTTGTTGATTGTGCGTTTGAAGGTAGCAATCTCGGGATCACGCTCTTTGGCGCTGATGAGCACCTTCTTGCTCAGATCGCCATTGGCGACGGCAGTGACAATGCTGCCAATCTCGCGGAGGACTTTTTGGTAGGTTGCGTTGATTTGTTGATTCTTAGACAGCTCACGCTTGAGAGTCTCGACATCATCCATAGAGCTCTCGATACCGCCGAGAGCCTGCTCGGTGGCCTGACGCTGCTGTTGCAGCGTCTCGTTGATGCTGTCGATGTATTCTCTCTGGGCCTTGATTTCTTCGCTTTGGCGATCGACGTGGTCACGAAGGACTCCAAGCTCTTCTTCGGTCAGCTGACGCGGTACGGCAGTGCCCTTGGGACTCTCCGACTTGGCCAGAAGACTGTTCACCAAAGATGCAGAGCGAGGCCGTGAAGATAGGACACGGGCAGCTGTGGGGGAGCTGTCTGTCGAGAAAGCAGATTGCAAAGGCTCGTTGGGAGTGATGGGGTAGACGGTCGAGGCCGAAGAAGCGACCCTGTTCTCAAGGTATTGTACGCGGCTGGCCAGAGCAGCGACCTCGCGCTCGAGTTGTTGTTTGGCATCGGAGTCAGCGCCAGGCAAGGGAGTTCGGTTCGATTCGACGCTGTTGGCAGCGACGCGGCTGTTGAAGTCATCGTGGGCAGGGGTATATTGTTTGCCAAGGTTGGAGATGATGGCAGCAAGAGCTGCGTACGAGTCCTCTTCGGCCATGATGGGCGGTTGTTGGGTCAGGTGTAAATGGTCGACGCGCATGAACGGTATGGAGGCGCAGGCCGTCTGTACAGTGTCCAGGGATGTGTGGAGACGCGAAGTGCTCCAACAGGTGCTGAGGGCCTTGGTGACGGCTCCGGGAAGCCCGAGACGGAGGTCGATGCTAGATTCGCATCAAAGAGTAAAGCCTGGGTCGAGGGTGTTGGCCCCTTGAGATTGTAGACAAGTCGCTGATGTGGCAGGTTGTGGAAGGAGACAAGGGCTTCGACAGCCAGCAGAAGCCTCAAGGGTCGGTAACAAGCGCGCTAATTTAGTGATCGTCGAGAAAGCCTCGCCGTCCAATAGCAACCAATCCGACACGAGAGACCAAAAACACTGCTTGGGGCTGCTGCAGCTGCTTTGGATCCTTCTAATGACAATGATTTCGCGATCGATAGAAGCAACTTGATAAGCGAAAGTCAAGAAGGAGAGCATGTTGGCCCTCTCTAAACAAAGAGGTGCCGAAAACAAACTCTGAAATGCCCATGCTTAACAGGCAGCCGCTATTCACCACGCGAGCCGGAAAGACCCTCTTAGCTAGCTAAATTTACCACCATTCGACCGTCTTTCGACAATTCTTCCGTCTCTCTTTGTCTGCTCCCACTCGCCATCCTGCGCCTCAGGCGACGTCCCATCGATAACTTCTCGTATTCTCCCCACTAGACAATACGCAGAAGCAGCTACTGCCAAGACCTTAACTACTTTGCTTTCCAGCCCCGCCATCCATGCCTCTACCTTCAATGCCTGATTCAGTCTCTTCAAAGCGGTCCACAAAAGACAACAGACTTCTCAAAAAGACAAATCAAGACTCGCCTTTCGATCCATCTTGTGGACCACAAGAACAACTGACATCGAGATCCGAGCTTGGACCACCTTCGTTTTCGTCAATGCATCTTATCTCAGGGTCTTGCATGTGGAGACATGCATCCCAACTTTTGCACGTTTTCGAGACTCCTTGTTAGGCGTCTCGTTCTTTCCATCAAGAGACTGACTTGTTGATCGAGTGAACGTGCAACATGCGTGCTTCGAGACTCCTAGATACGAGCTGTCATCCAGTTTTAGGCTGCCTAGTGTCCTCTCTTCTCCGTGCACGTAGTCAGTACGGAGAATTGGTGCAACGATAATGCCGCGCTTTCACCGCCGTCTCTGTCGATCTATTCGTCCGTTGAACAAACTGCCTTAGAGACCGGCCAAAAGTCATTTCAAGCTCAGCCATTCGTTTGGCACTGCCCTCTTCAGGAGTAACCAACCAACCTTCGTATTTATGGGATTGCGCCGTTCAATTGCGTGGTTAGAGTCTGAGAGTCTGTCGATCATGTGTTTCATCTTGTCTACTTACCATTCTTGCCTAGAGCAACATGCAGACTGCGGATCGTTCCTCACTTTTCGTTATGGCAATCAACTACCTCTGCTTACCTTCATGACAACAAATCTCCCGGGCTTGTTCGGGCGCATCTCCTGCTTCTCTGACTCCTCGTTCCAATCAGCTTTATGATCTCTCAAACACTGCGTTTGCAACGTGCAGCGTGTCGTAAAGCATGTTTCCAGTTGAGTTCAGCCACGACTGACTCGATTTCTCAGCCTTATTCTAACTTCACCACTCGATGGAGGAGAACCGTTACAGGGTCCAATTCACATGAACCTCGCGCAGCTCGAGCATGCCGCGAGGACATCAATCGATTCAGTCTTACCCTTGACCCTGCGATCTGTTTAATACTGCTTATCTGGAGGCTAACTCTACATTTGAGCGATACTTCTATATCCAATCACGGCAACCAGTCAGTCAAGGATCGAGTCAGTCCTTGCGTATAGAGCCGAATGCAAATTGCCAAGATCCTCGGCAGTCAACAAGGGGCAGTCCTTCCTGTCCAAAACCGCTTATCCCGGCACAATAAACTTCTTTTGTGTGGAAGCCACCGCTTGAGGAAGGTTACTCTCCTGAAACACTCGGGCATGAGCGGACACTTGCACAGAAAGTAAGGGAAGGTAGACAAGAGACAGAAAACTTGCAAAGAACGTGGAGAAAAATCCGTGTACCATAAGAAACAAAAAGAAAAAAAGGGGTATCGTGCTATATCTTCATCAAATCATATCTCATCAAGCTCTGCCTCCATTCTTCCCCTCCTGCCTCAAACTCTCCTCCACCGCCCTCTTAAACTCCTCGTCATCTTCTTCGTCCTTCCCCTCTGGCTCTTCCACCTTGCCTTTTCCCTTGCCCCCGAGCTTCTTTCGATGTTCCTCCTCCAACAAGCTCTGCTTCTTCACATACTCCAACACCACTCTTTCCTCTTCCTCGGCACTAGTTGAAGCTTTGTGAGTTTCTTGACTCTGGCTGATTGCTCTTTGCAATTCTGTATCATCGTCATGGTGCTGCTGTGAAGAATGCTGGTCTTGTGATGCTTTGACAGCCAGGCGGTATTCCTCATCGTCTGCAGAGTTGGAATTGGTATCCCATTCGCTGTCTGTAGAGTGCTTTTGGCGTTTATCTTGATGAGCAGAGGAGTTTGCGAGACTGGCTTTGAGTGCAGCTGCGAGTTCTTCGTCGTGCTCGGAGGATGAGGTGTCATCATATGCTGGTGGACGCTGGCCATTGTGTTCCAACATGCTGGCTGCGATTGCTTTGCGGAGAATCTCGTCTTCGTCATCTGGGTCGGTGGCGGTGCCTAGGGATTGCTGTCCAGATGCTAGTTCGGCGATGCTGGCACGGATTGCGCGCTCGATCATGGCATCTTGCTCTGGATCTCCACGGCTGGTATCAGCAACGGATGACTGGATAGCCCTCTCCAATTCACTTCCGCTGGCACCACGTGTATATTGCAAATCCTCATATTTGGGAGGCTCGCCATGCTGTGTAACTTCGACAGTCGGAGTCGTGGCTTCGTTTCTCCTTGCTGCACGCGAGTTAGCACGCGATCGAGGACGGATGCCCAAGAAAGAACGCGAACCTCTGGCTTGACCGTCGTTACCGACACCAGCATCAGGTTTTCCACCTTCCCATTGCTTTTTGAGCATATCTTGGAACTGTTCATGGATAAATCTCTTCTTCTTGACCTCGGACTCAACTACCTTCCAGCGTCTGATGATCTCCTGGCGCTCCTGAGCACTCGATCTGTGCCATTCATCGTAACCTTGTGCTGTGCGAGCTGCAATGATGTAATTCTGGACAGAAGATCCTGAGATGTTCTGAAGCTCCTTGTAGACACCCTTCATGGTGTAAGCTGGAATGCCAAAGATGGCTGCGCCAGGTTTGAGGACTATGCCACCAATACCCTTGCCGAAACCCTTGATGAATCCGGCAGCACCTTCTTTCTTTGCACCTTCCATGGGCTGCGTGACGAGTCCAGTAATACCATCGAACATACCAAAGCCAAACTCTTTAGTGGCTGCTCGAAGTCCAGATCTGAAATCGGTAATCTTGTCGGGCTTTCTGACTGACTCATCTCCGTAGAGCTTCGGTGCGTTATGGAAACCTTTTGCAAGAGCGTGAGTAAAGTCCATTGGCGATTTGAAGCCAGCTCCAACAATTCTAGAAACGCCTTTGCTGGTTCCAAAGGCGGCATCAATGACTTCTCGTATATTTGTCTCGCCACCCTGCGACTGGGTCTGCGTGGATGATTGTGATTGCGTGGTGTTTGTTCTGTGAGGACTCGAAGATCTGGATGTGGAACCGCTACGAGAACCCGAACGACAATGTAATTGGCTACCCAGACGACCTTGGAGTGCGGCAGCTAACGAGGAGGACCGACTGCGCTTCTCTCCATCGGTACTGCCCTCAGCAGTGAGATGAGGGGAACCCATCTTCGCAAATGACTCGTCGAGATTGAAGGACCCGCCTGCGCTAGCACCACGACCAGGCGAAGTAGGTCTGTTTGAAGTAGAGACAGCCAAATCTCTATTGGAAGATCCGGACTCACTAGACTGTTGTTCGGAGGGAGTCTCCTGAGAAATAGACTGGGGGTCGGTTGCGGTCTTCTTGGGTACAGCGTCAGGGTGGATTCTCAACGCCTTTAATGCAGCGACAGGGAAATCGGCAACGCCCATCATCATGGTACTAATTGTGCCAGTGAGAGCGCCTGCGCCACCAGAGATGGGCTCTGGGGGTCCCTCATCGGCTTCGTACTCTCTCGGGCGGTAGAGTTTCAAATCCTTGAAGTCGAGTAATCCTTCGGTTGCCAAGGTGCACGCTGCGAGAGCACTCAGACGGACCTCCGTCCTCTTGAGACGCCAGACGGCTGCCTTGCTGGGTGCTATGCTACACCTCATCTTGTCGACCTCGAGGAATTGGTGAAAGCTCTGTGCACCAGACGCAGTACCGTTCTCATGGCTGATACTGTTGGCGAGATCTTGAGCTCTTTCTCTAGTAGCCGGCTCGAGTGCCTTGTTGATGGCTTCGGCTAGATTGTCGGTAGTGAGATCCTTGTGATTGATTGGATCTGGACCGGCTCCAGCTTTGGCAACCATGGCACCCCAGAAAGGCTGGTCTCCGAAGAACGGAACGACGACGGTTGGCACACCACATGCTATACCCGCAGCAGTTGTTCCCGCACCTCCATGGTGGACGACTGCAGACACGTTTTTGAACAACCAGTCATGAGGCACATTACCAAGCATGAACACACCCTCTGGGATACCCATTTCGTCAGCACCAAAACCACCCCATCCCTTAGAGACCAGGGCACGTTGACCGGTTTTGCGGACAGCATCGAAAATGAGCTTGGTCATGCCGTCAGGATCGTCAAGAACGATGGAGCCGAAGCCAATGTACACAGGCGGCGGTCCAGCATCCAAGAAGGCTTTGAGATCAGGGGGAGGTGTGAAGTTTGAAGCTAGAGAGAGGAAGTAAAAGCCAGCGATGGATATCTGGTTACCCCAGTCTTTCGGTTTAGGGATCAGAGCAGGAGACCAGCAGTAGGTGTATGGGACGCGCAATCTTGTCAGCATACCCGGAGCCCAGATCAAACTGATGGGATCCAGAGACAGATCCTTTACTCTGAACCTGTTGATAACATCGCCTAGACCTTGCCATGTCAACATCTCTACAAGGGTGTAACTGATGAAGTTGGTGAGGTTTGCATCGGCATTTGTCGACTGAATGTTGGCCAGGGGATGAGGGAAGGCCTGTGTGGGAGAGTATGGCATGGTGAACATCATATGTAGAGGACATCCTAGCTTCTCGGCACAATGAATGTGAGCAAACGAAGGCGGGTTTGCAATGATGGCGTCGGCGATGAAGGGCTTGACCGAGGCATCGGTGTTACGCATCCATTCTTCGGTTGTATTGTCGTTGACGGCGATACCTGTACCATCACCAGACTCAATACAACTCCTCCAACATCCCGTGATCATTGTGCCAATCTCCTTCCGTCTTTTTCCGATGTCACCTCTCCTCATGACGTCAAATCCGGGCATCAATCCAGGGTTTTTGACCATGAAAGCCATGAGTTCAGAGGGATCTCCTCCGATGTTGAAGAACTCAAGACCGTTCTCTGTGACAAAGTCTCTGAAGACAGGATGTGTTGCCAGACGGACACGATGGCCGTATTGATCCTTTAGCACTTTTCCCAGAGCAACAAAGGGCTGCACATCTCCTCTTGAACCAACGACATGGATGACTACGTTGAGAGGTGGTGGCGGAGGTTGACCAGGAGCTCCACCGAGCGATGTAGGAATGTATGGTGGGGGGACTTGAGTGGTGTCGACGAGATCGAGTTGACTCCTCAAGGCAGGTACGAGCAAGCTCGAGAGTTGGCGAGAAGTCTGGTTGATGTTGATGTTGACTCGTCCGTCGGAACGTAAGGTGGCCTTGCTGCCCAGTCCGGGATCCTGGCTGGTGACATGACCGTATTCGTCGCCGTATGCTGGGGGTGGCAGGTTCTCATCTGAGCTGTTCGGATTCAGGTATTCGGCCGTCCTTGAGGGATGGAGGATGTTGTCTTCTTCGGCATTCGCCCTCGCAGCAGCTGCAGCTTGAGCAACCATGTTCGATGGGATCTCTGACATGGTCACGCTCGGCGACTTTTGTTCCGCCATGTCGTGTAATTTCTGTTATTTGAATATTTCAAAGTGTCGGACACTTCTTGCTACAGTTTCGGAGCGGATGTCTTGGGCTTTTGTTTAGCATCCATGATGCTGCACCTCGACCCCGCGCGCGTCATTGTGGCTGTGGCACGGCAGCAAGATGGAGCTAAGCCACCAACAGCCCTTGCTCTACGGTGTATCATGATTTTGATGCATTGATTATTGCCTACCACAGGTACACACAATTACATCGGGGAGAACAGTATTCGTTGCAGGAGAGAACAGGATCTGGCCTATCTACACATGTACGCTAAGAAGTCACGGTTGAGATGGTGCTTTTCCATCCAAGTCGTGCTACAGAACATCGAGCAACTAAAAGGACTAGAAGAAATATAAAAACAAAACGCCGTGATGAAAGGCAGGTGCTTGTTGAACCCTCGGCCTGACACCCGTGGGATATCGAAAAAGGTCGTCTATGCGATGGGCATGCCATTCGTTCCGGCCCAGCCGAAACGTCGTTGGTCTTGTCTCTACTCTTGCCAGAAGGGTCGAATCAATCAGTCAATCGTCATCCTCGACGGAACTGCTCCCATCGCATGTGCTCCACCTAGAGAATTATGCCGTCTCTCGTACGGATAACCCTTGTCCTCGTCTCCAATCACTCTCCGTCGTTGAATGTGCGGTTTCAATCCTTTGTTGAAGTTTGCCGTACACCATGCGCAATTGATGATAGTCATGATCAACAGCAGGAGCGTGATGACTGCGAAAGTCGTCAAACTCTTGCGCGCAGGTTCGTAATCCTCCACTCTTTCCGGGTTGCTCGAATCATACATGCGTACGAGCTTGAAAAGGAAGTAAGCCATGGCCGCGAAATAGAGCACGATCGTGCTACACATTCCCAATGTAGATTCGCGCCTGGTAAACCATGCAGCCGCAAGCAAGATGGCGATGGTGACGGGAATGGCCGCAATGGTGAGTGCGAACTCGATGTTAGAAGTATGCTCGCGAACAACCACGACGAATTGCACCGTAAATCCGAGGAAGAAGAAAAAGTCGAACTTGAGCAGGGCAATGTAGATCTGTTCCACATTAGTCCATGTTCAGCAAGTTCAGTTGGATGTGTGACCAAGTTACCTGGTAAACGAGGTAACGTCGCTTCAAGCGCAAGTCTGCCGAGATGTGTTTGTAAATTGTCCAGGCAAATTCGTCATACAGCTTCCACGCCACGAAACTGAATGCTATCGTACCCAGCGCAAGAACGCAGGGTACTGCGATCAGGAAAGGCTTTACATTGTGTCCGAAACTGGGTTCGATCTCTGCAGCCTGATTCAAGACCTGAACTGCGCGATCAATCTGGTCGTACTGGACGGTCGCGTATATGAGAAGACCCAGGTTGTAAAGACAAAGTCCAATGACTTGAATCGTGTTCTTGAGCCGCAAAGCATCCCAGACGAGCGCGAGTTGGTAGATGAACCCAAAAATGAACAAGGCGAGATACGTGGGAATGGTCCGCGACTGTGTCGTCTTTCGTGCTTCAGGATTGAGCGAGATCTGGAATTTGGCAAAGACATAGCTGCGGCACGTGTCAGTGAGGGAAAGACCGTAAACATACAGAAAGCGGCAACACACCCTTCAAGACCCAGACCGATGGCGGCTTGACAAAGAGCGATCATCAGGAACGTCCACGTCCATCTTGAGCTGGGCATGTACATGATGCGACTGGTGGTGGATTGTCTAGAAGAAGCTGGGCCAGTGAGTCCCTCGCGATCATGGTATCCTCCAGCAGGGAAAGGGCTGGTGTCGCGATCGAGTGGTATGTAGGAGCTGTTTGAGAAACCCTGACCTCCCAGAAGAGAGGTCTTTTTCTTGTGGTTGTTAATGATGACGGTCGGAGGCCGCTCGGCAGCGGCCTAGGAATATTTGGATGCGGTCGGTGTTGGGCTGATGCGTTGGACAGGAGTCGCGTTGATGCAGGGAGTGAGGGTGGACCGTGAGCGTGACAAAGGCGGACCGGTGGGCCGAGACTCGATCGGGGCGGTGTGTCGCGTGCGGTGAGGAGGGGGACGAGGAGACCACACGACCAAGAGACCAACGAGAGCGAAGCTGAGAGGTCGGGAAAGCGAGCGAGAGTGGTCGTGTTTGTGCAAAAGGCTGGTTTGCCGCTGAGGCGGTTGATTGCTACAGCGCTTCAGGTCCACCTAGGCAAAGAAAGCCAAGGATGGAGGGTGCGACGGGCGTGTCGTGGCTGTTGTTTCAGCTCCGCTAAGAAGGAAACAACCTTGCTCGATGTTGTGCTGACTGTATGGAAACTGCAACCAACACTTTGCGACAACGATCCCGGTATATATACAATCTTATAAACAACAAGAATTCGTGAGGCTGTGATGTGCGAGATAGCGGCCAGGCGCAAAGGTCGAGCGACAATCGAGGCGGAGCACCACAAAGGTCCTGTTCCCAAACGCTTTCCAGGGGTCCTTGGCCGGGGAAAGGTGCGTGCCTGCTACCGTTTTAACTTTCCCAGGGATCTCCTTCTCCATCCGGTCTCGCTTACTGCGAACCTCGTTGCTCACTCTCGCTGTCGCTGTACATAGCCGCGTGGCTCGGCATCACCTTTCATCTAATCTGTACATGCCAACCATCGTCATTGTCATGGTCTAAAAGAAGATTTCGATATCCAATTTCCCTATTTGGTTCTGTCAGATGCTTGCGACATCTATCGTGGTCTTTGTTTAGAAACAAGTCAGGGGAAGCAAACCTTGACCCCTCGAGTGTTCTGTCTTCGTCTATGATATCTGTCAGTTATAACGGGCCCCCAAGACTTTGGCACTCGGCGCAACTTGGTAGTCATTTGAAAGTCCGCGCACTCCGTACCTGCAAAGCTCTCATTACGTGCACTGCCCTCAGGTCTCCAGGGCCACTTCGACTGGCAGATGGGGAGATGACCCCGCGCTGAGATGCAACATGCTCAGATCATAAGATGCTGTGTGAAAACTGGGGAACGTGTTTGGGTCGTTTCGCGGTATTCTTGAATTTGCCCGTAGACTCATGTGAGAAGTCGGATCCTGAGAATGGACAAACGAGTTCAAGGATTCGAGTATAGCCTCGGACGCAGATATGGCAGACGAACCATAAAAGTCAGTCTGAAGAGGAGGCTGATGAAACCATAAAACAAACCAATGGGTTATGAGCAGAGAAAGCAATATCGGAGTGAATGGTTTAGGGCCACGAGAAAGGTGTATGAAGCGGAGTGCCGAGACCGAAAGGCGGTGAGCGGTGCGATTCTTGAAGCTCCAAATCTCACACGCGTGATGCACGCATCCTCCTACTGCACACCATGCCACTAATACGACTCATGCCGAAAGCCTCTATGGCCCAACAGATGGATGAAATAGATTGCAAAATCCACTTGTCGAGCTCGAGACTCGAGTCTTCCGCATCTCGTATCCTTGATATGTGATGGCGCCGACGCGAAACGCCCAAAGACGCGTCGGCCGTTTTCCAAAGCAGCATTGGCCTTGATTCTGAACAACGTCTAACGTACCTCGTGAATGCCGGCCACCTCACTACGTCGCCCAAGCGAGCGCCCACTGAGATACTACTGCAAAGCCTCTGACAAGTCCCGAGCAGTAGTATGCCGAATGCACGAATGTTGCTTATGGGGTGAGCGAGAACCTAGAAAGCTAATAACGATTAGACTATGAGCTTGGCCATGATCGGCTAGAATCGCTTGTATACACAGGCTTTCATATCATGGCTGCTTACAAGGAGTAGAGAGTATAAGAACCATGTTGTAGCACCACAGGAGACTTGCAGCATTTCTCTCAGCAAGCAGTATCAGACCATTTTCATTGTCTTTTGCTCCAGAATCATGCATTACTCTTTATCTTTTTCCCTTTGCTTGGCCAGTATCGCTGGCCTTGCTGTTCTTACCGATGCTTCCCCTCTCGAGAAGCGTTACACTTCGCCCACCACACCGTTCGATGGATGTCTCTACAGAGTCCCCAAAGTGGGAAACTTCACCTCTCACGTTGCCGTGAGCAGTTGGAAAACACTTCCCTCCACTCTCAAAGCAACAGACCGCAACGGAGGCCCGTACGGCGTACACTGGATGCCCTCGCTCGTTGGTGTCGATTCTACCGACGGCAGTCTCACGTTGACTGTACCTGGGGGCCAACAATCGTGCACCGAAGCCAACCCATGCGGAAGTGCTCAAATCACCACCGCCGCCAACGATGTCATGTACGGAAGCATGCGAACTGTAGCAAGGACTCCTAACGTTTGGGGCACCGTCAGCGCTTTTTTCATGTACAGCGACGACAACAACGAGTCGGACATCGAGATCCAGACAGGAGATCCCACGCACGCTCACTGGACCAATCAGGATTGGTATGGCTCCAACGGATTGACCAATGCCAGTGTCGTGGCAAACACGTCTGCTGCTTACCATGAGTATCGCATCGACTGGGTGCCCGGAAGAACTGATTACTATGTCGATGGCAAGCTCTTGCAAAGCTACACCAAGTTTGTGCCCAGAACAGCGGGAGCCTGGATGTGGAACTCTTGGACGTAAGTGATACTGATGGAGAAGACGAAGATCTGAGCTCAATGCTGATCATGTCCACAGTAACAACGGATCTTGGACGCTTGGTCCTCCTACTAAGGACGCTGTGTTGCATATCAAGTCGATTGATGTGTACTTCAACCGCACGAGTATCACTGGCTGTGGAAGCGCATAACGCTTGTAAGGCACGATCCGAAGCATGGGAGAATTCAGGGAAGCCCTGCAAGATCAGTATCTGCAATGCTGTTATATCTACCGCTCGGTAGCTTCTCTGCCAGCGTTGTGAACGTAGAATTGCAACATATGCGTGCCTTTGGTGTCGTTGAGACTCTGTTCGTAAAGTCAATGACGGTGCCAAGCCGCGCTAAGCCGGAGTACCTGGACACCATTGCCAGTTGAACTCGTCCCAGATGCTTGGAAAACGTACCGGACATCAAGACATTTAGGAAAAGGAGACCAGTCAATCCACTGGGGTCTGCTCGATAGCATTGTCACTCACGAATTTGCTGTAGCGCGAACAACCAAAAATTCGGACAGCAATCTGACCGAGAACATTATACCCGAGCAACCTGACTAGCCAAAGCCGCTACTCATATCATCTTGAACATGAGCTCGCTATTCTACTGGGCGACCAAATCAGAACAGGATAATGCCTGGCATCCCGTTCCCGGCCAAAATCCTACCAAATACGTCAGCAATCTACCAACATTGATCAAGCGTCAAGACCTCGAAGCAGCGTGCGTCGACATAGCACCGTTCGTCGCCGGAGCTGGTGCTTTAGCATATGTACGCCAACTAAACGACTTCGGGTTCACTGCCTCCGCCAATATATTCAAGAATCCCAAGACATTGATGGCCATGCATCGCGCTGTCCTAGTCGTCACACCAATCGTGCTGCTCTGTCAAGCAACGGGTGTTGAATACCGGAAGTTCATCCCGCGATGGAGTCAGGAACGCGAGCGTGGGCGAGATGAGGAAATGGTGCGGAAGCAAGTTGATTTTGGTATGCTTGCTGGTGTTGCGAGCTGGACGTTGCGTATATATGCTCTGCGGCACGGACGGGCTTACTGGGCTCCTATTGATGTTGTCATGGGCGGAGCATTGACGGATGTTATGCATAGGGAGTATGTCAGAGCCCATGAGTTCTAGACGAGTATATAGTCACTGTACAGAGGTTGACTACCTTGATGGCCAGTAGACACTTTCTCGCCACTGAAAGCAGTGGGCCGTGAAATTTGCACACGAAGAGAGTCATCGTACACCCAGAGTATTGCTGATGATCTGGGAGAACCGTTCACTCAATCTTCATGTGTGTACAGGGCGTGCATGGAGATGACCACACGAGGTTGTTGATTGGGATGAACACCTGGCCCGTGCTCTCGGTTGTCCTGACGTGGAGGGGTCCATGAATCATCAAGATGGCATGTTCGAAAAGTCACAGATCACTACATTGATCATACACTATACGGTGACAGATTATAGCACACACAATGATGTCCTCTATCGAACGCGTTTTCGCACTGCCAGAGTTGCTCGAACCGATACTTCTCTACCTCCTAGAAGACCTATCACCATTAGAGTACCAAGAAGATCCACGTAATGCTCGAGTATCCAATAACGCGAATATATTGCGACATCTTCTAAGCTGCAGCCAAGTCTGCAAGCAATGGAAATCTACCATTCACCATTCAGCGCCAATCCAACGAGCACTCTACCTCGTACCAGACCCCAACAGCAACCGAACATGGACACAAGACCACAGTGCAGGAACCAATGACACAGATTCAAAGACAAGCCCAGCGCAACCACCCACTCTGAACCCAATCATCCAAACAACATTCAAATCCTACCACTTTCGCTACTGGCACCTCAGTTTCGAAGCCTCGGGGAACAAGCATTGCGCCTACCTGATCATTGAAAGACGCGACATTCCCGATTTCAAAGCCAGAGCTGCAACAGGTCAAGGACGAAATATCTCAAATATGTTGTTATCGCAACCACCTTGTACGGCTTTGGAAGCTACGATTTGGGATGAAAGGGATGAGACGAAGGATTATGTGGGGAGGACTATGGAGTTGAGGGATGGGGTGGTTAGAGGTGAGGAGGGGTTGACTATTGGGATGGTGCAAGAGAGGGTAAAGGAGATGTTTGATGAACACAAGGATGTTTCGGCTATCAAGTTGACGACGGTGTGAGCAGAGCCTAAGTCGAGGTCCAAGCATATCGCGGCTGGTAGTAGACAATGGTGTATATGAGCGTCTCCAGTATTTCTCGAGGTTGAAGGTATGGCCGCAACCAGATTCTTTGGTAATGTCATTTTCTCCCTGATCATGGATAAGAATTTTGAAGCCATTGGTCGGGAGGTGTTCTGCGTTAAGGGTACCAGCTATGACCTGTCACTCCTTGGGTAGGCGGGGCGAGGCTCATTCAACCAGACTTGTGTCGGGGTTTTGGCCTCATCGCGAATCGGTGCCATACCTATAGCCAAGACTTGTTTTGACAGCAGATCGAAGATATAGGTTCGTAAAAGTCGTTTTCGAACGATGGTTCATTGGTTTGAAAATGCGTAGATGTATCTCCTTGTGGGACACTACTGAGTGACAGTGTTCTTTGTCCTTTTCCGTCTTTTTCCCCGTTACTCTTTTCTCAATCATCGTGAAGACTTCCTTGCAACGCTCGTCTTACTGCTGGCATACCCCTGTTCCTCGCCATCGTCATCATTGCCCATACATCCACCGTAAATGGTCATTAGTAATTAGCTAAGCGATAGTGGAGAAGAGAAAACAAGAAAAGAAGGACATAAAAAAAAGGTAAAGAATGAATGTGGCAACAAAGGAAACAGATCATGACTTTTGAGAAGCTTAGTGCGTCCATGATAGGATTTATCAAAACCCAGCACCACTCCACGTCTCCCTATGATTCTGACTCTGAGGCTGACTCTGACAGCCACCTCTCAAATCACCGATATCAAAGGGATCCGCATGATCGCCCACATCGAATGAACGCGCAAAGTCGTGCGTATCAGTGCCACCACCAAAGCCATCATTCTGACTTGCAGCAGTAGCGAAAGAATCCTGTCTTGTCGAGTCAAAACTTTCTTGTTGAGATTGCGGCAGATGGAAGCTTTCGTGCGAAACCTCTTGCTTAGTGGTGAACCCAAAGCTTTGATGTTGTGAGGGAGAAAAGTGGTGATCGAGCACTACACCACCGGCGGTCTCTGGATCTTCGGAAACGGCGGAAAAACCGTGCTGGCGAGAGGTGGCGTCGAGATCAGAAGTACCGTTTCCTGCGCCGGCAAAGGCTTGATGGGAAGATAGAGTGAAGCAGGCGGGTAGAGTGTTGACGTCAAAGGTATCGGTCATGGCGCCTGAGGCAGCAGCGAGGTGGTCGGCTAGATCTGCTGCTCCGGTGTTGGTGGAGTAATCAGGGAATGCGGCCATAGCGGGGGAGTGTGGTTGGCTGAATATAGCGGCGTAGTCGGTGGGTGTTGCGGTAGAGCTCTGCAGCCATGGCGTTGTTGTTCTTGAAGGTTGCAATAGTAGTGGATCTGTGGCGGTAAGATCGAGGTCGAGGGCATCGATTGCGGAGAATGAAGCAGTAGAGGACTGGGGAAGAGATTGATGGGGCGATAGAGCCGGGCTATCGAGAGAGATGGAAACGTTTCCACTGCTAGAGTCGAAAGAGTTTACGTCGTGAAGATTGTGCTGTTGCAGATTCGATTGACTGTTGTGCGGCAGCAGAGGGTCGAGAACCGTGGAAGCAAGATGTTCGAGATCAGATGTCGAGCTAGGCAATAGCCAGGAGGTGTTGTAACCAGCTGTGGCTTGTGTATCGTGCAGATCAATGGGTGAAGCCAACACATTCGCGCCTTTGTGCGAAGGATCGGGGTAATGATGGCCGCCGTTGATAGTGGACAAGTCGAAGCTACCATAGTCGTGGCTTCCTCCGGGATAGGTGTCTTGAACGCTGAGAGCACTTTCCTGACTGTCACTAGCAGATTGCGAGATCTGACTCACGCCTCCTGCAGACAGGGGAATTGCATCATCAAACGCGCTTGCCATGTCCAGATACTGCCAAGTCGTCACTGCACTTTCCTTGTTTGCCGCATGCGAGAACGAAAAGTGGACAGTCATAACAATTTGAGGTTCGCCCAGCTCTGTCCTTGCAATGATCTCTTGAACAGCTGTAAGTTCGCCCAGAGCCGAAGAAAACTCTAGACATTTCTTGGAGAGCTGGTTTTGACGATGTTCGGTGGTTTCATCTGACTGTAAAGGTCTGGTTTCGAGATCCGAAGCTTGGCGTTGGAGCAGGGCGACGTGATATAGGTAGCGAGCCCAGAATGTGCTAGAGAAAGGAACATAGTACTGCACCATGCCGCCTGAGCTATAGTGGCCGTTGGAGTCGACCTCGATTGAATCACTGTTCTCAGCGACCTCGGCTGCATCGTAGTCTTTGGTGAAGTTGAGCCAGTCCTGTTGCATCTCTTCGGTCACCTCGAAATTCTGGTTGTCGTGAAATTGGCGATTGCCCGCTCTGTCGCAGTACATGGGTCGTCCGTTGAGATACAGTCTCGTGCGACTGCTGACCGTGACGGGAGGATTGCGAGCAGGAGCTTTCAAGACCCAACGAATGGCTAGTTCGGTATCGCCGACCAGATTCTTCGAGTGCAGCACGATGGGCACATGTAAGGCAAGGAGCTTACCTCTGGCGAGGCTGTCGAGTGGGACATTGGCGAGACCCGGGAAACAGTCATAGAGTTCTGCTTGGGTTTGCACAAAGCAGCTGCTGGGGCTGAAGCCTTCTGTAGCACTATATGTGTGCAACGTTTCAGTTCCCTGACGAGAACGCATGAACATGCAAAACTCCCCAGGCTGCAGATTAAACCCAGTCTGTAGGGGATAGTTGCGGCGTTGATTCAGAGAACTCAAACGTGACTGCGATTCGGGATTGTACACGGAAGCTTTTTTGCGAGCAGCCTTGGTAGCTGCTGACTCCTTGTCGGCAGGTGTAGCGAGGAAGAGCATGACTACGCGCTGTCAACAAAGTTGCTCCTGACTTTGAGCTGATACCAAGACTTACTGAAAGGCTCATTTTGCACAAACGGTTTGAGCACTTGAATATGACTCGATACTTGCTTTCTGGTGCGAACATCTCCAGTATGGCGAAGGATGTAATCAGCTATCAGTTCATTCCTTCCCATAGCCTTCGCCTCATCATTGTTCTGTTCACCGGGAGCTTTGGACTTCTTGCGGCCGCATGGAGGGTGACGGCAAAGAGCTTATGACAGATCACGTTAGCAAGCGCATCGAAATGAATATTGCACGATATACGAACCTATGATAAAGGTGTCTTCTATGTGATCGGGCCACTTCGCATCTTCTTTGCCGCCTTTCTTCTCCTTGGGCTGGCGATTACGGTACTTGATGTAGCCATCACACCGTAGGAACCTCGATGCAAGAAGTCTAGCTTTTCTCTCTGCCTCTTGATCCTTCGCTTGATCATCGGTAGGTATGTGCTCAAAGCCAGGGTGTCTGCCGCGAGAGCCATGGCTGAGCAAGCGTTGAGGATCTCGGTTGAACTTTGGTGCTAGCCCTGCCATCCAAGGAAAAAGAGGCTTGCCTGGGCGAGCCCGACCAAATTGCAACGACTGGTAGAGCCTGCTGCCAGCGGAGCCGCATGTCGAATCATCGTTGATGTTAGTGTAGTAGTCCTGGGCGTGCTGGGTCTGAGGATACCCGAGTTGTCTGTTTCCACACTGCTCTCTAAGGATGTGAGAATCTTGATTGGTCTCAGGCCACAATGGAGCATTAGAAGGAACGACTGGAGTTGGAAGAAAAGACTCCATCTGAGCAAAAGCTTCGAGGCAGAAGAATGGAGTGTGAAGAATGGAGCGTGTTTCTAAGAATGCTGATGCTGAATATGGTTTACAATGAGAGAAAGAAAGGATCGTAAAAAGTTGGATGATGGACGGTTTGGAGGAATGACTGAAGAGAATAATAGGTAGTGAATAGGGTCATCGCCATTGGACCGATTACATGTTTATAGAATTGGTGCTCGTCCAAAGGGACATCTACAGAGGCCACGACTCATGGGCCAATCTCGGCAGGGGCCAGGGCCTTCGAAGGAGGTCTACAGTGACAGGCTGAACTTGCCGTAGGAATTGGCCGGTGGTCGTGCAGCGCCACGGATACGACCTTCTGATGGAATCCATCATTTCATCGACAGCAAGGGTCCCGACATGACGTGTGGGGAAACATGAACGATTGCTGACTGCGTCCGGAAAGGGGACGTGAAGGTGGTGGGCTAATTTCAACCTCCACACGAGAGAGGAATGCGATCACGCATCAGCCTCAACCAAAAGGGTCTCAATCGGCTGCTGCACGTGCGAGTACATGATTAGGGGCAGGTACCAACCTTTATCGAGAGGACGGCTTGTCCTATACGCACCTGGTGGATTACTAGAAGAACCTGCCAAGTGAGCAAAGCCAAGGGAGAGGGCAAGTGTAAGATTGAAAGGTGAGAGCGTACAAGCAAGGGATTTTGCCGCACACCCCAAAGATCTCGAAATTTAATGCTGCACTCACGCCTCTTCCAAACCATCTTGATCGTCGCCCACACGGAACTTTTTGCGACCGCCGCTGGTGAGTTTTTGCAGGGCGACTTTGTTGAGTTGAGAGCCAGCCTTCTTTGCCATGGCCTCGATCTCGGCTTCGGCGTCGTCGGGATCTTCGGCGGCGAAGTCGAGAACAAGTCTGCGACCAAGCAAATGAGTGTCGCGGAGAGCATCCATGGCATTCTCTGCTTCTTTCGGCGTGGTAAAGTCTGCAAAAGCAAAACCGCGAGCTCCTTTGTCGAATTTCTTGGGCACACGGACTGAACGGAGCTGTCCGTAAGCAGCGAAGAGAGAGCGCACGTCCTTCTTGGTCGCTTCGAACGGCAAGTTCTTGATGATGATCTTGGTCCCCCGAGCAGCGAGCTTCTTGGCCTTGTCTTCTTTGCGACGCTCTTCAGCAGCGTCAGTAGCCTTGTGCGACGCACGCAGCTGCAGCTTGTGACCATCGAGACTGTAGCCATCCATCGCTGTGATGGCAGCTGCAGCCTGTTGCTTGCTTGCGAACTCCAAGAAACCGAAACCCATACTGAGGACCTGACCGGGCTTCTTGGGGTCTGTCTTCGTCTTGACCCTTGCAGTCAAGAATCCGGACAACGGACGGAATGTATCTGTTAGACGATCTGTGTTCGTGGAGAAGTTGAGGTTTCTCACGAAAAGAGTACTGGTAGTACCAGCAGATGCCTCTATGCCAGTTTCTTGCAGGAGTTCACGAGCCGAAGCCTTGGCCTCCAGACCAGCCTGAGTGGTCTCTCGGTCTGTGCTATCAGTCATTGGCGCTGTTGCCTGGAACAGATCTTTCGGTGCTTTCTCGAGGAAGAGTACTGAAGTGTGAATTTTGCGGTACGCCAGAGACGCAAAAGCAGCACGGGCTTCAGGGGCATGTTCAAACTCAACAATGGCAATGGTGCCTGATGGAGGCATTAAAAATCGCTTGATCTTGCCATGCTGCTCAAACAGCTCCTTCAGCTCACTTGCCTTGGTCTCGTACGGGAAGTTTTTCACCAGAATTGCAGTGTCGCCTCGTTCGCGCTTCTTGAACGCATCCATGTCGACACCGTTCTCCTTGAAATATGATTTCGTTTCTTGAATGACGTGAGTTTCGGCATGTGCTTGCTTGACGGCCGCATCAGATGAGGTGGGATCCAACAACTCGGACTTTGATACACCAAGACGATCGGCAACCGAAGACATGACAGCGTCAGCATTCATGTAAAGCGAGTTCCAGTTGAATGTTGCGGAAGCAGCCTCACGCTTGCGCTTGATGGCTTGCTGCTTCTTCAGAGGAAGCTTGGACAGGGCAAAATCGTCAAGCTTATCTTCACGCTTGGCAGCAGCAGGGAGGATGTGTAGCAGTCGCCCTTGGAAGACCTTACCGTCCATGTCACGCAAGGCTTGCAGAGCACTGTCAGCATTGGTGAAATGGAGGTAAGCGAAACCCTTGGTAGAGCCAGTTTTTGGGTCTACCGGTACGTGAACCTAAAGCCATAACGCGTTAGCCAGCTGCTCTTGGATAACAATTGCAGAAAACGAAGATTGTGCAAGCTGGGTTGTTTTCAGACTAGAGAGGCATCTACTAAAATACTCTTCCTGAGTTCTCAGCATCTGCACATAGTGCATAAGCTGTCCCTATCAGGTGTTCATCCTTGAACCAGCACACATGGGGTAAAGCGAGAAGAAGAATATAGAGCTTACCTCTTCAAGATTGCCAAAGCCAGTAAAAGCAGCACGCAAGTCGTCCTCCTGAGTAGCATAGGAAAGGTTTCGTAGGTACAAACGTTGGCTTGCTCGGACTTTCTCCTCAACCTCATCTGTCGGAGGTGCGGGCTCGTCTTCGAAGCCTTCGAATTCTTCGTCTTTCGATGCAGATTCGGGTTGGGGAACAGGTTCAGGACTCGGTGATGCGGCAACAGTATGCGAAGGTCGTGTCGTAGCAGCGGCCTCCTCTTCCTCCTCGTCATCTGCCAGACCGAGAAGTCTGCTTGTTCGTGAGCGCATCCAATCATCGTCGTTCATAACTGTGTCTTGTTCAGTAGCCGGCTCGGCACCATCGTCCACGTTTTCTGTTTGTGTTTGGGCAGGCGTGTCGACGTCCATGGCATCTGTAGTAGTAGGTACTGGAGTAGGTTTGACAGCGGGTGCAGCGCTCTTCGGCTTCTTGGGCACATTCTCATACTCGGAGTCACTGTCGGCCTCGGGCACGACAACCTTTGTGTCTAGTTCTTGAGCAGCGATATTGACTTCTTCACCTCGGGTACCACGAAGCTTGGATGGAGCCTGCATAGCATTCAAGAACTCGCTCAGCTTGGGATCCTTCTCCTTCGTCTCAGGCTCGGGAGTGGCGCGTTTCCGCTTGAGGTTTGCTACGACGGGTTCGGCATTCGCATTGTGTGCGGTCAACTTGGCCATGGCGAGAGGATGCTGGGATGATTGACCCTGCCTCCGCGTGGGAGCCTCACCGATCTGGAAGATGGTTAGCAGAAGGTCAGAGCAGGAAGCGCAAAAAATAACGTACGGGTCTGGCCAGCTCAACGCCGATCTTGGACATGCGGATGAAAGTACGGTTGAAGTACTTGACAGCCTTTTGAGCATCTTCAGGCGACTTGTATCCGACATAACCAATTCGGCGCTGAGGAAAGAGTCTGGCATCGGTGACTTCATATTTGCCAAAGTGCTTTTTGAAGTCGGCCTCGCTCATAGTCGGGGGCAGCCCCCGGACGAAGATACGCGATGACTCTGACTCCATGGCGTAATATCTATCCCTGTGTTGAAGATAGGAAAGGAGAAAGGAGATTGGTAGAGAGAAAGAAATGATGTAAAAAAATTCATGGCAGGTCCGAGATTGTCGAGATTTGCGCGCGGCGACTTTGCGGCGGCCGGCGACTCGCTCGGCTTCGCACGTGCCTTTCCTCCGACGCGTGCTCCCAACATCATCTCAGGCACCCTCAGCATTCCCGCTCGTTCTCTTTTAGAAGTCATAGATTGTAGAATTGCAGACATCCATCATCACAATGTCCGACGAGAAGACCACGACAAACCAGCAGCTCGAGCAGTCTGAGAGGCTCGAGGGTAAGTCAAGATGCTGGCCGTGTATCAATATCAGGGGCAGTTGAGCTAATGCCTTGCTCACAGCTCAGGTCAAGTCTGCAGACATGGTATGAGACTCGTGAATGTTGTGTGTTACACATCTGTGGCTCATGTTATTTTTCTAGACCGAAGACATGCAGCAGGAGGCCATTGAAGTTGGTAAGTTGAGACATTTGTGAAAAGTCCCGTTTGCCGAGAGTTAGAGTGATCATCTGAAGGGCGGATGCTAACCGACATCTTGTTATAGCACAAGAAGCTATGGAAAAGTTCAACATTGAGAAGGCAAGTCTAGCATGGACTACATCCAAGTCACCCACGGTTGCTAATGATTCGATACAGGATATCGCACACCACATCAAGAAGACGGTTCGCCAACACGACACGGCTGGATTGAGATAGAGATACTGACGATTACACAGTTCGATGAGCGCAAGGGTGTCACCTGGCACTGCATTGTTGGCAGAAACTTTGGCAGTTTCGTGACCCATGGTAAGGTGGCTTGGAAGAATATCGTGAGCAATGATTGCTAACACATCACACAGAAACCAAACACTTCATCTACTTCTACCTTGGTCACTGCGCCATCTTGCTATTCAAGACCCAATAAGAGTGTGGATGGAGAGCAGAGCAGTGTCGGAATACCCATGAAGTCAAGGAGCAGTAAAGTAATCAGAAAAGGGCAAATTCGACCAAGAGACGGCCAGACATATCCCCTTGCTCTTCTCAGCATCGGAGAAACAGACATATCAGCACAATGTTAGCGAATTGACAAACAAGAGCATAACCGTTGTGACTATCACATGAAAGACGGAGTTGGTATAAGGGTCTTGGCACTCGTCCATCATCTCAGCCAAGCCTCAGCATGAGTTTGAAACATGCGACCAATTCCACGATCGACATTTCCAGTTTGAACTTGCGATGCGCTTGTAGCATATCCGTACATTCCACCACGACCGTCATGTTAACGAGTGACGAAATCCTAGAGCAGGCAGCTCGCGACGGCTCCATCGACATGTAAGTCGCGTAACGAATATATCACACGCGTTTCCCTGACGCATGACGACAGATCGGAATGGCCGCGAGTATTGGAGAACATATTGCACAAACTACACAGTGTATGCGCACTCGACCTCCCATACAACTTCGTCACTAACTCGATCCGAGATTGTCCATAACGACTTTCCCTTACCAAAAGCTCCGCCGCCTCCCAATCCACCCATCCTATCACCCGCCGCACCCGTTATCCTCCCTTCAAACGACAATGCAGCACCCCCGCCAAAGTCGCCAGAATCCACCGTGACGACAACAGAGACCGCGGAACCGCCCACGAGCATCGACAAGGAAAATGCTGTCCCACGCCCTCCTGTTCCTTCCTTCGCTGCAGTTCCACGAGTCCGCCAACAATCCCCTTCCTCACCTCTGCCGCCAGAATTATACGCTCTCTACCACTACTCAAGGAGCACGCTCGAAAAGAACTTCCCCACACACCCGCCATACACAGTCCAGCGCCTTGCAGAGCTAGTCTTGCATCCAAAGAGATACTACCGCTACCTACCACCTTTCCTACAAGCTCTCGACCGTGTCGTCTCTGTCACCAGCACCGTAACCGAGTTTCCTCTAGCCCACGCCAGCATCGACTCTGCAAGCGGCTTCCTCGCAAACGGCGAGCCCAGCGAGAATTCATCTGAACGCGAAGGCCTGGGTAGTGATGAAAGTCTAGGCGGCGCACTACTCACTCCCATCCCCTGGCTGAAGCGCGAAAACGGCCACCACGATTTCCGCAGCGAAAGTTCACAAACCATAGAAGGTCCGAATGGCGTCGGCGTCATCGAAACCGTTTCAGTCTCTAATGGCGGATCTACCTCACCACAGGAGGAAGACACAAGAAGTCACGAACAACACTTGCGCGCAGAGGGCGGAGTCACACAAGGCGAGTTGCTACGTCAAGAGCAGGAAGCCGGTATTGTGCCCGTGGGCCAGGAAGTCCCTCGTCGCACCTTGATGGCCAGCGGTTCTGCCAATGCTGTCGGCAGAGGTGAAAGCACACATGCGGCAGAGGAAGAAGCCGGAGAGAAGCCAGAGGAACACGCCCATGCTCGCGGACCAGAAGAGATTGGAGCTGAAGATATGGGACCTCAACCAGATTCATCTATTGGTGTCACGAGACCACTCAACATGGAAGCTGCAGCTGGAAGAGCCAAATCGCCCGAAGTACCGCGTGATGGCAAGGATGCTGAGGACGACACTGTCAAAGAGGGCACAACTGGAGCTGGAGAAGACAAGAAAGAGGAACCGAAGACTGAAAAGCCCAAGCCTGTGGAAGCAGAGCAGGTTGATGAAGAAATGCCAGATGCCTAGACACTGGATATGAGGCTTCTGCTGCCGGTACTACGGCAAAAGAGAGTGTTGCTGCTGCTACAATGCATGTCGGAAGACGAAATCCACTGTCATGTGAAGAAGCAGTAGCGGCCCGGCCGGTGGTTACATAAATGAATCACTGCCGTTCATGGACGGTGTTTATATTTCCGAACATTTACATTGCAAACGTGATATCCTGATACTCTCACCTCAAACCCGACACCTGCAATTTCAAGTCTATCATCTATGTCACCGTTGTAGGTGCTGGAGACTATCGGTGTCGTGAATGTACATGCTTTTCATCATGTTCATTTGCAGGAGTCAGCTTCGAGAGACTCCAACGTCTCCTTTCTTCGATCACAGCCACTATGCATTCATAGAGCCATCAGTATCACCATACTTTATTATCAGAGGTTTAGGAACTACAGGACTGTAAATTATGTAGAGTTATGTTTTGATTTGATTTGATTTGATTTTCTTAAGCTATTTACCCCGCAAGGGGTATGAGCTGTCCATAATTAACAAGCATTCCCGCCAATCATAGCCATCGGTCTTAGTTATATAAGGAGGGTGAAGGTCTCTTAGACCTTAAACTCATCGTAAACTCCTAGTACTCTAATGTGCTTCTTGTTAAAGAGTGACTCTACGCTTCCTTCCCTTAATTGTTAGCTAGTATAAGCCTCCTCCATATGGGCGATTCCTTATGTCGCGTTCTTCCTTATTAGCCGAACGCTACTTAAAGGCGATTAGATTAAGGTAGTGGTAGTGTTATTATAGTTAGATAGGGAGCACTTTTATGCCAATCTATTAGGCTCCTTCTGTCTTTCGCTGCTTTATATCTGCCTCTACATCCTTCCTGTTCTAATGGCGTATTTAATAGTGGCCTTAACTACGCTTAGGTCTAGTTACCATTTGTCTTTATCGCTAGTAACCTTCTTCCCCTCTCTTTCTGCTATTAAGTATCCTCCTAATGCATACGATAGGTCCTAGTATCTATTACTATATGCTAACTTTATAGCTTATCTTTCGTTTATCTATCTTAGGCATAAGAATAGGAAGTGTTATACTATTTCTTTTATTCTATATTCGCATCTATCGGTGTCTACCATATTAATTTTGTAAAGGTACGTGTTAAGTCTTAATATGTTCGTTCTTAGCTAGACTAGTGTAGCTACTACTGTCCTATTAAGTACGTTATATAGCTTATTTATGTGTTTTCCTAGTAGCGCCTTATCGATCTTCTAGAGATGTTTACCTATAGTTACGCTATAGAACTCTTAGAGTTTTAGCTTAAAGTTCATAACCTTTACTCTTACGTATATCGCTAAAATTAGGACGCTACTTATAGGGTTAGGCATTAGAGAGATATCCTCTATCGCCTTCTAAGCTAGTTTATTCGCCCTCGCGTTACCTTTAATTCTTTTATAGCCTAGAACCTAGTGTAATAAGAATGTTACTTTAGCAATTTTCTCTCTAATTCTTATAACTAGGCCTAGGCTATCGTTAACCTTTATAGACTAGATGCTTTAAAGCGCGCTCTAGCTGTTAGAAAAGACCCTAATCTTTACCATCCTATTATTCTCGTATAATAGACCTTTAATAGCCATCTATATCGCTTCGAGTTCTATTAGATAGACGTTCGTTTCTTTAGCCCTTCTTATTGTTCTTAACGTTTCCTATGCTAATGTCTAGATTCCTATGCCTACCCGTCCATTACGGACTAAACTATTAGTATATATATCTATTATTACTAGCTATTCCGCTATCGTAAGTTTAGCTACTTCCTTATTAAGTATATATATATAAGCCTTTAGGCTCTATAGTTCACTCCCTACTATAGGGATCTTCTTAGCTCTATTTACATTAAGTTCCTTAAATAACCTAGCTACCTTCTAGAGAGGTAAGTTAAATCGTTTAATTAGTTTAGTCTTAGCGAGCTTTACATAGATATGTAAGGCTTCTAATTTATGGATTAAGATCTAGAATCTAAGTGTCTATTCGTATAGTCTTTATTATAGGGACGGTATCCCTACTTCTAGGACTACCATATCGAGACCTAGCGTTCTAAATCCTCCTATAATGGCTTATGCTATAACTCTCTAGGCTCTATATAATATAGATAGTGTCTTATTAGATACTACTAGGTACTAGATTAGCGACGCGTAGTCTATAACTAGTGCGACTGTTACTATATATAACTGACATATAGTTAATAAGTTTAGACCTTATAACCTTTTTAGAGCTAGTACTACTTTTAATGCTTTCTCTACTTTTCTAGCTAGGTGTTCTTTAAATTAAAGCCCTTAGTCTAGGATTACACCTAGGACTTTTATCGACTAACTTAGCTAGATCTAGTCTCCTTTAAAGCATAAGGGCATGTCGCTATCTCTAAGTATGTCGTTATATCTTATAAAATGGATAAACGCTATTTTTAAGGCTTCGAATACTACTTCGCTCTCCTTTTCCTATCTTTCTAGTTTTAGTAATATATCTCTCTAGATTATCCTTATGTTCCTTTCGGTAGAGTTGCTAACTACCTATATAGTGTAGTTATTAATAAATGCTATCGACGCTCCTTCTTTAATTGCTATCTATACTAGGTCTATATTAAAGAAGAGGAATAAGATTAGGGCGAGCGGCGATCCCTATAGTAGTCCTAACTAAGGTAGATCCTCTACTTCTAATATAAAGCTATTAACTACTACGCCTACCTTCCTATCGGTATAGAAATCTTAGATCTATTTAACTATAGTTTTAGGGATTCTCCTCTATCTTAGCCTTTCTAGAAGCGGTTCTATTATAACATTGTTATATGCGCCTTTAACATTAAATAACACTAACGATAATGTCTTCTTACCCTACTAGGCGTCGTAGACGGCTTCCTAAAGGTATAAGATAGCGAGGACTATTAACTTCTACTTCCTTATACTAAAGTGGTTATTAGGTAGTAGTTTATATACTTCTATAAGGTACGTAATCTATATAGCCATTACGGCTTCTATTATCTTTCCTAGCGTTACTAGTAAAGATATTAGCCTATAGTTCTTAGGGAGGGTGTAATTATCCTTATTCCCTTTCTTAAGTGGCATAATCTTTACTATCTTCTATTATAACAGTAGCTTGCCTTACCTAAGCGAGGTTAAGAAGAGTATATAGATTTGCTATTATAGAGCTAGCTAAACTTTTCTCTATACCCTAATAGTTAGGCCGTCACTTCCTACTACTTTATCTAGACTAGTAGAGAATAGTGCCTTCTTAATCTTATCTATAGTTAATACTTTACTAAAAAGCTAGTTCGCCCTATTATCTCTTATTTGTTTAGGCCTCTAGGGAATGGGTAGTTCTAGGAAGAAACTATATAACAGTTCCTTAGCCATTCTAGCTTTATCTTAAATGGACTCCCCTCCCTCTCCCTTTATAAGTGTAATCCTACTGAAGCTTAATCTCTTACTTAGATCTAGGTATCGGGCTACTTTCTAGATATTTGTTAATTCGCCTAGGAACTCTATCTAGTGTTCTTTTTTACGTTTCTTAATCGCGTAATAGAAGTTATACTTTACTATCTTTGCTATAACTTTAAGGTTATTATCTTACCGGCCTTATCTCCTTCTTAACCTTACTAGATTACGAGCCCTTATATACTCTTTTCTTATAGACGTTAGCTTACTTAACTACCATCTTTTTACGTACTTAGATAGTTTTGCCTTTAGGTAGTAATAGTCTATTACTATCTAAGTGGTTTCCTAGATGTATTTCTATATTGCTTCTAGATCGTCTATTAGGAATAGGTTATTAGTAAGCTACTATCCTATCTCGACCCTTATTGCTTTCTAGTCTACTTTCTATAGTAAGTACCGTAGGACTATTAGGTCTTCTATTATATCTCTTATGCTTATAGCTATATATATTACTCTATAGTCTAATCCGTACTCGTTCTCGAATAGTTAGAATATGTCTCGATCTTTAAACA